CAGAAAGGTTTATCCTTCACTAATGGCCATTACCAGCAGAGAGGTTTGTTTAAAAGGAAATAATGTACAATTTCTTGAAATAATTTCCCCTTCAATAGTACATTTTGAGCAGAACAAAATTTTTTCCAGTGACATTCCTCAAAGTATCTGAACACTGATTAATGTATCACAAGCAGATCTTAAATAAAACCAGAATGTTCCCATTACAACTCCTGTACTTGAACAGGCTTTGTAATAAAGTTCACATTGAATACATTCATAAAAATATAAAATTTCACTCAAAAATCTTCCGTACCTACTGTATGGGAGTGGAATAGCAGAAAGTTATTTTACGTTGTTTTAGAAATATATATTTATCATCATCAAATCTTCTAAAAATGTAACAACCTGTGACAAATTTGCCATAAAAGAGAGAAGACTTATTCCGCTGTTTTTGTGACACACACACACACACACACACACACACACACACACACACACACACACACACACACACATTAATTGAATATTTGTCTGAATATTGTTGTAGTAATACCAGAGGAAGAAGGGGATGCTGCTCAAACCCCCTAAAAAACACAAAACATGCACGCATTTGTCCAAATTGGAATTCACCAGAGGCAGAGAAGCCACAAAGGTTGTTTGTATCCCAGTGAGCAGTGGTGGTGGGGTGAAGGGTTGTGGGTAAAGCTTTCTGCTGAGGTTCCCAGCCAACTTGGCACGCCTTTTCAACTTCTACTCAACCCTTTTGTCTTTTCATTGTGCGGACAAACAGAATCTTATTATTACTGATATGTTCATTTTCTGTTTCAACGGAAAATCTGTCAGCAGAGTCATCTCACAGCTATTCTCAGTATGAAAACTGTGTGACACACAGTCTGAAAAAATGTACTTGTTTATATCCTGGTATTTGAAGAATTAAAAAAAATAATTATTTCGATAAATGTAATAGTTCCATCTGAACCCAAATCTCTGATTGTAAATGTTTCTTTAAAAAAATTGTTTCTTTGTTAGTGAATAGGGAAACGCAGTGCTGAAACAATTAGATAGAATTAAATTGATTAGTGTATCAGAAAATTAATGGCCAATAATTTCGATAATAAATTCATCATTTAGGTCATTTATCAAGCAAAGATCCCAAACATTTGGTGGTTCCATTTTCTTGAATATGAGAATTCACAAATTTCCTAAGATTTATATCAGCACATATTGAAAATATTTGGGTTTTTGGCAGTTCAAGAAAAAAAAAGGCTGTTTTAAGATGTAACTGTGGACTCCTTTGATGTGTGACGGGCATTATTTTACTATTCATTGACTTTTTATAGACTAAACAATTAATTTTAAAAAACAGCAGACAGATTAATCAGCAACAAAAATAATGATTAGGTCCAGTCCTCAATCCCAACACTAAAAATAAAATTAATGAAAGGAGTGGACGAAGGGTGGTTGCAGCTCTAGTGGCAGACAAAATAATTACTGCTCACTCCTTTTCATTCCCTACAGTTCTCTGCTCTCCCTGCAGTTAACACCAGCGGTCATTTTTGAGTGTCAAGGACCTCGCACTTGGGGTTTGGGGAGGTGGCCCCTCAATTAGCGAGCCACGCGCCTTTGGAAGAAAGAGGAACTCCATGAGGAGTCCTTAAAGAACTGGCCTCTGTTCACTCTGCTCTGACCCTGTGACCCCAGGGTCACAGGTCACAATACACTCCCATCTGGAGCTGTGTTATCAGCTGTGTGACGAAGGGGACAGACACCAACCTTCTGCATTCAGGCAGAGCTCGAACAGAGACTCCTCTCTGAACATCCGCTTGCCTTTCACCATTTGATCAGGTCTGATTATGTGGATCTGTCTTTTTAATTGAGCTGGAACAGAAGGAAGGAGGGTTGCACGCAAACACATTGCACACCGGGGGAGCTGCCTGGAGCAACTAAAACCCTGTATTTTTGGCCACTGAGCAGCACTAATGCAGATATTTTTCGGCCTAAATGTCTTGCTCAGTGGCATATTGCTGAGAGAGAAAAGTGGCTCTTGTTTACCTTGATATGAAACTGCGCTCACACATGTTGCATTCTGCACATACAAAAATATTGATGATGAAAAAGTTGGCTACATGTGTTTTTGGCATATCTAATGGTGGTCCTAAATTTACTATTAAAATAATGCTACTCGACACTTTTTTGATTATATTTTGTTTTATTGATCTGAATATACAAATAAATGATAATCTATTATTATAGGTTACGATGAGATAAGACTTTATTGATCCTCAGGGGTATGCGGACTATATACAGCCAATAAAATTACTGCTCTAAGCACACTGAATTTCTGGGTTTCTGAGTGTAAATCTGCTGAATTACAAGTTCCCAGAGCCCAAAGTGATGTCTTCAATTGCTTGTTTAGTCTGATTTATAATCCAACTCCCCAAAATATCCAATTTACATTCATATAAAACAGATAAAAGCAGCAGGTGTTTGGGACTTTGCTTAATAAATAACCTACCACTAAGCTGTTGACAGTGCAAAGGGCTTAATTTGTACTCTGTCATGTCCATGTATGTCTTTATTGTTAAAAATGAAAAGAATGAAAATGGTTGATGACTATAAAAGAGCATACTGTAAACTAAAGTGAACTATTTTGGCCATCTGCCTGCAATGATTTAAAAAAGGATTTACACTGTATCTAATAAAATGCACAACTGTCTAAAATATGCAGGCCTACACATCAGGTTGTAGGTGTATGCTAGTTTCCTTCTGGTGATTTCAGTGTTTGCTGTGCATAAGCCAGGGGGATATTTTTCTCAAATGACTGCAAACTGTCTGATTCACTTTAATCATCAACATATATTTACTGCAAAACTTTCACCTGGTTAAAAAAGGACAGCCACTATACTGTATGCCTCACACAACGAGAGACACACAAGAGAATAACAGCATATTGAAGTGTGCAGTAGCAAAGTGGAGATATTTTCTGTAAGGTAGTTGGAATATAAGTGGTTTGGGTGGTTTTGCAATGTGACTGCTCAATAGCACATCAACAAAATAAGCAGCCAGTTGTAAGAATTGCAAGATTCAAAGCTGAAGTACCCAAATAACAGAGGTAACACATATTTAGCCAAACACAAATGGTTCTGAATATCTGAAATCCATCATTTATCTCACTAAACAATAAGTCTCTGTAGCAGTTTTGTTTGTTTCAGCTTCTCTAATGTTAATATGATCATGATCAAAATATTTTATTAGGACTCAGCTGTGATATCAAACACTTCAGTGTTCCCTGACATTTTGCCATTTGTTTCCTTTAAGCCACTCCAACAAATCACAGCACAATGATGCCATCTGGTGGCAGAATAACTATTACCTACTATCATCTGCTGTCTATGAACGATACTACACAAAGTGTCCTTCAGACAGAAACCTCTCAGGACTTGTTTAAACACTGCTATCGGTATAATAAAATAACATGACCTGTTAGTCACGTCAGGGAAAGACAACAGAGGACATAAGCAGTAACAAACACTTAAATGTTAATTTTTACGATCAAACCAATTGTTTGTGGAGTAAAATAACCAGGTGGGGTTGGGGGTAACTTTCATAGTTTATTCCCTTGCATGTGCATCAGGTGTTTGAGTAGCGCTCGTTTAAGTCACTCTGAGGGCAAGCATAGTGACATAAATTTCTTTTGGGTGGCCGTGTCTAATTCTGGGCCATCTGTAAGGTTTCACTGTGCGTGAAGGGAGGCCCGCCAAAAGGACATTGCAGTAGTCGAGGCGGGGGATAACTATAGCCTGGACCAAGAGTTTGGTGGCGTCTTGCTCAAAGGTTGAACCATTTGCTGGCTAATAAGCTAGTTAACCAGCTACGCTAACAAGCCAGGTATGGTTAGCGCAGACACCGACACGTGCTAATTAGTGCTAACATATAAATAAAATAACACTAGAATTTCACTCACCTCAAAAAACAGGAGCGCCGGCTTCCTCACGTCCTGTTAGTCAAATGACAGCACACCAAGGCATATTATCTGTCCGATATACATCACCAACAACACCACACCACATTCAGCGACTAGAGGTAATGCCAAACAAACAGCTAACGGCTAGCCACGTGATGGTACACACCTGTCAGCGGCCACGCCCTCAATTGTACATAACTCCACTAAAATAAAATAAAAACTGGTGAGTTATATAGAAATTAACTCTCGTACAGTTGTCATGGAAGGGGGATATTACTTATAAAGACCAAAACCGTTTTTTGAACCGGGCTGTAACATAGAGACATGTTTACTCCTGCTGTAAATTTGAGCACTTTTGACATGGAGCGAGCCTCAAGTGGCCATTCGAAGAACTGCAGTTCTTGGCGCTTCCATGCTGGCGGCAACGGAAGTTTCCGCTTGGGGCGCACGTGCACATCATATTGGTCACCTGACCTTGATTGTGTTGTTGTTGTTGTTGTTGTTGTTGTTGTTGTTTTTATAGCCTTTGAAATTATATTAGAGTTAGGAAGTCTTTACAAAAATTGACACCCCACTTTTTCTTTGACTGTCAGTTTTGTTGATGAGAATTAATCTCAACGTATTTACTTTTACAAATTTTTAGCGCAGTTAGAATATTTCAGAAATACTTCTGAATACTTCAGAAATACTAAAAAGAAATAAGCTTCCCAGGTGGAGCTCCTATATGACAGAAGAACAGGGTCTAGTTCACTTCCCCAATGGATTTCGCTTCATTTAAGGAATTCAAAGGTTTTTATCAAAATCCTCCTTTCAATGTCATCTTTTCCCTCTTAAAACGCCTTGTACATTGTGGAATCTCTACTTTTTCTGTTAACACACAGACTAAATCACCAAAAATCAGGGTCAGCTTTTCATTACTATGTCCACCTCACACATGAAATGAAGCCCACACACAGTGCTAAGGGTAAAATAAGAGAACAATTTATTCTTCGCTCTGTTCTACAAAACTTTATTACAACATAAAGCTGACGAACAAAACTGTGTCTGCTGGAAATCAAAGGTTTCTCTTGGAAAAATGCGGACAGCAATCACAGGTGTGAAAACTAATATATGTACAGTATTTATTGACTATTTGTTATGGTTGACTTTGTGCTTTGGAGTTGTAGGTTTCTTTGAAAAGCAGGAAAATATCTGTATTCCTACATTACACTGAAAACAAAAATCTCTGTTGGATAGAACGGTCTTGAAGACATTAGCACCATTTCATAAAAAGGTTCTTGATGTAAAACCACAAATAGAATAGCTATTAATGTAGATTTGGAGCTGGCATAGTAATTTACTGTATTTCTTTCTAGTGAAAAGGACTCATCGGGTAATCACTTTACCTAAACCTCTTTTTAGCTCCACCACTCACTGCATTAACCCTTAAAAATCTCCTTAGAACTTACATTAGAAAGTGTTTTAAAGGACATCAAAAAATAGGAATGTTTTTTAAGTAAACAGTGTCTCTGTCAGAAGAAACTAGAGCCTTTGTGTGCACTCAGGCTCCTTGGCAAAGTGGAGCTTCAGTTCTGTGTTTTCTATGTTTTTGTGGTTCATTTTGTCCTGTTTGAGCATTCATTGGTAAAAGCACTCGGTTCTTTACACCTTGTCATGTTACAACAGCAGAGTTTAAGAAAACAAGACAAGGAAAGCATGGCTGTTTTTTAAAACTTGATGTCCCAGTACTGTGGTGTCTCCTTAGTGGCTTCAAATTCGTCTTCACCTGCTGCAAAGTTGTTGTTGTTGGTCAGTGATGTCACCTCAGGGTGCTGGGTGGAACCTCCAGCCTCTGAAAATAAAGAAATTATGTGAATTTTTGAGTATTTTTTCCTGTGCATGCTTTAATCTTATGTATAACACCACATTTTAAAATTCTTTTTTAGTTTTTTTTTTGCTTTTATATTTTATCTCCCTTTGTTCTTATTTTCTTCTTTTATGTGTAAGATGTTTATTCATCCTGAAAGTGCAGACTATAAATGCAATCACCAAGCCCTATATCAGACATAGTGTACAAGAAGATCACTGCCATCTGTACATTTCATGAAGGGTTCAGGAAATAAAGATTGTTTTTGTCAGGGATTAAGCTAATCTCTTATCTTACCAGGGAAGCACAGAATTTGGGGCCTCTCCCACATGCCTCCAGACAGACACCTGATCAGAGGATTTAGTCTCTGCTGGAAACCCGCGGCACAACGATAACGTACAACTGCATTAGTTTCATATCTCTGTCGAGTTTTTCCGAATATGGAGGCATTTCGGACCTTTGGTGGTGGACCACATGAGGCTGTTGGAAGAGAGAAACACTTCAGATCTCATATTTATTCACAACTTTGTACCCATGATTTGTTCAACTGATGTATGGTGATGTAATAACCCAAAATAACCACATGAGGGAGCTGAGCCCATTCATAAGGAGCTTTAAATAATGACTTCAGTGTTCATTCTCTTTCATTTACTCACAGGTGCCTTTCTTGCAGGTGTAGGCCAGGTGATAGTTGCAGGGCACATCACTCCAGCGTCCATCATCGTGCCACACCATCACCACACAGTCTTCTCCAGAGAGAAAATAGCTGTCCGGCTGCCCTCTGTACCAGTTCTCATACAGCTGTAAACATGGAGAGAAAAGAGATTTAAGCTTTCAGATCTTTAGATTTATTTATTTTTTGCATGCAAGGATATAATAATCATAACATACTGTATGGAAATCTGAAGTCTGTGCATGTGTTCTATGACTTTATATCACACAATAGTACTCTATTTTTTAGGTAGGGTACAACTCTGTTAATGTTTGATAAACTAAAATGAGTTAAGATTTGTTTTTGGTGAAATAAAAAAAGGTATCAAAGCAATATAATCTGGGTCCAAGTTTTCCCAAGTATATGATGTAATAAATGGGTTGAATCATAAACAAGAAAATAATTTGCTTAATGTCAAATAATTAGAGAATCAACACAAATCAAACAACCACTATCAAAAAATGGAGAAATCTAATAAATGAAGTATGAAAATGGAAGAAGAAAATACCGAATGTTTGGTAAGGTTTTCAGCATCTTAACTACATTTTGCTTCATCTAAGAGGTGTTCATCTTTCTGTGATGCTCTGTGAAATGTTTGGTGGTCACACAGTATGGTAGCCTACAAGCATGTCTATATGTTTCTCCTGGTTTCTAATATTACTCACCAGTGGGTTGCCATCAGACCAACGGAAATCATCCTCGATGGTCTTATCGTTCAGACCAGTCCACTGGTATTCTTTGTAGTTGCCTGGGGAGGAGGACAATAAGATAAATTAGAAAAAACAAAAACCTCACTCCTCATGAAACAATAAATAAATAAAGTATCTAATTTCCTGTATGTACAAACAGTCGGCACAGTGAACCTACTGTTGATGTAATTCTGTTCCTCAGGGGTCATGATGGACACCAGGTGAGCTCCCTGCATGCGACAGTGCTGCTCTGCGACCTCCCAGCTCAGACGCTGGCTGAAGTGTCGGTAACAGAAACCGTGAAACTTGTCCCAGCCGGGTTCACATTGCTCCAAGTCTGAGAGAAACACAGAGGAGGAGAACGGAAGCCTTTAGACATACAGGTGCAGACATACATACATGCGTGATTTATCCCTAAATGCTAAATTGCTTTGAGTAAATGCATGGGAAGATTAACACAGACACCCAGAAACCAGCCAATAGGCATCTCCTATGCTGAATTCTAACTACTTTGCCATGTGACAGTTTGTTTGAGGTAATTTGATCAAACAAACGTTTTTATTATTGGCACATTAGTGGCACATGAAGTTGATAATGCAGGACCCACCTTAGTTTGTATTGTACTTTCTTACTGGTACAACGGCTTGACATTTTTCTTTTTTATTGATCTCTTATGTGACCAGGAAAGCCTTGTTTTGATTAAAAGCGAAAATGGGCAGCAACAATAATGACTCACAGACAAACAACATAGGAAATATGACACAACATATATCACAAAATCTGACTGAAACAGCAATGTGATGATAAAATCAGAAATAAAATTTAAATTTTGTAATTGGTAAAATTACCATCAGCACCAGGGGCTTTTGGTGCCCTTGGGGGTCTGGGGGACCCAGGCACCTGCTTTCCCCAGTTGGTAATCCTGATTTCCACATAAAAAAACAGTAGGGAGCTCACCGGTTTGACAGAAGTCTCCTCCATACGTTGGCAAACAGAGACATTTAATCTGCCCATCTCGGTCTGTGCAGGTGCCTCCATTTAAACAGGGGTCGTCCAAACAGGCATCTGAAACACAACAGAGGTCCAGTCATTAGGAGATGAATCTGATGCTTATACTACATGAGAGCAAAGGACACAGTATGTATACAATATGTTATTGTTAAGAGTGCACAGAAACAGAAAGATTTGCATGTGCAAGTACAAATGAAAGCAAGAGAATTATCAGAAAGAGGTGGATTTGGTGAATCAAAAAGGCAGCTCACAATTAATATTACTGTCTTTTTCTAAAAAAGAAATCTTGAAATCAAGTATCAAATCTATTGTGCATGTATCCTCTGTAAAAAAAAATGTAATTATGTGCAACAAAAACATTAAGATATATATGCACATGAGTTAAATTAATATACATATACGGAGAGGAAAATAAACACGTAGAACGAGTGGAACATTTCAGGACACATCCTCAGATAAAATGCATCATGCATAAAAAAAAGCATCATCATCCACATATGCCAACAGATGGCAGCAGAGGACAAACTTCAGAGAGTGTCAAACCCCTCAGGTCCTTTTCTCGCAGCAGGTTTGGGTGAGTCTTCCAAGATAATCTTTCTGTCTTTTTCTCCCATTCCTCCTTAATGATCAACTTTTCATACTTGTATATGGTGGAGCCTTAACAATGACGAATGATATCACACTGTGTGACTGGGTCGTATTAATTAAAAAGGACATCAGTAGGCATGTCACTCAAAACAAAGCAAAATTTTCTTCCTCATAACCAGTTTCTATACTATCTATATCTATATACATGTTTCTTGTGTTTAATATGCCAACACATTATACTTGGAGAAACCCAACAATGTTCCTTTTGAAATGCAATGACACAGTCACACATGATAATCATCAGACATTGCTGTGATTTGTTTCAGTAACTACTCTCTACCAAAGTATACTATCTTGCTTGTGTGCAGGAGTAGAAATAGCTTCAATTGGTTGTTACATATTTCAGTATGTCACACATGTCATGGGGGATACAAATACATAATAGTGCATGTTGATTGAGACATCTGGCACCTTGGGTTTCTACAGTGAAACATCCTCTTCTGATGATAGGTGTTTCAACCTTTATACCTGTGTACATTCATTAAACACTCTAACAAAATCTCACAAAGGCCCATTATTCAGAATTTGACTGAACTAAGTTGAAGGGGTGAAAAAAAATTATTTCAAGCGCCTTGCGGTGGCTGTTGCATCATGTGACAGTTCAATTAACTCTTAAACAATGTCATGAATTAATAATTTATCATTTCTTTTCACATAAAACATGTTCTTTCTTATGCTAGGTTGACATTTGTGTCACATATTTGGAAAATGATGACTTCGTGTTGTCTAACTCCTGTATGGATGATTACACTGTAAAAAGGAAATATCTCTTCAGCTTAAGCAAGTGTTAGCATCAGAGGGTAGTTATTTTAAAGCCCTGAAGAAAAAAGAGGGATTGTTTCAGTTTAAATTTCTAAATTTGTTAAAGAAGGCAAAATGGTGGCAGTGTGTCCAAACTGAAATGAAACATTTTACAAGTGGTTTTGGTTTATTTGTTTCCTCTGACACCCTATAAACAAGAACTCTGTGGTGTCTGTCATTATACTTAACACTCACATACTACTATTTAGACTGATCTTTTTGAGTCAGTGTGTGTATGAAAGGTAATAACTGCCTTACACAAGACTAATGAGGATCATATGCAGTCAAAGTAAAACTGGGGCATGGAAAACCATTGAGATGCCTTTGAAGTTTTAAGTATAAAACAATGAAACCTGTCACAAGTTTTTGCAGCACTAAGGTTCAATTCTCACTCTGTGAAGAGTCTACATGATGTATTTTACAGTTGTAGTATAGTTTTCCTCACGTCTATAAATTGCCTGTAGGTGATGATGTGAGTTTGGTAATTACTGAATGAGTGGTGGCTTTCCCACTGTGTTTCTCAGCCTTTACAAGTTGCAGACTCTCCAGTATTTCATCACTATGAACAGTCCTATATGTAAACTGCTCACCAAATTAAGGCGTATTGGAGATGCTGAAGTCGAGATTAAATGTGAAAAAACATGCTACACAGATATGCAATTGCAAATGCTTTCCCTACTTTTTCATCACCATGAATAGTAAAACTCTAACAGTAAAAAAAGTGCATAAAATCATAATCAATAAAACAAAACTGTACCTGCAACCTTGGATTAATTGTAGCGTGTTAGTGGGTTTAAGTTTGACTTGTAGCAGATGTGGACAAATCTGACATGATGTACATCATCACCACCATGATAAATGCAGTGAAATATTTTGTCCTCCATTCAGCGGTTCTTGTGTATCAGCTGCTTTTTCTTGTAATTTATTTTTAATTAACTTTTTCTTCTTTTTTTTTTAAATCATTGCCTTCCCAAGAATAATGATACTCATGAGTCATTATATTTTCAATTACTGTGTATATTGTTTTGTTAATATACTTTTTAAATAAGATTTTGTAGAATATATATTTGGAGAGGCTCTAGTCCTGAATGTAATTGCAAACATGCTGAGTGAAGCTGCTGCACAAGGCGAGTCAATTATCACCAGAAATATGGGTGACTGGAACGATTATCTTATCTTTAAATAATCTGAAAGTGCCTGTATGGAGCCAAATGCAGTGCCACTCTGGTTCGTAATATCTTTGCACCATTATAAATTCTGTTTTTAAGTTCTGCTGAAGAACTGTGCTGCATCACTTTGATGTAACTAAGTTCCCCTCTAATGAAATGTCCTCTATAAATAAAATTCCCTCGTTCTCTGATTAAAATATTAGACTTGTAACAACCCATTGTGTTGAACAGCACTTCCCTGGATTAGTTTACAATGGAAATTGTTATGCCAATTATGCCAGTTCTGCAGAAACCCATTTTTCCCACACATTGTTACATGTAGTGAAAGTTCTGACTTACCATGAAGATTTTTACTTTTACTTTTAACTTTTTTCTTTTCTTGGCGGAACTGGGTTTCCTTAGAGGTTTCTGAGGCTGCTTTATTTAGTTGTAGAAACTACAAAATGACTAAACTAATCTCAATATATCTTATATACTGAGACATTTCAAATTTCAAACTAAAATGTTTGAGATCGTAGGAAAACAAAATAACAGATTTAAACTGATGGCAAGACGAGAAACAAACATCACTTAGTTGACTTTATCATTATCACACCTAAAAACACAATACTGTACAAATCTTGAATGATTATGATTAAACAATAGAACATGATCTAAGTATGAAACATTAATGTCCCAAATAAGAACATTCAAAAACTTGTTGCTAAGTGTTACCACTCACAACCAATCATCACTGAACAATATTTGTGCTTATAAACATAATAATAATCTGTGCTTCTGGTACTAAACTATCTAAAATAGCAATAGTCTGAAAATCTGAGGAAAGAGAACAGTTTTTAACAGTTGATGATCTGACAGTTATGGATTAAATATAATACATTATTGCGATAGCACTGGTCAGTGCTGTTACATTCAATGTAAATGCTGTTACAGAGTCCCTTTAAAATGTTACTTCCAGATTACTGCAAAAAACATGGTGAGTTTTGACAGTTAGCAGGAAGAAAATGATGGTGCAGAGAATAATTTGCACTTGTTTGGTGAAGGGATTATTTTCTGAAAACAAAATCCACTGATCAATGTTCTGTGAAATGTTTACTGCTGTAACCATCACTCTTGCATAAAACCATGTGTCATGTAGTAGAAGCACTAAAACACTCATTCAAGCATACCACTATATTACAGTACTTCACAGAAGTCAATCTTTGGATGAGGAAGAAAACATCATGCATAACAAGACTGGACTGTTGACAAATGTCAAATGGGAGCTGTCCCGGTGTGAGTATCTTGAAGGGGAGGTGGGATCACAAGGACAGAAGTGAGAAGTGGGAGGAGTCAGAAGGGTGAGTGGACTTTCTGAGACAAGTGAAACAAACGTGGGAAGTCATTTGAAAAGGAGGGGAGGTGTTTTACAGAAAAATGGAATAAAGGCAGGTTGGGGCAGAGGACAGACCAGGGATTTTAGTGGATCATTGCGTCGAGTAGCAAGAGGAGGACGGTTAGGCTGATGAGAGTGGCTTTAACATTACCTGAAGCTTTCCCTGTACCGCCTACAGCTGCCCTCTCATTGGGCAAGATAAGCAGAGTGGGCGGCTGGGTGAGACTAAACTCAACATCCACCAGACCCTGATCCACTGGTGGTATGAGGTGCATCACCTTCTGGGGCTCTGTCGTCTTGTGGTGAACACTTGCTGTTGAGGTTGTCGGGCTCCAGCTGCGTCTGGACCAGTGTGTGGTGGTTGTGATGGTGGCGGTAGTTGTCTTTGTGGTATCAGCAGTGGGTTTTGTACTTAAGGAGGCATCTAAAGCTGCTGTGGAGGTGATGGAGGAGGTTTTTCTGCTGTACTCAAGATCATTCAGAGATTCTTGGGGTCCAGTTGTGGTGGTCAGCAGAGCCCAGTTAGATGTTTGAGAATCAAGAGGAAAGATGGTAAATTCCTCCTCAACAGCTGAGGCAATGGAAGCCTCTTCCTCTAAGGCTGAGGCAATGTTAGCTTCTTCTTCTAAGGGTGGGGAAACATTAGCTTTTTCTTCAAGGGTTGGGGCGACACTACCTTCTTCTTCAATGGTTGGAGCAATGTAAGCTTCTTCTTCAAGGGTTGGGGTGACGTTAGCTTCTACTTCAAGGGTTGGGGAAATGTTAGCTTCTTCTTCTATGGTTGGGGAAACAGCTTTTTCTTCAAGGGTTGGGGAGACTTTAGCTTCTTCAAGAGTTGGCGCAACATTTGCTTCTTCAAGAGTCAGGGAAACAGTAGCTTCTTCAAGGGTTGGAGCAATGTGAGCTTCTTCTTCAAGTACTGGGGCAATGTCAGCTTCTTCTTCAACCAATGGAGCAACACTAGTTTCTTCTTCATAAGTTGGGAAAACTGTAGCTTCCTCTTCCGGTGAAAAAGAAACTTCGGCTTCTTCTTGGGGCAAAGTTGGTGCAACTTTAACTTCATCCTCAAGGTTTGGGGTAACTATAATGTCCCCTTCAGGGGCTGGGGAAACTTTAACTTCCTGTTCCAGTGAAAAGGATACTTTAGCCTCTTCAATTGTTGGGGAAACTTTAACTTCCTCTTCAGGGACTCGGCTAACTGTAACATCCTCTTCAAGGGTTGGAACAACTTCAATTTCTTCTCCAAGGATTGCAGCAACTGTACCAGGCTCTTGTCCACTTGCCTCTTCATAAGCAGTGGTCACAGTATTTAAATACACTCGGTATGATGATGTCTGATACTGTGCTGTGGTGGAATCAGGAGGCAACTGAGAGGTGTTGAACTCCTCTGGAGACTCAGTGGTAGCTAAACTTACTCCAGAAACAAGGTTTTCTTCAGCCTTTGTCGGGTGCAGCCGTTTTTCCTCACTTTCTGTGGTGACTGTGTCCTCAGTTTCTAAGCTTGTACTTCCTTCCTGTTTAGAAATGGAAGACTCCCATAATTGTGGTGCTGTGGAGAGGATATCGAAGCCCAGATTGTCAATATTTTGTGACCCGGATGAAGACGTTGGATCTGGGAGTACAGTCTGAGTGTCAGCTGGAGCGCTGCTAGCTATAGCGGAAAGTGATGGATGAGTGGTGAAGCTGGAAGTGGAATAATCTGATGTTGAGATGAAGCTGACCACTTCAACGTCAAGGTCACTCTCTGGAAAAAACAAAACAAAACAAGTTTAAAGTTTTAACTATCTAAGTGTCTGAAGTAGCTCTATTAAGATACTGATGGTTCTAACCATGCTAGCATATGGCTCTATGGACTGCAGTGTTGGTCCACCACTTTGGTCCAGACTGAAATATCTCAACATCTACTGAAGGGATTAAGATGAAATTTTGCACAAATATCCCTGGTCCCAAGAGAACAAATCTCCCTATGTTTGGCTATGCCTTGATTATTCCACTCTACCATGGGGTTGACATTTTTTGGCTTGAAAGGCCAATTGATAATCGGTGGATTGCCATGAAATTTGTCGCAGCTAGTGCCAAAAGGATGACTTTGTATGTGTCAAGTACTTTGGTTTAAGAACAAATACTGTACAAACTAATGACATTCCCATCAGCCTTGGTTATATTTTGTGTTTAGTGCTAGTTAGCAAACGTTAGCATGCTTACACATTAAACTAAGATGATGAACATGGAAAACATTATACATGCTAATCATCAGCATGTTAGCATTGTCATTGTGTACATGTTGGTATTAAGCTAAGTACAGCCTCACAGAGCTGCTAGCATGGCTGTAGACTGTTTTATATTATAATGCTATTAAATTCATACCTTGAGAACTATCTCCAGATCCATCAAGAGGGAGCCACAGTGAAGTTAGGTTTTTGGTGGGAGCTTGGGTAGTTTGTGTAAGAAGCTCTCCTTCTTCTCTTGGTGACTGAGTCATGTTTGACATCTGCCAAGGCTCTGCTACTGTTGCCTCTTCCATCTTCACCTGGAGCATGTTGTCAGGAGTCATTGAGGTTGCCTCCAGGATATTCTCCTCTTGAGTATAGTTGCTCTCTGTAATGCTGTAATTGGCCTGTGATCTGTTTAAACCAAAGTTGGGCTCTTGTATTTCTGGAGAATCCTTCGGCCTCTCAGATGGTTGCGTAAACTCTTCAGGGTTTGTGTCTGGTGTTGTCTGGTTATGTGTGTGAGGTTCATATGATGGTTCAGGAAACCCTGTGGTGTTTTCAAATTCAAATTGGTGAAAGGTGAAGTTCAAGTTCTGGTGGGAATCTGTCTCATTGTAAACACTGGGCAGTAATGATGTGTTTTGTGAGAAATTGTAGGTTTCTGTGCTGCTGGTGCTGTTCCACAGTGCTGCAGGATTCTGGGAGTGAGAGCTCATTTCTGAAGGAGATGAAGTTTCATTAAACAGTTTTAGGTAGTCCGATGTGGATGTGGTGTTGAGAGGAGACTCTGTTGTGTCTGATATTACTGTTGAGTGTGTGTCAACCAGGTTTTCCTCAGTGGAAGATTGGGAGACAAAGGGAAAAGATTCAAGCGCACTTTGAGCCTCTCGCTCCACTTGCTCAGCATGTTGGTTCAGTTTCAGCTCTTGATCTGGTTCCGTAAGAATAACTACATCTTGTCCAAAGTCTTCAGGCTCTGTGGCCATGTAGTCCATAGGAGAGTCAGTGGGAGCAATTCTGTTATCTGTAGAAGACAGATAAGTAGTTAAAAAATATGATATAACAGCTATGAAAACAACTTTAGACTATCTCTTTACAGTTTAATTACATACATACAAATTGTAAATAATATAATAATAATATCAGAATGTCCACAAAATGTTTTTATATAATATGTATTTCATAAATAGCAAAGCAAAGGATTGATTACTGTGTGCCTATAGTATTCATAGTTAACATTTTTGTTCAAATGAGCAGTAATGAACAGTTTATATGCACATCCAATACATCTTTGACATGCAATTTAAATTCTATTTAATGCACAATCATTTTTTAGGCACAAAACAGAAAACTCACCTTTCAAACAATAAACGTCATGAAGGCTGGACGGCTCTGGGAAGCCAGTTTGGTTGCTGAAGCGGTAAAGGGTTTTGACACCTGTCTGAGGGCCTCCGCAGCGCTCTCTGGGGGTTATGATGGGATAACGCACACTGCCATCAGACAGCCAGCCAGGGCTGCAACGGTCCAGACCTTCACTCCATGCCAAGTACAGCTGTGCTGTTGTAGCCAGCTCTGCCCCTGCAGCTCTGCAGTATGCCTGTGCTTCATCAAATGACAGCTGCTGTGGGACGGGGTCGTGGAACACCTCTCCTACAAACACAAAATATTCATATAAAGTTTCATTATTTTATTTTATAGTATGTACAGTATTTGTTTATTCAGATCACTGAATTTCTCATGGTTATATGCAGATATAGCCTGAGATAAATTGGTGTGACAGATAATATTGGCTGAATGTTCCTTATTCAAAACAGACCTGTCCTATTTAGTACAAATGTTACACACAATTCTCACTATAACAATAAAATTTAGGGGCTCAAAAATGGTGAAATAAATACTGGCTGATATATTGTTATTGTTGCTTTTTAGCTCTAAAATACTGATATCAGTACTGTCCTAAAAAAATCTAACATCAGTGAGGTTTTAGCTATAGAAATATGTGATATTATTCATACCATCAATTTGTTCCACGTAACAATAAACATCAAAAAGATCATCTGGGTCCATTGTCCCGTAGTTTCTCACTCCTGGTTGCCCATCCATGTCTCCATAGCAACCTTCACGGGGCACTTGGATTGGGTATCTGGGAGAATGGAAAGAGTCAGCATTTCTTATGTAACATTAACTTCTTAACGTTTGTCTGAACAGCAAGTCAGTGTTAACAATTCATTCATACTGAGCATCCACGTTAAAAACCACAGATTCTGTAATTTCTAAAAAAAAAAAAAAAGTAGATCATATCAGGCTTGATTTTGGGAAAATGTGAATGAAAGACTAAACAATGTAACTGGCACAGGTTTGAGTGCTTGAGTATTTGTGCAGTTTGAGTGTGAGCATCATACAGAAGACTCAGCGGTGATGAAATACCTGACAGACTGGTCTGCCAGCCAGCCTGCATCACACTGCTCATATCCGTCATAATAAGCCGCCAGCAGCTGGTCAGCGGTGGCGATTTCTGCCCCGATGGCCTCACAAGCCCTCTGGGCCTGATGGAAGGAAAACGCATACCGGCCCAAAGCATCTCTGTAGTGAAATACAACACCTAAACACACAAAGTAAACACACATTATGAACACTTTTAGATTGAGAGTATACAAATCATTCCATTAATAATACCATGAAGAACGACTTTACCAGCTAAAGTAACAGCAAAATCAGTCAGGGGCATCGTGGTAGCCACACAGGAAGCACAACATACTGTGCATAATCCCATTAATACACCAATTCCTATTGTTACAATGCAAACAAAAGGTTTGACAATGATCCATGTCTGCCGTTTTGTTACCTTTGACTTTGAGTTGTACGAGGTCACTGGCGTCCTCCAGGCCCTGCTGTACCTCGCAGCGATAGTGACCCGAGTCACTGGAGCGCAAATCTCCCAGCCAGAGTGACAGGTCATCTGGGGAAGATGTGTGGTTGAGCAATGCCGCACGATCTATGTACGCTTCATTGACCTTCACCCTTTGACCCCGCGCCACCAAGATCTGCGTCTCCACCCCACCAGACACCACAGTCCACTTGACCCGCGGTTCGACCGGGGAAGAGGAGGAAGTGGTAGGTGTGGAGGACAGAGACACGAAGCAGGGGATGGAGATGGAGCTGCCCAGTGGGGCAAAAACCGGATCTGATTGGGGGATGTTCACCTGGAGGGACTGGACGTCATCTGCAGAAAAAAAGACAGAGGATACAGAGCGTGAAGAGCGGAGCGGTTCTGTAACTTTGCTGAGAATCATTCCCTCACTATTAAACGGACCTTTGTATTCTTTGCTTATAACTGAATGACAAACTCAGAATCCTCTGACACAGAGTATTTTATGTCATATTATGACTCATAAATATTTTCACTAAAAGTAAGAGATAATGGTAAAATGTAGACGTACCATATGCAGATGGTGTTTGGGTGGGGAAGGCCAGAGTGAGACGGCACACTGCACAGAGAAGTGGTAGAATCTGGACATGTCTACGGAGATAAAGAGATAAACACAATCAAAACTAAGACAAGATTCATTTTTGACACAGATGAGTAGATTCAGGAAGGAAAGGACATAAAAAGTGATGAATGAATGATTCATCTCCAGTTTCCAATTTCACACATATTTAACCTTTAATAGGCAGAGCAATTTCTGATACCGGAAGTCATGTATTGTGTTGGTTCAGCTAGTCAGGGGAACACGCTCCATTGAGCTAGCCGAATTGATTTATTGTAATATTAAAGGTCACAACCTGTATAACAGTGCCTCCACCACAGCATCCACCTACTGTGGTTTTAGTCTTGCACATGTACATATAGCTGGGGGAAAAGGCAGTATCTGAGTCTTAGCTCATTTGTATTTAATATGATTTGCTGCTTTCATGTAACATAATTTAGGGCTGAATATTATCACTGGAAATAGAGAAGATACATTCTGTAAAAACAAATGAGAACTTCATGAGGGCAGATAAACCCAAAACTCCAACTAACTTATAAATTGAAGCAAGAAACAAAGTTGACCATAGAATCTGCCTTTGGGAGTAGATGTCATTTAAACTGCCATCAGAATTAAAAAGAAAAAGAAACATTATTCCTGTAATGTACATACTTAGCATTATACCGAGAGTCATTTCTAGTAGTCAGCCTACTCTCATTCATATGGATGGGGTAGGAAAATGTTATTTCTGGGTGATCTGTGAATGAGCCAAATTTACAAGTCTAATTTTCATTGTGTAAAATAACACCAGAAAGACCTCTGTGTATAATGCAATAAAATGTCAAAAAAATTGAATCAACACCTCTACAGTTTCAAACTCGACTGAACTGAACATTACAACCTTTGCTGAGTGCACCTAGTACACTTGTAACTGGGCATATACATCATACATTTAGAGAAAAAATCTGCTAAATTGGACAGAGAGGTTCTTTGTTTTACAGACATCGTAACACTGGAGCAGAATCGTTGTGTAAAACACCGACACAAGTCCCATAAAATACTGAAAAATGTATCTCAAAGCTCAACCAGTCAGTATGAAAGAGCAACCTTTCTGGTTTTCAAAGGGAAGCAGGGAGCACAGGCTCCTGACCACAGGCCATTCATCACCTCCGGGAGCTAATGACACGGCGTCTCAGCCCAGCGGCATCCTGCCAGCGCTCCGTCACCAGTCTGGCCCTGTTATTAACCCAGCAGGCATGGCAGGACGCTCACAGTGACCTCACTCAACCTCCTGAGGCGGCCATGATGAAGCTGCAAATGTTCATTTATCATTATTCATCCAAAGTGTCTTTTTTTTAACTTAGAAACGTGGCACAGTTTTAATGTTGATATCAAAGTGTCTCTTCCTTCTCTGGTAATTTAAAACATCTATATCATGTTTAGTATCACACTGGTTAGTTAGCAGTTACAAAAAAATGACATACTTTTACATATATTTTACTAACAATATGTGCATCATCAGGCATCAATGAATCTACCATTATCAAGTAATGCCAATTAAACTTAGCAAAGAGACAGCATAATGTTATCACAAAAATATGATACTCATTCTTTGTTTTTCTAAAGGTTTTCTTGGAGCAATTAGTTCTAATTTTTTTCAGCTGTGAGCTGCTCCTCCATTTCTTTTGGACATTGCATTATGGGACAGCACTGTCAAAAAGAAAGGGTGTTTGTTTTGTCACTTTTCCAGTGTGACCACACCAGAGAGCGTGAAAATGAGGGAGAGGCTGAATGTAACGAAGGGGTTTCTGATATGATGATATACTCATGTTGTTTCAGAGGAGGTATTTGTGCTTGCTTTGCTTTAAACAAGAAAAACTTAACAAAGACGTCCCAGATCAGAGTTTGACTGCTGCTGATGTCACCGAAACAACAAAACTCTTGATGGGCAGAAGAACCTCCAAAGAAACCCATAGCAAAGCACAGAGAAGGTACTGTGCATGTGCATGTGTGTGTGTGTGTGTGTGTGTGTGTGTGTGTGTGTGTGTGTGTGAACTTGCTTCATTTATATCAAGATGAGGATGAATAAACAGCCGTAAGATAGCAGTATGTCTCACTAAGTTTTGACACAAGCAGCCTCATTCTGAGCCTCAGGGCGTCACACTCGGATACACAGACGCTCATCAAAATCTCCACATATCATCACTGGAGCTGTCTTCTTTAATGTGAAAGCTAAATAATAGCTGAGTAGTAATACCGACGAGATCAGAGGACCGAGTCTGTAAATCAAACGCATCCTTCGTAAGCAGCTGACACAAACGCAGCTCACTAAATTGTGACATATTAAATGGCTGTCTTTGATGGCAGAATAATTGTCCCCTGTTTCCTCACCAGCTGGGTGGACTCCACAAAGCTGGTATCACTATTAGTATTCTTGACAAGAAAATCTCTCACTAAAAAGCGAGCAGTGGGCCAGGAGGACAGCTGCACACTGTGCTTTCACTTCATACCAACTCCCTTACAAAAGGCTTCAGGCAAAATTAAAGGACAGGACACTGGCACACTTGCTTGCTCTTTCTCTCGCTCTTTTCAGGGATGGAAAAGCAAAGTTTTAAACCACTACGAATGAGCAGGATTCGCACAAAGGAAACGGCCACATTAAGACACTGCACACTCTTTCAAACGGTATAGCTGTTGTGAGAGTTGTGTGCGTATGTGCTGACACATGTGGTTTCGCCTCATCGTCAGGCGCTCTGCAGTTCTGCTCTTTTTAATGTGAGTAACCAACGAAGGCAAGTCAAGCTAAAAAATCAATGCCGACCCACTGCATTTACAGGTCTAGAAACTGCAGCCAGTGCATTATCCACAAGCAGAACTAATCCAGTCCCCTCCTCCCGCAGACGCAGACAAGTAAGTGAGAGTTGACTGACATGTTGGTCATCAGTGGAGCAGACACATGAAAAATCAGGCTCAAAATAACACTGGCCAGCTTGGATTCTTCATGCAAGAAGTAATGGTAAACAAGGAACATATAATTAGATGCCGAGGTCCCTGTCGGCGCTGCGCTGACAACAGAAACCTGCTTGATACATCTTGTGGGTGGTCTCTGCAGCAGTCTGCATCATGGTCAGGTCAGACAAACCTCGTCTCCACCAATAAGATGGAAAATGACTGCTGATCCCAGTTCAGCCAGTTCAAACACGCAGAGACACTAGTTTGACTGATGTAAGCTCTGTGGAGAGCCGAGCTGGAACTGACTTTGGCACTAATTGGTCTATGATAAAATACAGTAGGGATCTCTCAAAATGCACAGTGAGTGTGTTTTGACAAGGCAGACATCCACTCAGCCTTAAGTTTCTGTCTACCACATGAGCATTGTGGCTTTATCCCTCTTCTTTCATCTCCAGTTTTTTTTTTAATTTAAGATTTCAGATTTATTGACTCAAGGGTATGGAGTTCAAACAAAATATACAATAGGAATGAAGTTGAGGAATGGCCAGTTTAAATAGTACTTTTTCCCCATTATTCCTTACTATCATTACTCTCCTCCACCCCACCCACTGTTGATACTTAGCAGAAATCTCCTAATCTAAAATCAGAAACTCCATATTTTTTATTGCTGCTCATCTAGTCTTTGTGGGTAATCGTCGGATTTCTGGTCAACAAAAAATAGGATTCACTTTGCACACATTGTAGAGGTCAGGCTCTCAGTTCCTGCACTAACCCTTAGCAACCTCTGTAGAAATGAAACCCCAAAGACTAGATCCCACAAACTCATCTATGCTGATGACATCTGCCTGATTACTTAAGCACCAGATCTTAAATCACTGAAGAAGTTAATCACCGAAGTTGGAGTCATTCTTCAAAATCAGGCACCAAACACCATCAAAATGTCACCCATTAAATGCATCATCTCAACACAAAGGCTGCCAAAGAATTAAAGTGAGTGGAAACTGAAACACTATTCTTCACAGGATACTGTCCTTTAGGGGAGAGGACTGAGGTGAAGCTCAGAAACAACCTCATCTGTGAACCTGAAGGCAGCAGATGGTGTCCAGTCATCTCCTCACTGTTTATCGCAACGTGGCCTCTGTGTACTTAAGTTTCCCCTGTCAGACCCCGGTCAGACTATTCACTAAACACCACTCCTCTGGCTGCCAGCACCATCAAACGTAAGCGCCTCCACACATCTGATGAGTTGCACATGCTCAAAGGATTCACCCCCACCTCCAAAACTACATTTCACAGACATCTCCGATAAACCAAATGTCTGTCTCCTAACAAGATGGCAGTTTTGGCAAAGACACCCACCAGATGATTCACCACCCAGTACGAATGGGAAAGATTCAAAGGATGCTTCAAACAAACACCTGATCTCAGTCCTGACTCAACAACTCCATGGACGGACCACAGCCTGTGCATGGCCTGCCTATTATAAACCACTTGGCTGTGAACTCCCTCTCTGCCTGGAAATCAGGGTGTCTCCAGTCTGAGCTCTGCCATGTGTTACTGACAATAAAACAATGACTAGAGTTGAATGAAGGCAATGAATGAACTACTGAATACCATTATCCTGTCAAGAACTCTTTAATTTGAGACTCTTAAACAGTCAACTATTCATATACATTCAGTGATTCAAGATCTGCTTCACTCTCCCAGCAGATACAAAGGTGGCTGCCAGCTTTAGGACTTTACTTTAACCAAATAAATAGATACATTTGTGCTTTTATTACATCTTACATCTTGATTTACCCTTCCCTTTCCTCAAGCTTTTTATGGATTATTTTAAGAAATAAATAGGAAAGTTTACTTATAAAACCCAATATTACAAATCAAAAAATTTGCCTCAAGGATCTTTACTTTCTGCTCCAAAGTTTACAAAACAGAAAGAAAATGACTTTTTCAATGACCTCAAAATAACACATATGAGTGAAATAGGAGTTCAATCTGGTTCGTCTTTGGGGACACAACTAAATACATATTATACATATACATAAACTTTAACTTCAGCTTCATCTACAGACTTGTAATTAATCAAATTACTATTATGCAGTAACATTAGTTCATTATGTTGCCCTACCTGATATTCACTTTGCCTGGAAATTCATTCATTCATTATTTATTGTGAAAATTTGAATCACTGAAAAAAAAAAAATCCATGATTTCGGCTGCAGTTCAAAGCTCTGAGTGACAAGGCTAGATAACAAGAGTTACTACATCACCTGAGATGCCTCCACCCTTGTTCCCTATGTAACATGCAGCACTCCATCAAAGCCCATTCATAAAATGGCCGATGAAATTCTACCCATTCCTAAAACAAATACAAGTGAAATTAACTTTATAGAAATTCAGCATGAATGTTAAGGGTGAGGTTATTGAGTCAGCATCTGCTTTTGTTTGCTTCATGTTTGAGTTAGACTACCGCATTCAGGTTTTGATGGCTCATAATGAGCGGCTCTGATTATTATTATTAGGATTTGATGATCGTGGGCTACAATTTGTGAATGTTTGGTGAGGAAGAACCAGTGTTTTCAGTTTCACTTGCTCCAGAGTTACGCATCAGACCAGAGAGCCATCAGATAAGAGGAATCTTTAAAAGTTCACTGCTCTACCTGTCCATTACTGAGGTCCACCTGAGCCCCAAGGTGCAGCACAGAAAATGAACAGAGGAGGCTAAAAGTGCACTTAAGACAAATAAAAACCAGCTTCTTGTGTCTCCTGCAGGGCACAGGAACTTGCTTTACTAGCTCCAAAGTAGCATTTAAAATATAAAAATGAAGTTTTGCAGTGGAGTGGTTTTAGTGTAGAGGACACTAAGTCATCCTTTCACTTTCATGTTATCAGACTATCTCAGTGACTGATGAGGAGAAATTGGAAGTGAGTGAGCCCTCCAGAAACACATCAACCAGCTGCATGCCCCGGGTTGGGTTTCATGCTGTGCAAGAAAACAAACAAAACAAAAAAAAGAGAGAAAACTCAAAGCTTTTGAGAAAAAAAAGTTATACTTCAGTAACTGCGTCAGCTGCACAAAATGGGGAGAAAATAGCTAACCCCGGTTTCAGAACCTCAGCTGAGGACAGCAACTATTACAACCCAATAAACCGGTGAAGGGTAATTTTCTTAAATGGCACCATCATTTAACGTGACTTTGTGAGTTTAAAAGAAGTTTGACACGACGAAAACCGCATGAACTGCGCATCATCATCATCATCATCATCATCATCACAGCACTTCAAAGAAAAACCTACCGGATTCTTCTCAGCAGCATTTCAGCTGATGCGGGATGGACTGACTTCTCGGCTGTAAAAAAGTATTTTCCCTCCGCTCCTCACAGCTTGCTGCAGTGCGACTACCGTCCTGTCAGGAGGGGGGGAAAGGCGGCTGTGGATGCTCTGCGCAGGTATATATTAGTACCGGGAACTGGGACTGCCGCGGTCCGACCGACTCCGATGCTTGGAAAGAAAAGGAGGGAGTTGAGAGAAAGTGAAGCCAGATATGAAACCCTGAACTGCCCACTTTTTAGACCAACAATCGGGATGGAGATGGCGCATGCCTGTCAAAGGAGGTTGGGAGGGATGACATCTAAAATAACCGATGTTATAGGCTGTGAAGTGAAGCCTGCACTAAGGAGATGACCTATATGGGTTTTTTTTCTGCAGGGAAACGACAAATGCATTGAGCGTCATTTAGATGGACCTGGCTGAGTTGAGTCAGCAGAGCAGGCAGCTGATGCTACTGCAGGTAGTGATATTGCAGCACGGTCACCTGTACTGGAGGAGAAGGATGAGGGAGCTGTCCCCATAGTTTTTTTGACAAGAACAGTGACTCATCCTGTTATTTTGCTGCCACATCACTTAAGTGGCCTGTTGTTGTTTTCATTTAAATCACATTGAACAAGTTTGCATGCATCACCACTGGAGTCATGAGCGGCTTGCAACAACTTAACATCACAGAAACAGTCCCCTGGTGACAGACCACATTATGTCCAACTTGAATCTGCAGACCTGCATTTCATTTGACATCATTAAACTCAATGCACTGCCACAGTTTAGTAGTCATTAACTGCAGGTAATCCAGAGATAGCCAAACATCCTCCAAAAAGGTCACAAAGATATTCATTTAAACAAACTGTACCTTAAAGTTGCATGAAAATAGAAATATATTTTTTGATGCAAACATTACATCATTTCTCTTTATACTGTTGTATAACAAACTCAAAAGAGCTTGTTGAAGAGAAATGAAGAATGCATTCGTCTCCTGTTCATGGCCAGATTAACCTGCATGGGGCCCAGGGCAAAAATGAGCTTTGACCACACCTCCACCCTTCACCAACCTCTTTTTTTTCTCTATGCATTATGTGTCCTGTCATCGTCAAGTAAAGAAACTGAACAAAAATGTATTCAGTAAAATGCACCATGTGAAAGTAGATTTGACACGGTGCTCCTCAACACAAATCAACAAGCCTCCCATCAAGACGTGATGAATTGTAAAAATGGAAAGAACAGTGCAGACTTATGGACAGTCTCTCCTCAAAAGCAGTCACGGCATTGCACTTGTTTCTACACAAAAACCGATAGAGGTTGTGTGATGAATGAACAAGACAAAGAATCTACAGCCATGCTTGCAGCTCAGGCACAGCAGGGATTTGAGCAAGAGGCTTCATCCTCTGGGAACTATGAATTTCTATGCAAAATTGTTGTGCCAGATAATCTACAGTAGTAGGTGATGAGATATTTCACAGGATAAATGAAAAGGTCCCAATAGCTGTCAAGATATTTCACCAAAAGTCCTCCGCCCCAAAAAAAAAAACTCAAACTCAAGGTGGTGCTAGAGCAAAAGTCAGAGGATCACCAAAAGCAGCAGGATTCATCCTCTGGGGACCATGAATGTGTGTACAAACTTTCAAGGCCAAGTTACAAATAGTGTAAAAGATGTGTGGGGAGGCTGTTCAAGGATTTTATAAGCAAGCTGCCTACTTTGCCCAGTCAAAAGTCAATCCTTGGGCCATGTCATCAAGTCATGTTAATTTGATTTACACAGCCCAAAATCATAAACGGTTTAACAATCTGTATAACATATGACACCCTCCATCCTTAAATCCTGGATTCGGAAAAGGAAAAACTCCTCCTCAAAACGAAAAGGAAAAAGGAGGAAACCAAAAGAAGAACAACAGAGGAGGGATCCCTGTTCTCGGACAGACGTGCAATAGATGTCATATGGACATAAAAGACAGAAATAACAGTAAATAAAACCATCAGAGGGTAGAAAATCAGTGCAGAACTGACTGGAATCTCATCTCAGCCAGCAAGGTGTAAGATTTACAGCCGAGGTGAAACCTGTGGTCATTATTAGTTACACGGTATAATTCCAAGTACGCCGTTGGCTCAGCGCTGGACTCTGCCACCTGTTTATACTGTATGTAACAGAGACACACAGAAGACGAATAGGGTCAAACGAAGTGTGTGCTGTGCCCTCTGCAGAGAGGGTGAATGGTGCTTTGTAGTGGTTGCTCTGTGGCTCGGCAGCAGCAGTTGTTGCTGCACACCTGAGGAATCTGACGCCCAGATACCAGCAGGACTGTCTGAGAAGGAAATGTCAAAGCTCAGAGCACAGACAAAGATCAGAGGTGTGCTCCAGTCCAACTTTAGCTATGACTGACTGTCACAGTGACCCAGATTAATTCAAGTCCAATCAGCAGTTACGCTCACTGTAAGACATCATCCTCCCTGCTGCCATGTGTGTTCAGCAGCAGGGTCGTAGAGTATAGGGATGGTCGGCCTTCAAGCAGGAATGTCTTCCTTCCAAAGACTCCATCCATTCAGCTCAGTCAGGTCTCTTACAGTGTCTTTAAAGCAACTGGCTTGAGAATGCTCTGAAATTCAATGAGACAGTACCCTGTAATTATCTCCTGTTGCCGCCGTTTAGCCAAAGCTATGTAGCCTCACTTATACCAATATGGCAGAGAAGCCATTAAAAGTGCACAGGGAAAAAAAAAGGAAATTTCAACATCTACAGTTCCACGACAACTGAACAAACTCCATTTGCTGATGAAGATCATGTGACATGATCAAAAGCACCAGAACAGCTGCTTAATGGACCTCGTGGTGAAACCGTTTCTACAAAAGAATACCGTGCCTGCTGCGAATCATCAGAAAGAAACAACTGCTTTTTAGTTTGAGAATATCCACACAGATCAAGTCTTATATAGAAGGTGGACGGTGTTGATTTGAAATAATTTATGTGCAATGTGTATGTGTGTGTGTGTGTGTGTGCCTGTGTCATACAGTGGTGGAAAGTAACAGAGTACATTTACTTCAGAACAGTACTGCAGTACAGTTTAACATAAAACTCATGAACCATGTCAGGATGAAAGAATTGAATGCCACAAGTTAGAGCAGTGTTTTACCTTCTTCTTAAGCAGAACTGTAACATACTGAAGTCATACACGAGAATCGTTTGGGAGCCAACTAAACTGACCAAACATAGTTAAACATGCATGCAAGCCATGCCTCAGACCTGCATACAAGCTAACGTTACATTTTCCAGCAGCCATCAAACAACCAGCCTATAATTAGACACTATCATTATATTGTGAGCTGAGCTGAGATCATCAAGTGAGTCAAGAGCAACACTGACATTTAGCTTTAAAGTGTCTTCAGATGTTCTGGAGATGTTTGCATGATTGCAGGTCCTTCTGTTTCTGCAAGGACAATGTAATACTACTCATCAGGCAGGGGTGAATTTCTCAAATCATGTTTTTATATTTTAAAATCTGCACCGCAGCCAGTTCATCATGTACAGAAACTGAGTATCAAGTGACTACAGGTACGTATTTAACAAATTCAGGTATCTTTGAAGGATGCTACATACTGTAATCTGACTTTTTAAATGAACAATCAATAACACTTTTGTTGGTGAATTCGCCTCTGACGCATGCAGCAAGCATCACCAGGTGGGATTCATTAGTTAACGTGGCTGAGAAGCAAATGTGACTCAGCTAAAAAACAGAGCAAAGCCTGCAGTTTATTTTTATGTATTCTTAATTCTGCTTGAGTCATGTTCAGTGGTTTCATTTAACTGGGTTACCAGAATTACTGTCAACTCACCACAAGGTATAAATTAGTAGATGGCCATTCTTAAAACTCGCTCTACCCTCTTCAAGTCAAAATGGCCATAAGTCTGTGTTTTTTTGTGCGTGTAAACGGGGAAAAATGAGGACAAATGAAGCAATACAAAGGTTCCACTTCACCAATTTTACACTTCACCTTGATGTAATCCCAGACTGAAATACAACGCTCATGCAATGACAGGAAAGAAGACCAGCCTTTGAATCATTTTTCCTCCCATAAAAGCGAAACCTCAAAACCCTGTTTCCGCTGACTGGCTGCTTTTATTCCCTCTTGGTTGCAAAGTGGCAGAAGCAAACTGGTTCAGGAGGGACGAGTGTGGGAAAGCTGCTCCACTCATCGGCCAAACCAGCAGCCTGCCATGCTTTCTGCATGATGCTGCTGCACTGACCAGAAATTAGGGTATGGAGAGCCACTGTGAAATTTTGACGCAATTATATAATCTGTGACACATCATTTTTTTTTCTCGTTTTTTTTGTGTCAGTGCCTGGAAGGGAGGCTAGTTGCTTCTGCAGCTGGAGATCTGGCAGCAAGTTAACGTGGTCTTTCTGTAAATCAATACTCTTGGTTAACCAGCAAGGAAAAAGAGACTTCATAGACCTAATCGGCCGCCTCCCTCATATATCACTGATAAATGTACAGCTGAGGATGATCTTAAAAAAGGCCGGGTATTTCAGGGACAGATATAGATAAAAAGGGATATTTATAGCTATAGTGGGATATTTTAAGTGAAGGGAGTCTTTCTGTCTGGGGTGCCAGTGAAAAATACAATTTAATCAGGGCCATGAGAACTTTAGAAGTACAGAGGACCAAATGAGTCCAAATCCTCCAGTGCAACCACACTAAATTTTTGAGTACCATCACCAGAAAAGCCTGACAAATTTTACTTTACTTTTTAAAAAGACTTTCTCATTCATTCATCTATTTATTTATTTTTTTTAATTTTTAATTTTGTCTCCCTGCATGTTAGCCCATAATTTTGGTTGATACAGTTGAAAATACAGAATATTGAATCCCTTTATTATATTTTATTTATTTTAAATAACTTTATTTATTTGCCTAAAACGGTCTAAATCTGTTCTAAAAGAATAAATACCCACCACATGTAATTAGGAAAGAGGACTTGACATTCAGCCCTGAATTCAAATGGTGATTGAATTATCTATGTTCACATTAAACAAAATAGCAATGCAGTTTTGTGGCTAATGTTACATGATACTCCTCTTATCATTTCTTGTACTGGCACTACAGACGTTACTGTAGTGAACTGCAAGCTAATCAAGCACATTTTAACTGTGTCCTCCCAGTCGAACACCTTCGCAGGATCATTGGTTTGTGTGAAGGTGTTTTGAGATCCAAGAAACCCTGAATATGTATTTAGCAATTTTAAGTTTCTGGCGGACACAAGAGGAAAACTTTAGAGGTAGCCAGTTTGAATGTGTCGACCAGCTGGAGAGACTGGAGTGGGTGAACAATTAATGCTCTATCCTTCTTCAACAGCTGTTGTAAAAATGCCCTTCTACATTTCAATTTAACATTTTAATGGATGACATTTGAGTAGTTTCAGCAGGAGAAACACTGGTGTAACCAATAACATTAACGATGGCTCTGGACCATTGGTGTCTCAGTAAACCATGACAGGGTGACTGTCAGCCAGGACACACTGGAACCTTCACACTGGAATGAAATGTAGTCATTATTGATGTTATTGATTATACCTGTGCATTTCCTGTTCTGTGAAAATGTCCTCAGTGGGATGCACAGTAGTGAGGATGATAGCACAATTGCAGCCATTTTTTCTATTCATTTCCCATCACCTTTTCTTTTCATCATATGATTTGATTGTAATCAAATTCTGATAAATTTTATGTCAGTTTTTCCAAATGCATGCATGAATAAGTTTGCCTCCCTCTTAATATTTGTTTATACACAGGTCCATGTGTATACAGGAGAAAGGCTTGTGCTCTAAATTAAAACATTTAGAAAATTACTTTCATTTTGAGTACTACTGGGTTGATTTTGGGAGTATTAACTGGCTCTATAGATCAATTATTTGAAAGCTATACACTAAGGTAAGCAAGCAGTGCCAGTGTAATTCTACAGTGAAGAAACTGATAACATCTAATTGCAACCAATTGGCTTGATGGAAAAAGATGGTAAAATGCAGTTGAGATTTTATAAAAAAAAATATGCATTATGTGTACAACTGTACCATTAAAATCAGAATATTACTAAATATATGGTGATTCTGCTGTGGCCTTTGACAGTATAAATCATTTTCTTACATGAAAAACATTCATGGGTGAGGTCATATTTGAAACCTGAAGCAAAAACAGTCACAGATCACAGGAATAACATGCAGTGCCAGTGTATAAAGAGTCAAATGAGGTGAGTGCAAACTATCCAGTCTGTATAGTCTCCTCCCCAGCCATTTCCTTCTCCACACTGTTTCCCAGACATGTTGGAAAGACAGACTCATTTGTCTAGGAGCTTTAAGTTTTGGAGAGCAGCATGTCTGGGCCTCTGTAAAATAATATGGCTATTTTCAGCCTTATGAGTGATCCAAACAGGCTGCAACCATTACCATTATTAACCCTGCCAATACCAGGAACAATCTCAGTTTTCCAGACTTCCAGTCTGTACATATAATGTATTATACAACACTAAATGTCAAGTAATTTGCTCTCTCTGAGACAGAAGCTACTGTATTGTGCGAACTTGCATCAACATCAGTGTCGATCAGAATTTACTGCTCTCCTCTGTTCTCCTGATGTTGGCTTTAGTAACAAGCTTATTTCACACTGCCATCTTGGCTTCCCAAACTTGTCAATGGCACCAATTTATACCTGCTGAGTGAATATCATTCAAGCATTTGCATAGATGTGGGAGCAAAATTTTGTGTTCTCTTCCCAAATTACTGCATTACAGCCAAACCTGTAGTAAATGAAAATGCCTGTACTGCATGACTCCTGTGTTTGTAAACTGTTGATATCATACTTTGTGATTTAGTTTTTCTCTTGTTTTTAGAAAATATGAAGTATTTCATTTGTAGAGCAAAATACAAAGAATTAAATGAATTGGTTTATGTGACATTTATTCATTATGTTATAAAGAAACAAACTATGATACCACTGTGAGAGAATGATTCAGGAAACATTTAAGTTGCATGTATGTTTGCACATCTGTTATACCTCCAAGCATTTCTGTATCATTTTGTATGTTGCACCAGTATTTTACCATCCAAGAGCCTTACTCATGCCATCCTGACAGTGTCTTTTTGTTATGTCCTTCAGTATGACTCAGCATGACTAACTTCAGAATTGCTGCAAAATCTGGGTAACATGATGGGGGACGGTAGTGTCTCTGAATTCTCTGGTCAGTACCAGTAGGACCTTCGGTGCCGCCTGTTGTCCTGAATACCCAGCTTCTCCATGACCTCTTCCTCCAGGGTTTTCAGAGATGGTACATATGTTTTTTCTAGAGTGTCTTCAGGACTGGTGTCTTTGGGACCATCTGTGAGGGTAGAAAGAAAAACAGACCACAAACAAAAACTTAACAGATCATGAAAGTCCATGAGAAAAATGTTGTTGTTTACTCTAACAACCAGCTGTACTGGGACATTTTTTTTACATGAGGCTGTTTCAACTATATTTATTTTAACTAATGAAACTGACAAAAAGTTAAGATTTATTTGGACAGACAGTAAAATCTCATCTGCAGAGTCAAAAGAGAGGAGCTTTAACTAACACAAAATCTAAGTAACAGGAACAATATGCTCAGATGTACAGGTTAGAAGGTTGCTCAGCATTGGTAAAGGTTTGTGCTACTCATGTAGCCTCTAGTTCAGAATAGATTTTTTCCACTGTGAATCAAAGACTCAAACTGCATCACTCTGAAACCTTTTTTTGGAATTCAAGTCTGCACAGGGTGGAAAAAAAGAGCTGGTTTTATGTGCTGACTGTTAACTACACATGGAACAAACTGCATCAATTTTGGGTCCTGAGAAGAATACCCCTCCAACCAAAACATACACACACACACCTTTCCACTGCTGTGGTACAATGCCATCTCGTCGCTCCAGAACAGGTTTAGGGATGATTCGACCCGTCCTGACAGACACTCGAACCCTCTCACCCTCCTCTGTGAATCTCCACTCCACTTCAGTGGGCTTCCTGGAAGATCAATTTCAGTATGTCAAAATCAGTCTGTTAAGATACCAAAGATCAGGTGCATTTATCTAAATAGCGATGGGACTCTGTTTTAACATTCAGAAGTAGTTTGAAGATTACTGTCAAGAAGAATTTATTTTAATGATGATTTAGAGAAAAAAACAAGCATTAATTACAACACACAAACATTAAAGATGCACAGTGATGTCATGCAAACCCCAAAATACTTCAGTAAATTTTGACCCATAATTTTCTCCCAAACAGACCCATTAAAAGTCAAATATTACCTTAATATTTCCCTGTTGGTCACGGTTTTTCATTATGCAATGTTATAATATCAACACCAGGAATTATAGCTTTAACTTCAGTTCAAGCTGCAGTAATTGGAGTTGCACATAACAATGAAAAACCATCTAGGAAAAGGACCACAATTTATTTTGACTGCTAACCTTTGGTTCAGCTATTGCTAAGGTCCTGAGTTGGGTGGGTGCATGCACATGCATAGCCGCAACTATAATCCTGCATTGTCACAGGGCTTAGCGTACCTGTCTGAGGGGTCAACGAGGGAGACATCACGCAGCAGCAAAGGAGCTTCGCTGGAAATGTAGGTCCCACGATAATCATGAGTTCGTCCGACATACCTGTGATGCTAATACATAAAACAATAGTTCACAATTCTTCAACTTGTTGGTGGCAAAATGGCTTTTTTTGGTGAACTTTGTCAGCAGTTACACCCAAACAAACTTGACCCCAGACATTTGGCTCCATCTGGTGGAGCTAAAAAATAATACATGGAGTTGTACACTTACTAATTAAATTGTATGTAATTAAATAAATGACCATGAAAATTTCCCCTGATTGGCAACATCATCTCTGTGTGTTGCTGTATGTTGAAGCATCAGCACTTTGTGTTGAGAGAACAGATACTACAAGCTTTTCATGTTCTCAACAGCAACACCATGTACACTTTGATACACAAAATACAGGTAGAAGTTAGCAATGCTTCTAATTTTCTTGAGAGAGACAGTGAGTTGATCAAAAAAAAATGACAGAATTAGTGGTTATAGGCTGTGAATGTCCTATAAACAAAATTAATCCAGTTTTCTCTGTGAAAAAGATTACTTCCTTACTGTGTTCAGTCCCTCCAGCATAACCCAGTTTCTGTGTCTGAAGACTTGGATTACTTTTCCCTGCTTCCCTTTGTCCTTCCCTGCGAGAATCTCCACCTGAGAAACAAAAGCAGATACTTAACTCCATGTTGCATGAACATATTTTTTAATCTACCACTTGCTTTTATCAATCCAGATTTGGCCAAATATGTGAAGTTTTACTGCCCCATCCACTGGACTCTCTTGTAATAATCAAGCATTATCTTTTGCACACATGTATTAATACTACCAGTATGTACAATACTACTAGCATCAGCTTTACTACCAATGATGGAAAAATTATCACCACTTTAATTCTTTAAGTAAAAATATTCTACTGAAGTTGGCCCAGCATTTAAAACTGGCCCCCACAGAGCCCCGATCTCAACATCACTGTGTCAGTCTGGGATGACATGCAGAGACACTGAGAGAGCCTAAATCCACAGAAGAATTGAAGAATGATTTTTTTTTTTCTGTTTACTTACACTTTGCATTAAGTTAACTAATAAATACAAACTATTCATAGCATTGTGTTTAAAACATTCTCACTTTACTTTTGATCCCTTAAAGTTTGCACAGTACTGTTTATGGAGGCATCATTTTTGGTACGCTGCTATTTTGTTTCCTTAACTTGGCTTTTGCCCTGTTCTGAGTTTCTCACCATGTCCCCTCTGAGCACAGACCAGTCCTCCGGTGCTAACGGCTCCACGAACACCTTTCTCCTCCTCTTCCCCGGAGGGTTTTGCCTTTTAGCAGCCGCTGTCCATGGTCTGTTTGTGCCGTACCGGTAGTCTTTGGGCACAACAACCCTGACTGCCATCGACAGGAGAGTGGTCAGCCTCATTGTGCTGCGGGCACAAAATAAACCAAGGCTTGTGAGTTAACGCTAGGACAAACAGATGCATAGTCTCCACTGACAACACTCAAACCAGGCTAGGCTAACGTTAGCTTGCGGAGTTGCTATCAATACGTTGTGTTACAGCCGTTAAACATACACCACTATTTCCTGAAAACATATAAAAATCTCAAATGGCCATGTTACCTGTCTCTTCAATAAGCCCCCCCCCCCAGCAACAGCGTAAAGAAAACGGAGTGAACATGCAAAAAGATGTTACCCTCTGTTGATGTCAATGTCACATGCAGCAGTTAGCGGCGCACCATCAGCATCAGCAGGCAGCGCCGCCTACTGGGCGGGAGGGCGAGATCTGGCTGTACGCATGCGCAGTTGCCAAATCAAACAGAGACGAGTGATTGATTTGCGAGCAGGATGCAGGCCCCTGACTAATCACTCATCCCCAGTGCTGTACATCAGAAAAGAAATGCAGTTTCTATCCATTTAGATTTTTGTCAAAAATTTTGCAGTATGAGTGTCTGTCACAGTACAGATTTTACTTGTCATTTTCAAAACAATAAGCACAATTTAAAGGTTTTGTTACAGACATCTGAAAAAGCAATTTTATTGCAAATATTAGTTTTAATAGGACATTTTTTTTATAAAAAAAAAGAAAAAAGAAAAAAATGTGCAAATACAATTTTACAACCTTATTTTAATATTGGCTTTATGAAGTCCCAATGTTCTTGTTCTTTTTTGTTTTATTATGTTTTCATTCATACACTTTGGTTGTAGCATCTGTTTAACACTTAAGTTCTGATAAACAAAAAGGAAATAAGTTTTGATCAACAAAATTTAGAAGAAAAAAGACATGGAGGACAAGTTATTTTCATGTTCATTTGCAGTTTTACTCCAATATCCCATCTGTATTTATGATGTTTTGTCCAAGCCTTGAGTTATACTGCAGCATCTTTGCAGCACTAAACTCATTTGTATTGACCACAGCAGTTCACCTCAAAAATCTGGATTGGTTGAACTATTGAAATAAGCCCTTATTTCATGTTGGGTATGCCCATGAAGGCAGATACAGTTAGTTATTACAAGTTATACTGTATTGGTGGTATGACAAAGCTGTGAAATATTTATAGGACCCTTGTTCCACGAGACAAGAGGCTACAGTTTCTGAAGACCTGCAATCGAACATTGTGTTTGCATGTTCGATTGCAGGAAGTGGTTATCAATCTTGTGAGCTAGATGCACCAGCTGCCACAGAGATCATTTAGACATTAATACTAAAACAAAAATGCAAGAAAAGGTTTTATCAATATTATAAAAGGGGAAATGAGCAGATTTAAAACTGTATCACCAACTAAACACTGTATTTAAGGAACTCATACTCAACCAAACTCCATGACAAATTCAAAGCTGTCAGGAAATGTTATATAACACCAAAACTAGTTCAACTATCACAGCCTGAAGCCCAAAACTGTGCTGCAAGCCTCTCTTGGGAGCAAATTATTTATGACAAGTGCATACACACACATACAAAAAGGTGCCATTGTTAGTTTCATGCATTTGTAACAGAGTGAAAAATGGGATGTGAAATGATAAATTAGGTTTGGTTGGTTTGAACAGTAGATTTCCCACCTGCTTGACACTTGAGTTGTGAGCCAGGGAGTCTCAACAATGTGGTTTAGTAAGTGCTGTATGACTCAAGAGGGTGATTTAAAAAAAAAAGAGAAAATTAACAGCAGACAACTCTGTTGGTAAAACAGAATACAGTGACTAAGATCTGATTTCTTTAGGTGATTTCCAGTCTGAGGAAGTGAATAATCTACAATAAACAGAGTTTATTGGCTGTAAACATGAAACTGGAAACATGGGTTTTTGTAATCAACAGATTTATTAAATGGACTGGCAACTACAATAGTAAACCAAGCAGCAGATTAAGATGAATGGCAGCTTCCGAAAGTAACACAGAAAGCTAAACCAAGAATTACACTTGAATACCAAATTATACCCTTGGAATTAACTACAGATCTGAGAGGGGCACTTGAGCTTTTTGCATTTTGAAATCAGTGGTGTGGTGATAGGAAGGTGGCCATCTTAGACCCAACAGCCAGAAATATTTTCACTTTTAAGAGCTATGATTTCCCTTAGGTTCAAAATTTGATAAACTGTGGGCTCCTGTTGCCAAATACAGAACACTGAAGCAATGACTAGGACATCCAAGTAACATGGTGAAAAAGGCCAAGTATTTAAAAAAAACTTGAACCTTAAAAATTACAAATAGTGTAAAATAACAACACCACATATTGACCAACATGTCAAAACAAATGTTCGAATAAAACACATCTTTAAAACATCACAACTTTGTTTCACAGCCAAAATGATAAGACCATTGAAGTAAAACAGACTCGTATTCCAGTTAGGAGGGTAAGAAACCAAAAAGTCAGAAACTTAAAATTTACAGATTGTTCACTGTAGATTCTTTCTAAATTCAATTACTTTCAAAAAACACAATTTGTGTAGATCAAATGTTGGTATTAACAATGTCAGCAATACATTTCAGAGCTGGAAAAAAAACATTTGGTACAACCAATTACTGAATACAAGTGTTCTTCACAATTACATCTCCAGTATCAAGCAATGGCAGCATTAATGTGAGCTAAGTAGGAAATTATAATAACATGAAACTGAGAGTTGAGTTGATGGATTTTGAAAGAGTTTGCCAGATCATTTCCCCAGAAAAAGTGGTGACTATTCATTTTTTCCCCTCAAAAATGCCACCTTGACTTGAAAAGTTTCAAGACCGAGCTCGGACACAACAACATTCAGGAATGTCTTTCTGCTTTCAATAATGCACATCATCAGTTACAGAAAGTTACAGAGGGGTTTGCAAACTAAATGTTTAAATCCTAAAATAGTTCTTCTCAAATGGGGTTTACATATTCAATACGTTCAAAAGCCACGTAGGCTACATGTGGGATCCTGTGCAATTAATCACATAATTTGGTCACCTGCAATGAAGCATACTACAATGCAACAAAACCTGTGTTGCATAAAAACATCATAATAAACTAGTCGATAATTAATGGGGCAGTGAAAAAAAAAAGTTCTGAAAGTGCAACTCATATAACCAACAAGTGAATAAAAGATTTAGATGAAGCTGAGAGGCTAGGTGAAACAAACGGAAGTAAAACATGTAATTTATAAACTAAAGCTGAGATCATGGGTGAAAATTTGTTCTTGTTCCTGTACAATATCTACGTTTTAAAACCCTTAAATCGGAGCCTTTGTCAAATAAATGTAATTTTTTTGTTTAAAATGTTTTTATTTTTATTTAATTTACTATATATTCAGTGTTTATTCCCTCTAAACTGAAAAAATGTTTTGACACCTAGCATTTAGTCTTTGTAATTATGTAATTGCACTTAGAAATAAAAAATATATACACACCAAAATCCCATTTATAAATGAGCCTTAAAGTGCTCAGTTCAATTGTTTGAAATCAGATTAGCAAACTTTTTGTTTCTGGGATATATGATATCCCAAAAATGGCAAATGAGGATTTGTTTGTCTCTTAATACAAACACTTAAGTTTTTTTTTTTTTTTTAATTCTCCTATTAATGAAACAGCTGAAATCTGGCATCCTGCAGGTAACCATGTTGATGCCTAAATTCCAGAGAGAAGCGTCAAAGGTTCTTGGTTTTCTTCTGAGTTGATGTTAAGCACTATCTGTCACAGGCTGCAGGGAGAAAAGGTGAAAGCAATTAGAGAAATTATTACAATTTCAATGAGGTTCATTAAATATCTCAAAGAGTAAATACATTTTATACATATAAATTTTCACAATGTATTTTTGTATGGTCCTTAAATAGCTATATAATTAGCAGTTTATTTTTTAAAACCATGGTTTTTTAGATGTGTTTTGTTTTCAGTGAAAATTAAAAAAAAAAACATTGAAACAGGTTATAACTTTTTAAAAAGTTGCAGTGTTGGTGCATCCAAGTGCTTGTGGGAAGTTTCCAGCTACAAGACTGGTGGATTGGTCACGATTCAAGAAACTGTTATGTAACAAAGAGCCAAAATCAAATAATCCTTCAGTCATGACATTTTACCATTTTCACTTCTGGATTTGATTTCCAAACAACTATTAGATCAAAGTACTTAAACTAGCAGAAATATAATACTTTTTATTTCTGAAAATAATGCTTCAAAAAGTGGGGTTGTATTATATTTGAGGACTATATACCTAGATATCTACTACAGCACTTATTCTTTTAGAATGGAGAGTACCAGCATAACAGCAGCTCATAAAGCGTTGCATGATGGGTTGTTTGTAGCCTTAATGTAGCTAGGCTAGCAAGTGTCTTCACGTATGTTTATAATGCGAGTTAATCATCCCTGAAGTGTTCCATTAGCTCAGTCTAACATGTTTATCTGTCACAGAGGAAATTCCTGATGAGGGAAAACAAATCGAAAGCATCGCCTGATGTCCTTACTGACCGCTTCTAAGAGCCTGACCAGAGAGTGTGTGACTAAGAGAGAAGCTGCACAAATGTGGGATTTATGTTCCAGTTCAATGGAAGTATTTCATGTTTTACTTTACTTTTACAAAAGGACTCTCTGTTGGTATCTTGGAGGCTAGTCTGAAAGTGTTTTGTATCTTCAGAAAGTATTTTTCCAAAAAGAGATATTGGAAAAGTGGTGTTTTATTGTAAGTAGGGTCATCGTATAATTAGATTAATAGATGGTAATGGTTTTTTTGCACCAAGTTTTCAAAGGTCCTGGTCTATTTGAAAAGTGCCTTGAGATAACTTCTGTTGTGAATTGGCACTTTAAAAAAAATTTGACTTGACTAAGTCTCACCTTATCTGCTGTTAATTGGCCTCCTGCTGGAGCATTTTCCTGGGCCTCTGGCTTTGACTCGCTCTGCGAGGAGGGAGCAGTTGCCTTGGGTCCAGCCACATCGTTGAGCTTGGCCTCTGTGTTAGACTTGTTGCTCTCTACTTTAGAGTCACCTTCCACTCCTGTATCCTTCGGCCGCTTGGGAGATGCCTACCAAAGATTTGAGGAGGTGTCAGAGACAATGCACTGAATATGAAGCTCTCTACTTGGACTGTGTATGACTGACAGGCTCAAAGCTCACCTCTGTGGACTCCTCTGCTTTTCGTTTGGTTCCTCCCCTCTCGTTCTTCTCGTCGATGACCAGGGCCCCTTCATCCTCATCACTACTGCCCTCAGCATCTGCTTTCTCCGAACTACCTGTATCCCCTGCTCCTTCTGATGCATTGTCTTTCTTTGATGACTAAAGGCAGAGATTTAAATATTAGTGTAAGAAAAGAAAACAAAGACTGGACCCACAAGTGTTTCAAGACAAAAACTGGTTGAACACTCAAAGAAGACATGTCATACCGACATAAAGATTTTTGTGGAAATCATCATTGTACACTCTGGAGTTTTCTTGTAAACAAACAAAAGTTCTGATTATATTCAGTGTTCACACCAAAATGATGTGTGTATCCTAGAGGTCTAACAAACATGTTGAAGTCTTTCCATTTGCATTCTTGCAAATCCATCTTTCTAGCTTGCAGTAATTCTTCCCTGGCTTTGATGGCCACTTGATGGCTACTTGTCCATCAGTGCACTAATGTGCTTGGCTTGGCTGCAAGTTTCGGGCTTTTTGGCTAAACAAGCCATTTGTTTTTCCTTCACTTAACCTCAATGCTTGATTATCCTTAAGGATCTTGTTATGTGCTCACAGTACAGTAGAAAAAACATTGGGCATGTATCCTAAGAATTAACCTACCTCGTAACCTTCATGTGTGACGGTGGGGTTGTTCTCGATCTCCCAGAGTCCCTCAGCAAAGCCCTTCCTCTTGTTTGCTTTTCCAAACTTCTCCTTACATTCATCATACGGGAACAAATCCTTTGCCCCCAGGAATGCCCTATAGTGGTCAAACATTACTCTCATTATTTTCTAAATATGTACACCCATCCAGTCAACCACACAATTTGTGTGCATTTGGACAGATGGCAACACATTACATTTCCTCACTATATATTCTAATGATTAAAATAATTAGTCGATTCAGCTACATGAGCTTGAGCTACATAAATTTATCACAGACAATAATGACCAGTTTAAGATAACTTATCTGGGACAATAAGGTGATTAAGGGAAATTTAGATCTGACATTGTTGAAGAGTGGTCACAGAGTCATCGAAGTTGTTAAAAATAATTTTCCGGAAACCATGTATATCTATATGGAATTTAATGACAATGTGTCTAGTAGTTGCAAAGAGGCAAGAATTAGTTCAAGTAAGATATCTAATTTTTTCAAATGCTTCAAGTATCTGGCATAATTTAGGCTCCACTTTGAATAAAGTCAATAATGTTAATTAATTAAAATACTCACGTCTCATGTGTTCCAAAAAAGAACACCTGGTATTTGTTTGAGGGCGACTTCACTGCTCCTTCAGGTAATTCATCAATCTGTGAATTAAGAATGTAGCCTGTTAAAAAAGGATGCTGATCAAACCAAAAATCCTCAGTTTTTTTAGGTAGTAAAATGATAATGAAGTAAAACACTAACTCAAAAGTAGATTCTGATACTAACGAACACAGGTCCTCAAGATCAGTGTCATATGAAAGACAGTCACTTATATTCTGAATGATGTTACAACTTAAAAATCTACATTTGAAAAACGCATTCAGAGCTCAAATATGGATCCAAATGCCATTCCTGAGGATCAGCCTGAATGGATTATTTTCTTTATTGATTAACCTGTTGATTCTCTTTTTCCTATAGTGAAGAAAGGCTTAGAAAAGGCACAAGTTGTGAGAGTTCAAGGTAACATTGTCACATTGCTTGTTTTGTTAGACCAACAGGCCAAAGCCCCAAAATTTCTTTTATTTATAACAATAAAAGACTGAAAAGCAGCAAATCCTCACATTTGAGCAGGTTGAACCAGAAAATATTTGGCAGTTTTACTTGATACATGACTAAAGTTTTGATTTTTAAAATTATTGACCATTCACTTTGTGTAAATTTACTAACAAATTAACATTTGGGCTTTTAATACTAAATTAATCTCATATGACTGGAGAATCATGCAACATAATGGAGTTATCTTAGCTTGATGAGCTCATAATGGCTACTGTAAAATCCCCTCTAATCTAACTCCTGATGAGCCTAGTGAGAGCAGGGGTCACTGAGCTTCCTTCTCATGTTTAACATCCTTGCAGTGCACTGTTTTGGCTCCACCACTCTGCAAGTATTTGTTGTGTTTTACAGAGACATGGAGGCACAGGAAAGCACTATTATGATGGCTAAGCGTGGCGTCCGTTTGCCTCTGCCAGACCTCCTGCCAGACAGGCCTTTTGGCATTCCCAGATAGGGCCACTGTGTCAGGATAGGTGGGGCAGGGCCTGTAGCCTGCTGAGATGAGGCACAGCTGATAAGACTAAGAAAAAGGAGGGAAGAGGCACAAACCAATGCTGACAGACAAGTCATTATTAGGGGCAATAACAGGTATTCATTAGTTTTTATTTAGAGGCACTTTTAATAAACCAAAGGTGAATTTTTGTGTGGCTAGGTGTGATAAATCTTACTTAACTGCATAAATGGCTGCTGAAACAGAAACAATGACTTAAACTACAATCTAGTGTTTCCCTCTCAACTCCTTTTCAACTGCACAGGCTAGTGGTGGTTAGGGATTGCATGTTGTTTGATGTCCACATTTTTCCGTTGTAATTTTGGCTCTAGTGCAGTGTGGTGCAAGTTGCAAACTGTTTAGATTATTTTTATCCCTCCTTTCTCTCACTTTGTATGCATAAAAATATGATTGAGGCTGCGTTTTGGAGGCAAACTTAGTGTAACTGACTATAAAGTTCACATTTTCTCCCATGCTGACTGATTAGGAAAGACTGACGGCAATGTTAGGCTACTGTGTGTTTATGGACCGGGCAGACATTACGTTATGGTGTTATACCACCGTTTTTAATAGCCGGGACCAAATTTTAACGTAATGGACGTGATTTTAACGGTACGAGCAGAAACACTGTCACTTATCACAACAAGTGTAGGCAGGCAGTCATGTTTACAAAGTACCAAAGCATTTGGCTACACAAGCAGCCATGTGTAGTTTGTAATGCAACAGTTATTTAAAAAAAAACTTAGAACTAATTTAACACATAGCTGAGTAACAGTGTGGCTTCATGTTATTAGCCCAACTGTAACGTTACAATAACATTTTCTACTGCACAGACGTTACTGTTGTGGGTGACATGACCGTTATTTTGCAGCCTACGTTCTGTTACCCAACTGCTCTTTTTAACGGTTAAGCTCAAAGTTAACATTAGCCTAACCTAACAGGCCCCCCTGGAGACCGAAGCGCCACATGAAAAGCAGCGTTAGTGGCAAAGAGCAGCTAGCAACGACATTCATATTTAGTTAGCCGTGCGTGGTAATGAGGTGTCTGCCCACACGATGAATCACTCGAAAGAAATTTGCAACCGTCTACGGTGAGCTAGCTGTGTGTGGATGCTGGGCAACGTTAGCTAACACGACCGAGCTAGGCTAACTCATGGTAGCTAACCACTGTTAGGCCTCACAGGTAAACAAGTGATAGGAGCAGGCTACCACACGGACTGAAATGAAGACCAAACCTAAAGCTGGAAACAAGATATTTAACGTCGTGTGCTTACCCTCGCAGGCCAGTGTGGGTACCCCTTCATTTTAGCAAACACAAGATCTCCAGGTTTGTATTCCTTTTGCCTGTTGGACCTCGGCATGTTTCTTGAAGAAATGGCTTGCTATGTCAGATATGTGTAATTAGAACACAGTGGTAGTTTTAATGTGATACAAAATCCGGATTGGTCAGCACCTGCAACAAACAAGCCAGGCGTCGGTTTGTCATCCAAATAAACCAGGCGCGGAAAACTGGAGCGAAGACGCGACAGGCGACTTTTTTTTCGCGGATCCTGTGGACTGTAACCACGGTCGGTGGTAGCGACACCGTTCTGGTGTGTGTTTGAATAACGTTACAAATTCAACTTAAATGCTGTAACTATCTGGTTTACACGTTATCCCACAATGCACTGGCTCGTCCCTCGGACTGTTTGGGTTTGAAATTGAAACCCGCTTCCCTCCGCAGACGCGCCCCCAGTACCTGATGAAGTTGCACAGTTAGCGCCCCTGTTGACTCCTACTGAGAATTTCTCATGTAGAAAATAACAGCACCAAATTTAGAAGAGCAGTCACTAAATTAGCTATTAACTTGATGATGTGAATGCGGTTTGATTGAGAGGGAAATTCAGTTTTACAAACGCTTTCCTCTAGTATATTGACCTTTTGTCACCTAAAGGAAAACTTAATTTACATGGCTGGATGAACCTGCTAGGATGCATCTGGGGAAAATAAATCTCCAATTATGTGCAGGTTTTCTACATCGCAGAAATACCTGGACCTAGAAATTTAAATAGGAACTAATTTAATTGGAACTAAGGGGCTAGCCATGGCTGTCCCAATTCACTAGAGTTCCCCATGGCAAAAATGAACTGTGGGCGCCTATTCAGCCCCTTGATTTTCCCTAACGTTGTATGGATATTAACACAGGAGGACACTACACAACAGGAGCTCAAGATTAAGTAAAATGCAGCGTCAGAACATTTCAATATCAGTCTATATTTATTAATTCAACAAATTACCACAAACTAATCACTACATAGTGAACCAAGGAATTTCGCTGCCATAAGGCACTGGGGCCATGGGCAGTTATCCCCTTTGCCCAAATAGTAATCTAGTTTTATGCTTGGCCCAAACCAAATAATTAAAAACAGCCGAATAGTATATAAAAGCAAAACAGACATACTTTTGGCCATATTATACACGTTTTTGGCTATACAGTATCAATGAAGAGAATAAGGAGAAACACTAAGAAAAATTGAAACCAAAACCAAAAATAATGTTTTTAATCACTTAATATAATGTATTGTATTTTTTGTGTTATATTTAGTCAATTAACTGTTCAAAGATATTTTTTGTAATATATCCTTTGTTGCTTTGTTTGTATCCTTTTGTCTGACATGTAGGTCTAAATGGTGTTTCAAATCCCTCTCTTCACTGCCAGAAATAAAAACTTTGATTGACATTTAGTTGTCCTAAAAGTAGTGAAATATTAACATGTTCAGTCTAAAAAGGTTAAAATCAGATTATAATATAACCACCATGTGTAAATTTTGGTTGTAGAGTGTTATTTGTTAAAACTAGCAAATAAAGAAAAATACTGAAGACATAAAGTCGGTGTATTCTATTATAGCTCACCTAATGGTTCCTGAGACATTTTTCATACTGTAAATTGATGTTGCACACTCGGTCCGTTAGGGGCGGTAAGTTATGTAACAAATCAAAATGAACACACGAATAAGAAATGGCTGCGCAGAAAGCTGCGCAACTGTCGTTTTTTCAATCATGAATGATGGAGGCGAATGTTTTGATGGAGTCTAGGGACTAACTAGATGAATTTGTTGGCGTAACACCACACTACAGTCGCCGGTTTGTGGTTTAAAAATATACCCGCTGCATCAACCGATGTGCAATAACAGTTCTGTGACGAATTTAATTTGACTAAGCAAGAAGTGGTCGGTTAGCTAATATCGTTTACTGCGGCGGCCTAGCTAGCATTAGCTAGCGCTGTGAAGTTGGGACAGTCCTTTCATTTCATGAGCTCACTGTGAGGGCCTCTTTTAACCTGCTGTGCTTTCCATGATACTACAGCTCCACCTGGAATTATTTCATTATCACTGTGGCTATATTGATCAAAGCTTATCGTACCTTTAGTGGAAGTCAGATCCTCGGAAAGCCAGAGTGAGTACGGCTTCTTGAGAACAAATCAAGGGGAAGTGGTTATCCATGTCCACGAGCTACTGCAGATTAATAATCTTTAATAACATCAGCAAACATGTCTTTAGTCGCCTATGGCAGCAGTGATGATAGTGACTCCGAGGAAACCTCCACTTCTGCCGCACCGGAGAGCAAAGTCAGCGCAGGAGGGCTCTTCTCTCTCCTGCCTGCTCCTAAAAAGCCAGGATCTGCAGGTGGAAACGATGGACCAAGAAAGGAGACAAAAGCAAACCCTTCAGCTGGGGACAGCACGTCAAACGATGACCTACATCCTCCACCATCTAAAGGAGGCTTCCTTTCTAGTCTGCCTAAGCCGAGGAAGCGAACAGAGCCTGTCAAGATCACTGTACCAGAGATCCAGAGACACGATGTGAGTACTGAGCCAGATCAACCGTTTGCATATACATATTGCAGCTCCTGTGGTATGTAATCAGGTTGTAATTCAGAATCTATGTATTTCTTGTCTATAGTCAGACTCTGATGATGATGAACCAGCAAAAAAGAAACTACAACCTCAGGTGAGAAAATCTTACTGTGCCAAGTGACAGAATAAAATGTTCCCTCATCTCTCTAGCCCAGATAATAAAGCAGTAATTCAGCTGTCATGTCTGACCTTCTCTTAATCACATTATGGGATTGTAAATATTATAAAGTGTTTGTTTGTGACTAATAAAACACTGGAGTTTAACTATCAGCCACAATGTTTTGCATGTCACACTAGCACACACTGCAGACAGAGCAGTATATGGTATCCATCCCAGCCTAGATTTAACTCTTCTACCTCCCTCTTTTGTTTCTCCTCTGATTTTGTTCTCAACTTTTCTACTCTGTTAATAAGGTTCTAAATACATAAAAAGACAGGAAACCAGTGGCACAGAATATATTATTCTATTCCATTATGCTAAAGTAATTCCCTGAACTCACACTTCCCATTTCCATCCATATCTCGTCTCCTTCAGGGTGCAGGCTCAGGCCTGGCTGCCCTTCTGCCACAACCCAAAAACCTGACCGTGAAAGAGACTGACAGAGCCCTGATTCCTCATGCACTCACCAAACGGCAAGAACCCAAAGGACCCAAGCCTGGAACGCCTGCTCAGGGTCTGCTTGGTTCTAGTGCGTCTCCCTCTGCTATCAAAGCTGCAGCAAAGTCAGCCGCCCTGCAGTTGGCTAGACAAATAGCCGCTGATGACCAGGATAATGAGGATGACATAACCCCACAGAACTACTTCTCCCTAGGTGAAAGCTCCCAGCCCCTCCCTGCAGTCATCCCAAGCTTAAACCCTGAGCCAGGAGCCCCTGCAGAGCCACCTCCTATTGCAGCTGCTGATGAGCCTGGTCAGTCAGATGCCCCTCTTGACTTTGGGGGGAACCACGAGGGAGCTGGTGCATGGGGAAGTCAATATTCTCAATATCAGCAGCCCATGACAGGCCCAGAAGCTTTCCCTCAGGTAACCTTGATTTATACAGTTTCTTATAACCTTATGACCTGACTTGTCATCTGAATGGCTTTGTACTCAGATTACACGCTCTTTTCCACTTGTGTTACATCTATATAAAGATATTTAAATGAATTGTTAAAAAATAAGGCTGGCCCAGTCCTCTAGTAAGAGCTGAATTGTCTCGTGATAAGATCTGAGTGTAGCCATGGAAACCATGACTGCTGAGGCATGCATGCTCTCGCACATTATCTATTCACATACCACAGATATACAGCAAGGATGGAAATGAGACACAAGCGCACAGTCACATGCATTAATGATACAACATAAAGACAATTAATGGCTACAGAGCCACATACAAGGCTTAGCCTCTGAATCCTCAAGCATTCATACTGAAGAGAACAATCACCATGTGAGTGACAGCACAAACATTTTTTTCTACTTGGGCAGGAATACTATAATGAGTCATATTACCAAGATCCTAACCCCGGATTGTCGGAGGAGGCTGAAGAGCCTGGCCACTCTGCCATGTTTGATGATGAAGCGGTAAGAGGAAGAGCTCCTTTTTCCCCAAATAATTTTTTTGTAGATTTCATACTACTCCACACTTTCCATTAACTGTTTTTAATGTTGCAGCTGTCATCTGATGTGTTGTTAAGCTTGTGTTTGTCTGTTTCATTCCCTCAATTTAAGTTCAAAAACATCCCCTAATTGAGAAAAATGTGAAATGGGGCTGCAACAGTGTGACTCAAAGAGCCTTTTTTCCTTTATTTCAGTTCATGCGGCTGCAGGGGAAAAGAAACAGAGGCAAAGAGGAGGTGAAGTTTCTGGAAATCAAGGGAGATGACCAGCTCAGTGGCAACCAGCAGTGGATGACCAAGAGCATGACAGAAGAGAAACAGACTCGCCAGTCCTTCAGCAAGGTGACCTGATCTCTGTCACATGGGGGTGTTTTGCATGTGCAGGCCCAGAACTGACAGGACTGGGTGTGAGGTTGCTTCAGTTTTATGTTGATGTTTTTGCTCATTTGCACAAGGCTTGTTTCATTGAACAGGGGCAAGATGTTGTATACTTTTGCTTACTACTGATTAACACCCAGTTTAGACTGGGAACATGTAAAGGCATAAAGGAAATGGCTTTGGTAATTTGACTTTTGAGGTTTCTACCAAACTACAAAATGCAAATGGACTTGATGTTTACTAAGCTGTTACAAGAATGATGAAGAATGATTTCATGCCAAAGATATAAAAGTCAAACATATAAAAAAAACAAACAAAAAAAAAAAAAAACATGTAAGCCAAATATTTTCACATCTCTTACATGAGTTTTTTCAGTTAGGCAAAGAAACAAGACATGCATGAAGGTTTCACTGGGTGGACACATAAGCTAGCACACACACAGGACTGTCAACTATTTATGAGCAGGAATACTTTTGTGTTGTAATGTAACTGTGGCTACTTTTTCTCTTTTTTTACTGCAGAAAAAAGGAGAACAACCTACAGGACAACAGCGGCGCAAGCACCAGATAACATATCTCATTCACCAGGTGAATGCTGCTAAACTTAAATTCTACTTTCTGCATTTCTGTTATATAAATTTCATCATGTATTCATGTCTGCACTGATTTTTCCATGTAGATTGGGCCTTTTAAGGACTACACCTAATTTTTAAAATTGCACTTTTTGGTCAGCTTATCTTGGACCACCAAAATAATTTTATTATCTGTCTGTCCAGAGTTGTTGGTGTTTTTTTTCCTGTTAATTATCTGGTGAAAAGTCAGAGTAGCCATATTGCAAGACTGTTTTAGAAAATTTGGAAATTTTCAGCAGGTTTTTAAGGAGATACAGAGCAGGGTGGAAGTCAAGAGTTTCTCTACCAAAATACCAGGAGTCTGTATTCTCATTGTGACATGTCTGCACACATCCAGCTCCATATTTTTGGCTGCCATGCCTGTTTGTACAGAGCAAACCTCAAGCCTTGTGTTGACTCCTGTATGCCTGCGGTTTTTCTACAGTAGGCTGCAAAAAACTTCAAGGCAATCAAACTATAGCTTAAAAAGTAGATGAATTTCTCTTAACCTTGCTTGTTTAACTTTCAGAGAATTTGGCTATTCAGTGAGTAATGTTGGGTGTTGTTGTATCACACAACATGTTTTATTTGTATACACCTCGGATGGTAAGTGTTTGAACAAGCACACAGGGTGGGGATTATTTGCATTGCTGCACTGGTTGTCATTCAGAGCTCATATTTGTCTGTGCACTCAGGCTTTCGGCTCATCAGGTTTTCCCCTTATGTCTGTGGCCTCAAGCATTTCCAAATTATAGCATGTGAAATTTAATAATAACAGATTAGACACTGGGTTGTCTCTTTTTCTTGGAAAAATTGGTTACATTTACCAAATAGTAGTGTGTTTTTAAATCTTTGTTTACCCTGCTGAAAGGCATTATTTGTACAGCATTTAGTTTTGCAAAATCTTACCAAGATTTTACTTCATTTCTTCTTACACAGGCAAAGGAACGTGAGCTGGAGCTGAAGAACAGCTGGGCAGATAACAAGCTATCACGCCGGCAGACCCAGGCCAAATACGGTTTCTAAATGTCACGCTGCGGACTCTTGGTGACATGTGCAAACCCTGCATCAGAAAGTAGAGTAGAGCTTTCCAGATTTCCCAAACAAACGGAAGGTTGTGTTTGGGGAAGAACAGTATAGATACCTTAATACAGATTTTTCCTCTTTTCCTCCATCCTGCATTTGTGTTGAACTGTTAATATTCAATAGTTGTTTTGGTCAACTGTTTGATAAGGTGTTACTTCCACATTGAAAATCCAGTTACAGCCATTAAACTCTCCTTTGACTGTAGTTTATCATGAATAAACATTATTTCACTTATTTTCTAAACTGGCACTATAACTATAAATAATAGTGTAAAGGTGTTTTTAAGATACCTTTGGTTAGTCAGTGGCAGAGAGGATGTAATGTGACCCTGAAGTGGCCATTACAATTTTTTTTCCCCCCTTTTGAATATGTTATTCCTGTTCATATGTTCGTGGACATTGATGTATGAATGAATGAATGATGTATGTGACGTCCCTATTTAAAAGGCTTGGTTCTCTGGCAATCATACAAATATCAGTAAATGTTGATAATGACAAAAGAACTGGAGTCATGAGAAAGCTCTGACACATATACATACATACATACATACACACAATCATATTTATAGGTTGAATCAACAACTTTGTAATGAAAAATAAAAATGATAATGGAAAACAAACATGTTGCATTTGCTCATAAAAGTGCATATCTGAGTGGCCATTATTATTTATCCCCGGTTATTATTTTTTTTATTGATAAATTGCCAGAGAACCAAACCTGCATTTCAGTTCTTTAGTGACGATCAGGCTAGAGAACCATATGATTTTTTTTAATCATTAAACAAGAACTTTACCTCAGTTTCACTTGGTTGAATCCAGCGTGCATCCTCCAGGTTCAGTACATCTCGCAAAAATCCCAATAATGGGTCTTTGCTGAATTGATGAGCCCCTGATCCTTGAGATTCCCAAAATGAGGAATGCATTTATGTGAAGCTGATGTTTTATTTTAGCTGGTTGAGAGGAGGCTTTTACAATATTTCTTTCTCCTGCTCCAGTTTTTGGCAAATTCTGTCATCATAATGAATCAGGAATATCTGTGTATATGTCTTGTCCACAGCCGGTGTGCCAGAATGTTTTGAATAAGCTGAATACTTTTTGTTAAGGGAAAATGCTATGAACTGTGCAGAAGTGAAACAAAATACTGCCGCCCTCTCCAGCTCTGGAGAATATCGCAGGTATCTTCGGTCTTTTAGACATAAAGGTGCGTGTTGCTTCAAATCCTCCCACACTGCAAAGAAGCCTTTTTTTAATGGCTTTTCATGGAGGCGTTGACATCATTGTAAAGTCTACCATGTTTTCCTTTTTACTTTATCAAAGCAATAGGTTGAAAACCCTCCATCAGTATTCTGTTAGTTCTTAAAGAGTAGCAATGTGAATTCATGGGCCAGCTTACTACTACATGCACTATTTCATATACATTGGATTTCGCAAAGAGCTCCACATGTAAACTATGGCTGGGTACCAGTAGTGGCTCACTGTACCAACACGTGCGCAACCTGATCTGCCTCAAAGCCTAATCTGATGTTTGGCAGACATATCTTAAATATACTAGCAGTCCAAGGATTGCTTTGAAATGTTATATTTAGATCACCTGCAGTGCTTGTGTAATATATCTCAGAGACAGGAATATAAATTACAGAGCTTCATCTGGTTACTTTGTGAGCTCGGGATTTTTCTTATTGTTGCACCTTACCCTCGATTTCCCTTAAGACAGTACAAAGAACATTTGCTCTAAAGCTCTCTATAATTAGCAAATCTCTTTAATGTATCATTAGTCACATACACACAGGATTGGTAAGACATGCCACGGTACTCTGACCTGAGCAGATTGGAGGGGTGGGGGGCTCCTAATGTTAAGTTAGTTGGGCAACGCTGGGAAAGACCTTTTTGTGTTTACCTTATTCTTTTGTTTATGAGTGTTGTGCAGTTAAACTTGATCAATAAATCTTTTCCTTTCCTGGCTCCGTACCTTTAAAGGCCACTGGGCAGTTTTTTTTATTATAACTAGTATCACAATGATGCAGATGAAGTAAAATAATAAACACAATCAGTTTATCCCACTATAATTAACATGATGAACATAATTCCCCAACACAACACTGCATTTTCCTCCCATAGCATTTTCTAAACATTGTGGTCAGCCTACTGAGGAAACATAACCTTTTATTTCCCACCATATCAAATAACACTGTATTTACAGTGGTCCTAAAATTAGAAAAAAAAAAGGCAACTTACATATCACTACATTATTGTTTAATGGTATGTCGACAAACATCAGAAGGATACACTGATTTAAGTGACAGGAGAGGGGTTGTGTTGACTTCTGTGTGGATGAAAATCCTTTTAATAATTGAACCCAAACAGTTTCTATGCGTGTATTGTGTATTATAGGTAAACAGAATCCACTGTAGTTGTGTGGATGTCTTCATTTGGAGTCCTTTAATCTTTTTTCGGCCTGTCACTTGGTGGTGCTGTTGTGTCTTGAGTTGTCGGTGAAGCTGAGGCTGTTGTTTCCTCAGCGGCAGAAGCTTCTCCCGAGGCTGAAGCTTCACTAACTTGACTCGCAGAGTCTTTACCAGCCTCCACTGCTGCATCAGAAACGGCCTTCACAACTGCTTCCTCTTCATCAGCGGCCTCTGAAATGTCTGAAGCTGTCTGCTGCTGCTTTTGTCTTTTCAAATGCTGCTGGTACCTTGCAGATTGGTCTTCATATGGCACCAGTGACAAGGGGATGCGAACTGTGTTTATTCCATTAACCTGGAGGATAAAAATATTAAGAATAAGCATTCTGGTAGAACAGCTAAAGTTGCCACTATTTTTCTTCCATGCAGCTTTAGTCAGGTGTGACACAAAACAGGTGCTTCCTGGGTGAAAAATTAATAAAACTCCAAGGAAACATTAAGTCTTTGTTTTATGAGGTTGCAGAATTTTTCAGGGACATAACATTTTTTTTATTTCTTGCAACATGCATCACCCACATGTAATAAATGCTTATCTGCAACATTTGAACTATTTGTTAGTGGTTCCGAATCAGTTTTTAACTACTAAAAAGGCATCTATAAGTTGGAGCTACATGCATATGATGCACTGAAAAATAAACATTTCTTACCGTAACTTCACACCAGTAATCACCCAAGTCCTTAATTGGCTCAAATGGAAGACTCAGTGCATGAGGTGGAACAACAACTCCCAGCTAAGAAAATGTTTTCATTAAAGTCAATAAAACAATTACAGAAGCACTTACTTAATGTCAAGTAGCACATTTCTCAGTGTTTTGACTGAATCGTGTATAATATGGGAAATAGAGAGGAAAATGAGGATTAGAGAGATTGACATACCTTCCTGAAAATCTGTCTGCAAACGATCTCTTTAGTGAGCTGGAATTCTTCAGAGGGCATTTTGTTGATCTTCAGCTTGGAGCGTTTAAGGAACTCCACCGTCTGTAAAAACACCAGGAAACCTTTGTTAAAAAACTGACAGCTGTTGGGTCCGTCGTTCCTTACACTGAGACTGAGAGCCAGCCATTAAGACAGTCTTTGAAAAGTGAAATACTTTTCAAATATCTTCAGGAGACGAACACTCACCAGTTGTCCAGTGCGGGTTTGAATCCTGTCCTCTGGCCTCCCCTCACGCAGAAGCTGTGAGTAAAAGAATGTGGCAATGATGAATAGCTAAACTCTGCAGACTAATATGTGCAGCTAAATACAAACATTATAAAGCAGTACACACTCTTAACTCCTCAGCAAACATCGCTTTGTTCTCCTGTGATGGATATACAGCGAGACCTTCGGGCAGCAGCTTGTTCCTGGCAACTGATTTTTTCACAAACACAGTCTCTCCTCGCCCACCGAGCTCTGTCAGAACAAACCAGGAAAAAAAACCCAAAAAACTCCAAGGTCATCATCCCTTCATATATTGACTCTATATTGATTCTAAGTCCCTAAATAAATCCATGATGGGTCACTTCAGTTAGTAATTTAGGTTTATTTGATCTGTTTAATGCACTGATGATACTCACTTGGTACCGTCTGAGTCAGAATGAGCTCCATATTCTTCTTGGGAGCGTTTTTGGTGTCTTCAACCACCTTGTAGATTCTGTGTCTTCGAGGGTGAAGCCTCGGCGGGCTGCCTGCTTTTGACAAGGGGACCTGCCACCATCGCTCCACCACCACTGTATTCTGTGGAAACATCAAGCACCCAGACATTAAAATCTGAGCCTGTGCAGATGTTCAGTATATGTCAATTCTGTGGGTTCTTTACTGTTGTTGTGTTTCAGATATGCCCATTTTAATAAAGTTGTTTTTGTTAAACAGCATCAATCATTCTGGTACTACATTAAAAGTTGCATTAGGTGACATACTGCAGGGAAGAAAATCACAATAATTCCAGTTCCAAAATCTAAGCACTAAAAAGTACCAGTGATATTTAGTTAACGCTTGTGACTAGATGATAAAGTACATCAGTCCGTCTGAAAGTAAATGCATGCTAACTTCCTTTGAGGAGATTAGGATCTTCTGGTTCAGGATATGTAAGACCAATGTTGTAAAATGAAAACAGGAAATAAAAGAAGACAGCACTACACACATTAATCCATGCAGTCAGATTGTAGATCATAAAATAAACAGCCTGTTCATATGCTGACAAGCCAATAAAAGGTTTTTATGAAATCCTATGACTAGGGCATACTGATTATAATAATACCAATACATCTGGTTTTAATATATGTATCTGTTGTTCACTAACAGTTTTCCAGGTAATCCATCCATCTGTCTGTACAATGTCCTCTGTATTTATCTCCTTAGTAGCTTTGAGTATACAGTTGTATGCAAGTCCTAACAAATCAATTAAGGCCTAGAGTCAATTACGGTGGCCCTGAGAGCTCAACACACCGCAACTTAAGAAAACACATGCAAATAGACAAAACACAAACAAATTCAGAAAACATATTCATCAGTTTGACAACACGTGTGTTGCTAATACTCACAACACAACCACATACACGAACACTTTTTTTTTTTTTTAATTGTTGTAGAGAGCCGTTGATTCAACTGTATAATTATATTGGGGGCCGCAGTTTGTGCTTTTGTTGAACTGTATTGCATTAAACAGAGATTCGTTGATATAAATGGGGTGGTCAAAGTAATTCAAATAAGTACAATTCAACAGTAGAAAAAACCGCAACTTTGAATGATCATGCAGCCGGACCAACACCTCAACAGTTTCAGCAAAAACTAAACATTATGTCCTTAATGAAGGAGGATCTATTACGCGACTGTTGTATTAGACTGCATTCGTTTTAGCTAGGTGTTCCCCATAAACTGACAACTGAGTGTGTATACATATATATTTATTTCATTTGATTTGTAATGTAATTTGTAATATTTGCCTGAGCCCATTTTATTTTGCATATAAAAACAATAAAAGATAAAGAAAAAAGTATGAATAATGCAAGATATATTATATTACGACTATAAATGCAATGAGAGAAGAAGAGTTTGGAAGCATAGACCTTGTTTTAGTTCAGTCTCTGTCCTCCGGTTTTATTATATAACTTTAAGAACAAGGTAACACTGGCGAAGATATAAGTAGTAATTTAGTATTTACTGCAAGTGTTAAAGAGTGACAGCTGTGCGATATTTAATTGAAATGTGCAGAGACGCTAACCTGAGCAGGAGTCAGAGACAAACTCCTGACAGCAGTCTGGCTGAGCAGATCCTGAAGGACGCGGCGGCCTGAGCTCCACATGTTCAGTCAACACCGCAGACAACTGCCTTCAACTGTTTTATCCGGACAACTTTCTAAAATGTTTTTATCACAGTCTCTGTACAGCCAACACAACCATTCATTTATCCCTCGGTCACCGCTCGAGTCACCGCAGCGTGTATGCTAGCTAAAGCTAACGAGCGTCGGTTTTTAGTGACGTAAAAGGACCCCACCTGCTCCAATAGTAGTCCCGAAAAAATCCTGAAATGAAAGTCCCCGCTTGGAAAATATCATAATCTTTAGAAACTTGATGTAACAATACAATTAAATCAAAAATAACTCCACCTTTCTTTCTTTTTTATTTTCTTTTATTGTTCCACAGTAAACAGTTTGTAATTGCGTTTTTCACACATCATGAATAAAATGTTACGTAAAATGCACCAGGATGCATCCAATGAGCCTTATCATGGAGCATTACACATCAAATTACACATCACTAGCAATGGGTTCTTCAAAATAACCTGTCCCACCATAGAAAGTATTGCGGTTGGGTATCAAGCGGCGTCCTGCCCTCACAGTCTTACAGCAGGTCAGTAAACCGAAGCAACAGCCACAGGTGAACAGGAGAGTCACACACACCCACACCAAGGTGGTGACAACTATTTTCTTTTATTGTTCCACAGTAAACAGTTTGTAATTGCATTTTTCACACATCATGAATAAAATGTTACGTAAAATGCACCAGGATGCATCCAATGAGCCTTATCATGGAGCATTACACATCAAATTACACATCACTAGCAATGGGTTCTTCAAAATAACCTGTCCCACCATAGAAAGTATTGCGGTTGGGTATCAAGCGGCGTCCTGCCCTCACAGTCTTACAGCAGGTCAGTAAACCGAAGCAACAGCCACAGGTGAACAGGAGAGTCACACACACCCACACCAAGGTGGTGACAACAAAGGCAAACTGGAAGGGTGTCTTATGGCAGTACCGTTTTCCTGGTGTGTAGCTGGGAGGATATACAGAATAAACCCAGACAGTGCCTACAAGGGACAAACAGCATATATTAGACAATGCATTTTTAGTAAGACCAGCCTCATGCTTGGCAAATTATTTGATGGCGACTAAAATATATTTAGAAGTAGCATATTAATGATGCATTCACCTCATAGATCATATAAACATATTTCTCTCCCTTATATAATAGTACATTAGCTGCTTTTATCAATGTTGGGATTGATATTGGTGATCCTGGCCCTAAAATCTGCCCTAAAAACTTTAAAGCCCCTTAAAACTTAAAACTTCAAGTCTTCCTTTCAAATCTTAAGTATTTCTCTTTAACATTAAAACCACGACTAAATAAATGAAAATCAAGAAAACATCTTAAAATATGCACAGTTGATATTCATGTAACATTTCATGAGTCTCAGTAGGATGTGATCGTAGAATGATATTCATTAAATTAACCGATTACTTTTATTTCATTATTACTCAGCTATCTCAATTATCTTCCTCTCTTCTCATCTCTTCTTATCACATAGTTCAGCTGCAAAATGTTCAGAACTGTCAAACTGAAGAAAATGTTTTCAATGGTGACATTTTAAGCCTAATTTGAATTATTTTATTTACTGTTTCCATTGAACTATAGTAGAATAGAAGTATAAAGTAGCATGAAATGCGAATACTCAAGCAAATTGTAAAATTCCTGCACAAATTCAATTTCCATCACTGCATGATTTCATACAAGAATTTAGAGTCTGAAGAGATGTAACATCTTTCTGACAGTTTCTCAAACCTGCGATGAACCAGCAGAAAGTGAAGAGGTGCAGGAAGGCCACGCAGACCGAGCTCAGGATGAAGATAGCGCCATCTTTCCAGGTGCTCTTGGTGTAGGTCAGAGTAAAAGAGACGAGGCTGACAGCTCCCAACACTATCAGGTAGATGGGGATGTTGGGCTGTATTGGACAATTGTTGATATTTGTGGCCCCTGTGATGCAGCAGAGCAACAATGTGAATATTTGACATTTGGCCCAAGAATAAGATGCCAAAACATACTGCTTGCTGCCAAAAATCACAAAATAATACACCTACCCAATCCAATGGCTGCAATCATAATCATCCACCAAATTATATTCACCACAACTACATGGAAAAGGGAGAGGGTATAATAATATAAATAATATATAATATAATAATAATGCAAAATGAAGGCATGAACATGATGGAGAAAAGTACTCTAACCAATTGTTGAAATCGCAATGGCACTTTGAGGCCTGAAATCCTCCTGTGGAGAAGGGATCATGTTTTCTGCAGAGAAAGAAGGAGTTATAAGTCATAATATATCAACAAGGAAAGCTGCAGCAGCAGTGTTATACTGTACCTGTCCAGCTGTGGATGGAGACACTTTAAAGACACTCCAGTATTCACTAAATGTAGAAATACGCATGAGCCTGCATTAGTTGACACTTTGTTAATATCCTCTGCTGCTTTGGCAGGATGTTAGGGCACATTGCCTCAAGGCAGAGCATTGTTTCGCAATACTCTCTGCATCTAACTAAGAGGAACTGATGACAAAATTGTTATCTGATATAAATCATCTACATGCAAAGCGTGTTTTAAGCCACACACCATTCACATGGTATCCTGTTTCTCTTGCAGATCACTTTTTCTGAAATTTTAAATTTTAAGACATAATCAGTACATCTCAATGGGAATGCATGGTGCAGCATGAGGGCTCAGTCAAAGTAATGTAGCACAGGAAAGACTTGGTGATGCACATGCATTCACAATGCACAATCAGGAAGATCTGTGTTATCAGCTCTCATCAGTGTGGTTAACACAATGTTTGCAATTTCATCACGTCTAATATGTCATCTACTATTTACTGTAGAGCGGTTGCACACTTAGAACTCAGTGTACCTGCTTATTGCTGGTTTTGGTTTTCTTTGTAAATAATAAAGTCTTATTAGGTGGTTTTATTTGAATATCATGCAATATTATATAGGTTGGAGATTCAGAAATGCTATGTTAGCAGCAGCTAATGTAAATTCAAGTTGCTAGCCTCTAGCAGAGATGAGGAGCAGACAACAGAGGTCTGGTAAACTCACTTCTTGCTGACTCTATACCCCCAGATTTTGTTCATTGTCAAACTTGTAGTCCTCTGCCCCAACCAATGCTGACTCAAGGGACATCAGATTTTGTGCAGCTCCCTCTGGAGCCACAAAACGATTTATGCAACTTTTTTTCACATGTGCAGTAGAACTCCCCAATACTTGTGAACACACTTTGATGTGTAAAATCAGCAGAGCTCCCCTTTAACTTGTAAAATTTGCAGAGTGCCCTTTTAAAAGTGTTGAATAAAATGAATTAAAAAAAAACACTGTTTTTAAAAGTAACAGTGAACCAAGCAAAGATAATAAACACATAGTGAAATTAGCTTTCTGCTTCAATAACAATGTGGCTCAATTGCAGTAAATCATAGTGAAACAGCAGTGTGACAGTTATGGGTTTGTGACACACAAGGTTGACACACCTCCCTATTGAGCCAGTACAGGATGTTAGTACCAACACAGTCTGGTGCTAAGCACCCCTGTAGCCACACTGCCACCCTGTGACAATGAAATGTCACTCCTTCCATCCACCCTGGCTCAAACACAACTCCTGATGGCTGTTCAAAGAGACACAAAGCCACACAACCTGGCAGCGACCCCTGCAAAGTCAATAAACCTCTGTCTCAGGTATTGGACCGGTGTTCATTCCTCCAGCTAGAATGGTAAATAGTTATTTATTTGGCTTATCTGGGCTTTACCACAGGTACGCAATGACCTGGCTAGTGACATATATTCACAAGAAGTGTGAAAATAGCAATTGTAATACACTCCCACAGCAGTTAATTACTGCACAAAATTTTGCATATTGCCACTTCTGATTAATTTGATGTGATTTTTATTTTGTTTCTATGGTGAATGACACAATGACAAGTTCCATCTGAGGTATAATTTTATAATAATTAAAATCATATTCATTACAGTAGGGTAGTAAAGTTACACCTCACTATTGCATCCAAGCTACAACTGCCGTATTTGGTGTCCATAGTGATACCTTATTGATTGTACAGTCATTGATCAGTTCCCTATACATGGTTGACTTTCACTCAGATATTAATATCGAAATCTTTGTTCCTCCTCTTTCTCAGTGAAGAAATTGTATATTTCAAACTTGCCTTGCTAGGAACTGAGTTAAAGGCCTGTCTGCTCTTCATGAACTCTAGTTGGAAGTCAATGATCATTTGAATAATGGGAGCAGCAGGGAAGTCCATGCATATGATTCCAAGGCGCTGGTTCAGGTCTTTCTTGGACTTAAGGTAGTTGTACAGTTGTGCATTGATGCGCTGAGCGACGGCTCTGGGGTACGCAAACACACCAGCTCCACTGCTGTAGGTGAGAAAGATCTGGGCCTGGTCTCCTGCAGGTGCAGTCTCCAGGTGTTCATAGACACTTTGCCATTTCTCCTCCACGTGCAGAAGTGTGGGAACCTATATAGAGCAGTAAACTTTAAGTCACCCAAAAATTTTAGTTCAAAAGCATTTCCTCTAACTCACACACTTTGGTTGTGCCCTGATTTGCATAACTTCTGGGTTTAAGCAATGCTCACCTTATACCTATTGAATGTTTTACAGGAATTTTCAATGTAAAACCAGAGTGGGCTGCTCTACCAATATTTACAATGCTGTTGCATTCACCTGTCTGTCAGCCTGTCGTCTTATCCTAATTCATTGGGAAAAAATCCAAAAGTCCCTTCTCATGCCTTGTGGTGGAAAGATGTAATGTGTCATGTAAAGAAAACACAATCAAATTTACCATAATTCTACTAACCTAAGGTAAATATGGAAACCACAGTCAATGGAATAAAAAATTGGAGTGACTCTTATGTGCAGGTATTAAGTCTTATGAATGATCTGTATCAACACATTATCTCTGCATGTATTTATCTTTTTTCTAAAATTATAATTCAGATTATTTAGTTTTTTTTTCCACACTTAAAATGTAATGTTGTAGCCTGTTGGCGTGGTAGTAGGGTGAGAACTATCAAATTCAATAAAGAGCATTCATTTAAAAAAGCAGTTTATATCAATTCATAACTTTTCATACCCTCCAGTTGTCTGCTATGTCCAGGGATCTATAGCGCATCCCCAAGTCTGGCCCAGAAAAGTCTTGCAAGATGATGAGTTTCCCTCGGGCCTCTCCCATGGATGGCACGAGCCGGCTGTGCCACAGCAGATCCCAGTGAGCATAGCGGTGGATAAAGTCTACCACAGCACCATAGATGTCATTCGTCTCACTGAACTCTTCCTTTACACGCATCAGTACAGTCTCACTGGGATACTCTTGTAGGAAGTCAGCTACACCCTCCAGCACATGGCCAAAGTGCGCCCGCTGATAGGACACCCCATGATGGATGGTGAGGTTCCCCTTGAAGTGGCGCACACGGATGTCCAGAAAGCGAGCACCTGCCTGGAGCTGAGAGGCCAGGCTCCAGGTCTGGCATTCAGCATACACACCGCCGTACAGAGCCATGGTGTTGTGGGTCCCAGGCATGGTGACCTCAGACAGCGGCTGATCATCAGGAATACTGGCCATCCAGGACGGGTTGAAGAACTCCGGGTTGGGTGTGTCATCATAGTCAGGTCTCTGAATGGCACTGTAACTCAAACCAATGACTCTACAATGTAGGAGACGTTTGTCAGAAACATATTTTGTCCAGTAAATGCATCAACCTTTAAACATCAGCCACCTGGTAAGTTTTCATCAGAAGAAATCAATAAATTAAATACAAAAATAAATGCAAAATAAAAACATTTTGGCAATAAAAATGGCTATTTCTATATTTCTACATTTATTTATTTATTTTTGGATTTCTACATTTATGTTTTTATTTCTGTGTCCGTATGTTAATTAGGTAGGCGGTCCTTCCTCAGTCTAAAACCAGATTAGTTATAGCGGTGTGATTGATTGGATGGATCCACTACTACTGTGTTGACTGATACACAGGAGCTTTGCCTTTCCAGTGTTGCCCACTCAGCAACCTTTGCATTTATTTGCATATTTAATTATTCGTTTAGGCATTTATTATTAATGTTATTTATTTATACTCATGTCTTTTTTTGTCCTTCATAAATAGAACCTGTTTGATCCAGAGACTCAAACTCAGTGACAAGGCACTCAGCTGACCAATAGTGGAAATATCATCACTCAGTCAGTCAGGGACATTCCAGATTATAGGGCTGGCCCTGCTGTTGCGGTCCAGCCAATAATGTGCTATAGATTCTAAAAATGGATAATTTTTCATGGGAAATTATTGCTTTTCTACAATTTCATTACCTTTTGTTTTTTTTTTGGACATTTTTGGATATTTATATCTATTTATAAATGTATTTGTGTATTTTTTTTTGCTTTAAACCTTTGATTGGTCTCTGCTTTTGTGATCAACAGTATTTTTTCTTTCTTTTCTTATTCATTGTGAGTGTGTTTGCTGATCTGGTGGAGATGTTCTTAGAACAATTGCTTGTGCGTGGATATAGTTTTGCTGAATTGAATTCAAACCTAAAATGGGAATAGATATTACACTGGAAATCAGTCTGTTGATCCATCTGTGGCATGATTTCAACATACTCACCCCAGAAGGACCATCAGCTCAGTGAACATCTTCTGCATTTTCACTGGGCGTCCTCTGATGTTAATCATGATGATTTCTCACGTCTGATCAAGGGTCTATGATCATCAAAGGTAAAGACAAAAATAATACAACTTCAGTCACACTGCACCTGTTCAGACTGACTCAATGAATCCTTCAGGTTTTTTTAAAATCATTCTACTGCTATGGAGTATTTTCCTGTCTTAAAGTTGATGCGACACAACCAAGATGTTAACAATCACTTGAGAAATTATTGTAAACACATCATATGCTTGCTAGTGTCGTAGGGCTAATACAAACAAAACTTTTGAAACCTTTACTCAATTGATAAATATCGCTGAGTCTTTCTCTCTCTCTGACTTTGACCTCTGCACTCCTGATTACAGGATGCTTAGTTAAATTAAAGTGCCTGAAATAAAACTCAATTTCCCCTCAACTCTATTTCTCTCCCAGGCAAGTATGCACCTGTATACTTATAAAAAAAAAGAAAAAGAAAAAAGCACTCTCCCAGCATGAAGGTATTTCAGCCAATATAAAAAACCCAACAAACAGTGGAAACAATTCGATCCCGGTCCAGGAGGTCGACCTCAGCTCACCCCTCCAGGCAAATTCAATGGCAGGCTTAAAGCTTTCTAATCCCAAAACTGAACCAAACCATCCATTGCTGCTGTGTCAGACCTGCTGATGTGTTCATGTGCTGCTCTGGTTTGCTCCGGTTCCTACCTGTAACCAGGAGGTGTTCGTCCTCAGACTGGTCCGGGTGCCTGGAGATGACGGACAGAAAAAGGGACAGAGAGAGGAGCGGCGGGGTCAGAAACAAAATGACAGAGTTGGTGTGTCGACCCGGGATGTTATTGTGGGAAATACCACAGAGGAGCTGAGCTCTATGTTAGCATGCTGGGGTGCGAGTAGAGGGGTGTGTTTGTGCGTGAGGGTGTGGTGTGTGTGCGAGGGTATTCATCTGGTCACGTCCCTCATTTATCGCGTTTCAGAAACACATTGCATCATAGACTGACACAATGTTTTCCTGTTTTTCAAATCAAGACAAGGAGGAGGACAAAATGAATCAGGCCACTGCAAAAAGATGCCTAGACTCCACTTTCTGACTTCTTGCCCTGGTTTATTATTTTAGTAGAAAGACTTTTAAGACTTCTAAAAAACTTTTAAATGATTTCTTACATGGGAGAGGGGGGGTGGGGGGGTGGGCATGTGTATAAACTGCAGCTGAGAGATTTCCCACAGTGTTTCTTATCAGTTAGTGAAAGCACCAAAAATAGGCTCAATATTGATATAAGAATTCCAACAGAGAAAACTTTCAATTTTAAAAACTGAAGTAAGGTCTACATACATATTTTTGCATACAACATTTTTTGACTTTTGGTCTGGCTCACTGTGACTGCCCACAGTTTTAATCAAATTATAAGAGGTGGACAAAATAAAAGAAACAACCAAAAGAGAGAATATTAAGTAAAAAGGAGGAAGAGTATTTTATGTCTTCAGAACAGCTAATTACGTGATATACGTAAGTCCTGAAGTTTATATAGAGATTCAATTGGTTTGGTCATAAACAACCTACATGCAACACAGAACAGTAGATAAACAAATGACACAATCCAACATGAGGTTCTGCAGGTGCAGAACCAAAAAGAATAATATTAAATTAATAAAACAAATTAAATGGCAGGAAACGACACAAAACAAGGTGTTATGTACAAAATTGTGTATCTGGTGATTGAGGGGAAATTCAAGGTGTTTGACTTGATCCTGGTGTTAAAAAAAAACACAAATTGATGTAGTTTGTATGGAGGCTTTTTCATCTCTGGAGCATCACAAGAAAACATTATCACGTCATCCAGCAAGGGCATCTGTTGCCTCTAAGACAAAGCTTGATTTTCAGAAAGGTGTGAAACAAGATCATACAGATCAACTTGCACTTCTGTTGCTGTACATATGTTTTCCTACAAACTAGACACTGCAAGCTGATCGGTGTGCTCCAGTTTCTCTCTGTTCTCAGGCTAAAATCCACAACAGCAACCTTGACAAAGTACCAAACCTACTGAAGGCTCCAACCCCAATATATAACACGTCCTTATATATTAAAGTATAAATTAGCTGCCAAGTTCCACAAAAACTTAACTGGCAAGCACCATGATGGGAATCAATGCAATACAGCTTTTTACACTGCAGCAGTGATACAAATGCACAAAATTCATGAAGTTATAAGACATTAGTTTGTCAGAATGAGAAAATTATGTATTTTTTGTATTTGTTGCACTAGGAAATGTATAGTAGTGATTGCAGTGGTGGAGAAAGCACATGGATCATTAACTGAAGTAAATGTAGTGATATCGCAATATTAAAATATATCATTGCAGGTCAAAGTTCAAAATCTTACTTTTGTAAAAGTACATAAGTATTATCAGAGAAATGTACTTTAACTACCAAAAGTAAAAGTATTCATTCTACAGCAAAATGGCACCTGTGGTTATTTATTTTATTATATACAACACTTTTAGTTAATACTGATGCATCACTGTGTACTGTAGTAAGGGTGTTACTGTTGTAGCTGAGGTCACTATATTAACTACTTTATATAGAGTTAGTATAGAAGTAGTTTAGTCTAATGGTTCCCAACCCAGGGATCAGGGATCAGCTCGCTCCAAAGATAAATCTGAGGCCTGAGCCAAAAGGTTGAGAAGCACCAGCTTCATCTTTAACAATGTACTGTGTTCTTTTATGCAAAATCTTGATAATGAAAAGTAACTAGTAACATTGGCTGTCAGATGAATGTTATGGAGGAAAAAGTACATTTCCCTCTGCGCTGTGGTGCAGTTTTTCAACGTGCACACAGAGGGTACAGTTACGCACAACACTCAGTAAATTGGCAAGTGACATCCCACTCTAACACAAAAATCATCTCTCTTTTAAACACTCAAAACAGGAACAAAACAACACCAAATCTGGCCTGATAGACCTTTTTTCCCAGAACACTCTTATCTCAGTTGTTACCAAAGAACTGATAGCCACATTCACATCCACATATCTGATCTGTCCAGGTCAACATCATCCAACAAATGTCCCTGCAAAAAACTTTCTTGGCTCTTACCTATCAGTAAACATTTCCTACCAAATGTTCCTACCCGTCAGTGGTGGAAAGATTAATTGTCATCAAGCTGGATGTTCATTACCTTTTCCTGAAACCTGGCAGCAACTAATATGCACAAATCTGTTAAACACAATTGTATTACAAGTGTTGAATCAGAGGATTGATGGGGGATAAAAGAGAAAACCACCTGATAATGTAGTGCAAGAAGCAGCACAATATGTACTGTATTTATGAGAACAGTCTATCTGCCGGACGCCTACTGGATCAGAGAAAATGCAAGAGAGCACTGCATGAACAAAATCAAACAAATATGCTTGAAATTAACATTTTTGGACAAGTATGCCACAGATTCCTTCACCTCAGCACAGTCTGACCCCTCATAGGACACAGGCAGAGGGAGCATGAGGTCCTGAGCTTTGAGGGGTCAGGGAGAGTTTAACTGGTGTGTGTGTGGGTGTGTGTGTGTGTGTGTGTGTGTGTGTGTGAGTGAGTGAGTGAGTGAGTGAGTGAGTGAGTGAGTGAGTGAGTGAGTGAGTGAGTGAGTGAGTGAGTGAGTGAGTGAGTGAGAGAGAGAGAGAGAGAGAGAGAGAAAATATTACTTGGAAAAATCTGCAGATGTTTTCCCATTTTGTCTCATATCACTATGTGGGAGGTCAAACATTACACAACAGGCTTGTCCTTGTCCTGTTGAATATTTGGTTAGCTGTAAATACAGGTTGCATACACAGAGTATGCAAAAATATTCCTGACATTCCTGCAATTTTTAAAAAATAATCCGGCCAGGTGAATCCAGGTTAAAGGCAACGTTGGTGTTTGGTGTGTGGCAAGCAGGGCTAAGAAGGGTGAATACTAGAAGGAAATTGAATACTGTACGACAATTTTGATCAAATCAGCTGATAAGAAAGTTATTACATTGAATTGATTATCAGTTGCCAACAACGCCACTCCAGGAATTGCACCTGGAGAATTAGGTTAACCCTTTACACAGTGATTAAAACACACAAGTTCGTTTACTAATGAGGGCTTGAGACTGGGTCCAGAGTACAATTAATTTTTATTAACAGTCTGTTATTTTAACAATTTCTCAATAAAATGTTTTGCACACTCACATTCATACCCACACACACATCCCTAAGGCAACCCAAAAAATACACAAAGAAAAAGCAAATAGCAAAATTGGGTTAAATCAATTAAACACATATGGCTAAGCAAACCACACAAATCCAAACAAAAGAAAACTGACAAACAAAGAAACAAAATTACTCAAAAGTAATCTAGAAACGATCAATCTACTAAACATGCAAAACAATTAAACCACAATACTACTAATAACTAACCAAAAATAATCAAACAAAAAAAAAGAAAACAAGCAAAGCAACCCACACAAGCAAAAGTAATTTCGAAAGTGATTGACCCTCAATAGGCTACATGCAATCAAAAAAACGAACACGGAACAAAAAATTACCAATAAAGTTCAGTCCAAATGTTATGTAAAATCCTAAAATACATACATTGGGCACCAGGGTAAAGACGTCAACCAACTTACTGCCAGAACAGCACAGTCGACGATTTAAAGTTGGATGTAGGCTGGATGATCAGCCACGCCAAACAGCTGGCAAAACAGCAGCCAGCCGACAGCGGCGCGGGGGGGGGGGGGGGGGGGGGGGGGGGGGGGGGGGGGTGAATGAGCGTCACAAAGGTGAGGAGGAGAAACACCTAAGCCATGAGGAGATACGGGAGAGAAACACTCAGGATCCCGTGATCAAGTCCGATGAAGGAGAGGGAAGGTTCCCAGCGGGGAACTGTATTTAGGAGACAAAAGCCGACCTTGATGGCAACCGCAAAACTTTAAAAACAGCACAACAAAGCGTGCAACTGCAACATACCAGGGAGCAGCGAGCCGGGCGATCCGGCTGTGAGGCGATCAGGTGAGACGAACAGGTGCCGTGATTAGGGGGAAGGGCAGGGCACCCAAGAGCTTCAGAGCAAAAGGACTCTCAGTACACAACCACCCACCTTTATAGACTGCGCCCCAAGCAGAGATAGGCTGATTCTGCAGCACTAATTAAAGTCACAGCAAGATTGCAGGCCCATACTGCTACAGGTGTTTTACTTAACCTTTTGCCAAATCATTGCAAACATCAACATTTCTATAAAATAAAACTAATGGTAAGTGTTTCTCCGTGTATCACCTATACTGTTAATAAATCTGACACAGAAAATATATTATGTGGCTGTTAATTGTTTGTTCTTGAAGCCTCTAGTGAAGTTTACATCAAATAGTATTTTAATGTAATGTAACATGGGAACAGATTATTCACAAGAGGCAAGAGGAAGACAAACAAGATGCAAGGTCATTAAGGTCAACATACCTCTACCACAGACACCCACAGAAAACAGCTTCCTGTTTTCTATGGGTGTCATTTTTGACATTAGTCAAGGATATGACATAACCCTATGGGGCAACGCCAGAGAGCAGTATAGTATAGTATAAAGTTATAAATTTAAGAGTTGAGTATAAATTTTAATTTTTTGAGTTTTACTGTCAGCACCACAAAAACACTGAATCAAACAAAAAGAATATGTTGAACTTCATAGAGGCCTCTCTTACAATAAAGTCGTCCTCCAAAAAAAAAAAGCTCTTGACACTCTCAGCATGCCATGTGGGAGATGAACTGCGACGATATCTTTTTCCACGGAAGACGTTTTACCTTTTAACTTTAAACATACGAGGAAACACAACACAGCACAGGTGTTACTGCTCACATTAACAATGGCTCTGTGTGTCCTAGTACTGTGTGACAGAGAGTCAGCATGAACAAATGCTAGGACCCTGAAACTTAAGCTGCTACATGAAATTTCACCATCATTCATTTCATTATTTACACCTGTGCTTCTCCAACTGTCACATGTCAGAGAGTCCAGGGGTTTTAATGATCAGAGGAGGGGAGTGAATTTTACAATTATGCACAAATTACATGTTGAGACTTTTAAAGGCTGATTCTGATACTGAGTCAAGAAGGCAAAGAAGGCTGAGAAACATAATTTAGACCATCACATCTTTCATTTCGTAATTAATTAATATAAATAAAACAATTGTCACTTAGTTTCTTCTTCCATATAAACAACCCCTATAAGAGTTGTTGACAGCATCTTCTGTGACATTGTCTCTGGGAAGTGATGTTGCTGTTGAATTTTTTAAAATATTCTTTGCTATATTCAATGCCTTGTTGATATTTACCCGTTCACTTGAGTTGCACAGTATGACCTTGTTGCTTGGTCATTCTATCAACATTGTTTCCATGTTTTATTTTCAAAAGACTATGTGAATGGGTGAATGACAGGCAAATTTTAAAGTGCTTTCTCCATTGAGGTAAACAAGCACAATACAAGTTGTAGCTGTTATTGTTTACATTTAATTTTTAATGCTGTGAGCACAGCAAACTAAATTTATCTCCACTGTATTAATATATAATATAGATTAAATATATCTTCATCCTTTACATCTGTGTGCTCTGTGAGCGTAGCCACTTAAAGACTTTACCAAATGTAACAGTCTTTACTATTTATCAATTCTAATTGGAAATTAAATGAACTCACTGCATTGCCAGTGATGCTCAGATATAAAGATTGTGTTTCCTGATACTACATTCTGACATTCTCTTTCACTACTGATTCCTGATCATGATCTGTGGTATTTGGTCACCGATACTGGTTTGGAAGGCGTGGGGACCTACAATTACAACAACACAATGAAAAGGCTACCCTGTCATTCAGTGTCTGTGTTGCAGGCTGTGGTTGGAGCTGGAGTGCATCTAGAAGAACTCCCCTCATCCAATCAGCACAGGGTATGCATGAGTCACTTCCTTGTGTTTGCTCCCTTATTTGGCATGAAGGGGGCGGCCCCTCTTCTGACTAGGAAGGAAAATGGTGGAAAGGAAAGCCAGACGTTTTCAGTAGACAGAGGGATACCAACAGTTTTATCTCTGGTGAGTAAACATCTGCTGTGTAAGTGCTTTTTAATCTCAGCTCTGAAGGATATTTGGATTATAGGTGATAGCTTAGTCAGCTGGGAATGATGAAATGAAAGTGAAGTGAGTGAATGATTGAGTATTCAAATGTGTGCGTGGATAGAAATCAGGAAATGAGAAACAAGCTTGAAACAAAACAGCACCACATCTTGAGTTAAAGTTAAAGTTGCCAAATAGCTACTGGAGTTTATTTGCACTGTTAAAGATGATAGACTGAAGATCACGACCATTTGTTTATTTCCAGTCTTTTTTGTGTTACTACAAATGATGACACACCCACTGTTGTTCCTGAGTTATTTTTCCAGCAGGACAACATTGAGATGGATGAGTAATATCAAAGCTATGAGGATAAATCAGTTACAGTTGGGTTTGGGTCTGTGGTGCTAAAAATTCATAATTTCCAGAATATTTGTTGGTCTTCTTAGTTGTTTATGATATTTAAATAAGTATATTGTGTTTCAGACTATTAGTAAAACAAAATAAGTTATTTTAATATGTAAATGTGGGCTTTGGCAAATTGTGTTGGTCATATTTTACTCTATTCTGATTTATATTGATATATATATCTGATATTTTCTGCTCAATCAAGAAAACAATGATAAGTCTCATCAATAATGAAAATATTCTTGACTTCCAGCCCTAGTATCCTCCTCTGCTCACACATTGAAGCTCTGTGTGTCTCATTAGACAACACAGGCCCCCATGTGGGCAACCTGTTGCTAGTAACATTAGAGTGTAAGATGACACCTTTTGCAATATGGCATACATGCAGCAGCTGGTGACATGTGGGCTGCAGGCTCAGTAACCTCAGAGTTAGCCCTAACTTACTTTTTAGGATAATGCAAGAAGAAGCAATATTTGACTCTCTGTGACCTAGTTTTGAGTTTAAGCTCTTGTTTACCATATCTAGAAAGGTTGTGGTCAGATGCTGAGGTACTATGCAGAGTATGGATTCAGTTTTACATAACATATGGTGCCTGTTTTTTTTGTTTTGTTTTATCTCTACAGCCTCCAGACTCACATTGTGTGGACCTTAAATTGGCAGAAGAAGAGTAACAGTGATGGCTGATGCAGGACAGATTAAGAAAACTGCAGCCAAGGTGCTGTGCTGCGTCGAGAAGGTGTCCTCATTTGCCTCCTCCATCGACCCCATCTTTGGCATCGTCTCCTCCCTGGTTGGGGTGGCTCGCAAGGGCCTGATTGACGAGGAGGGCCATGCTCTGGACAAGGACTTCCAGGCAATCCACACCAAGCTAGAGGGCATCTCGCAAAAGAACCAACAATGCCTGAGGCAGATTCGCATCGACGAGGTAAACGAAACCTATGGCAAGTATGAAGAGTACATCAAGCACCAGTACACTGCCTTCAACAGCATGGTGGCGCAGGTGAAGAAAGATCCAGATAACTCCCAGCGCTACATGGAGACCTTTGAGAAGATATACGAGAGAGACAAGAGTGACATGAGCCTGGACGTGTACTACCGTGGTGTTATGGGTACAAACTCTGTGTTTGGAAGACCCCTGCTGAAGGTGTATCTGGAAAACTGCGATGGTGACCGCGAGATCATGGAGTACCGCTGTTCACACATCTCCCACCTATTCCACATGGGCCTCATCGCTCTCATGGGCTACACAGCTGTTACAGAGGATGATGAAGATGAGGTGCGGGAGAAGTGGTCTAAGAGGGTGGAGGACATCCAGAAGAAGATGCAGGAGGTGCTCAGTCAGTGCAAAGACAAAGACAAAGACAAGTCATCCTGAACGTGGACCGACAGAGAGAGAGGACATCCTCTGGGTTTGAAGGCAACATCACAGGGAACACTATCTGTACTCTCAGCTGTGGACCAATAAAAAAGACAAATTATATTACAAATATATATAAACCAAAGTCATGTTTGCGTTTGTGCACTTGAGCTGCAGCTGATATATATATTGCAGCATTTAGTTATTGCATCGACATTGTATGTTATTTTTTGTTTCAAAAAAGACCACTGTATGTTTCAGCTGCTTAGTGTTACATACCAATAAATGATGAAGTTTTATACAATCGCTTCAATTAAAATGTTTAAATTGTACATTTGCGAAATCCATTTTATCTACACTAAAACAAACAATTTATATATTACAAAGTCATGCTTTACAATTTATTATGTATAATGTATTAATACTATGTATCCACGCAGCACACACAACCCCGCCTCTTCTAGAAAAACCAGCTCTTATTACATTGGTTGAAAATATTTGAAAGAGAAACTGCTTTCATAATACCAGAGAAACAATTAACTTGAGCTAATCTGCAGAGGTCAAATGCTAGAATGCCAAATCATCATAAGACAATAACAAAGGGCAATCATGGTAATAAAAGATAATGTCATATGAAGTCATTAGTCCCTGACCTGCATGTGATTCCTGTCAGTACAACCTCATGCTGTGATGCCAAACATTCTTCAAACCTCCAAAGCATTACTTTAAATTCTAACAGAGATCCCAAAGCTTCCAAAGATACCACATACTGAGTTTGAAAGTCAGGCTGAATTTTGGGAAAATGCATCCAAAATGAGGTGCAAACATTTGGAGTATTTCCATTTCATGAAATAGCGCAGCCATAAAACACATTCTTTAATGAAGAGTTTGAAAAAAGTGTCAGTATTGATTAATAGTACTATCTTTGAGGGTAAATGATTCTGTGAAATAAAAACAGAATTTGGAAGAAGGCAATTTGTAAAATAAAAACATCCGTGACAAAATAAAAATAACATAAAATTTAAGCCAAATCCTTCGTCCTTCAGGATGAGGGATGAAACAGTATTTCATAACTGTAAGTTGTTTTTTAGACATCAATTTAATCATTTCATGATTTAAGTGATATGTTGTCTGCTTTCATTCATTTCATTGTGTTTTTCTTCAAGGACTATTTGTTCCTTTAATACTGAACACTTAGGGCCTCCATAGGCATGGGTGTGTTTCATAAGTGATGGAATATGAGCTATGCTTCTACAATTAAACACATACCGTCTGTATGTGTTTAATTGTAGTACGAACACCTCCACTGGGACAGTTCTAGGCCTATGCATAATGCTGTGTTGCTGTGCAGCCCGCACTGAGTCCCCCTCACCGCCAGAGTCCTCTGTTTTCCAGCCGGAGCTGCTGTAATGAAACGTAACGTGATTCCTCTGTTTGTTTCTGCAGCCCTGCCCCAAATTAAAGGCCTGCGAACAGTTTTAACATAAATCTGCTCTGGAAGTTCACCCGGAGCAGCGTCCCGGCTGCGGACTGATAAACTTAACTCAGCAACACTCTCTGACAGCGGGGAGAGGCTGTGTTTGCTCCGTCTGAGGACAAGTCACGTCGACTTCGGTAAGTTTCCGCTGCTCAACGGGCGGAAAAGCGATGATGATGTGAGTTAGCAGCATCCCGGCTACAGCTGCTGGTTCAGTAGTAAAAGTTGATCCTGGTTGTTGTGGAGAAGAACATATATGAACCCTGGATAGATCCGGCAGCACGATGTGTAATGTAAAACACAGTATGTAAAAGACTTGGTGTAATAACTGTTTAAAGACAACAGAGAGTTTGGTTTCCGGGGCGTGACTTTCCTTCAAATTCAACAAGTTGATTTTTGATCTAATGATTATGAAAATTATTTTACCTTAAAGATTTAAACGCGTTTATCTTATATCTTAACAACATATTCCGTTGTTAAGATATTTCATACAGCCAACCGAGGTGTGATTTACTCGCCTGTTGTCTGTTTTATTTTATTTATTCTCTACTTCTGTACATTTGGGTGCAGTACTTTCACTTTAACGCATATAACATGTTCAGAATGCCTTGTTGCTGAGTCTATTACCACAGTTATAAAGCATCATTAGAGTTGAACTGATAAGACGATTGATTCAATTAATCAGCAACTGTTAATCATTTTTATAATTTTTAGAGCAAAACATTGGCAGGGTTCAGCTTGTCAAATTTTAATATTAGAACATTTTTAAAACAAAACTATGAAACGAGAAAATAGTAGGCAGAGTAATCAGTAATGAAAATAACTGAGTTGACGCCCTATCAGCATAACACTTCACAATATCAAGTGTCACAGTTGGTTGTATATGCTTTATACATTATGCATAAAAGGCCATAAATATAAATGCTGGTGTGACTATGTTGAGTGTCTCTGATCATGGCCTGCAATTGCAGTTAGTTTCTCTGCCACTGAATGATTTTTACTATAGCAGTAGCAAAGGCCAAGAACAAAGGTACATTTAAACATCTTTGATAATTATATTGTTTAATTGTAATTTATTATAACATTAAGTTTTATCAAATGTGTCTCCTTTGTTTTTAAAAAAAAAATGTATTTAACTGGTCCTTCTAACTAAGTGAAATTAGAATTAAATACTAAATAAATATCATCATATAAAAAGTCAAAATTAAACCAGAGAAGTGCTTCAACATTAGATATATTGTCTCTGACACCAGTAACACTCAGTCCTGGTTCAGATCTGCCTACATACTGTATGAAAGCATCAACATCTCAAGAACTACTGATCTTCTATTAGTGACTGAAAACTAGTATGATATTTGTTTTTGCCCAGCTCTAACCGCAATGTGCACATGTTGGATATCAGTCCAGTCAGAATTAAATGTTTGTTTTGATAACATGTTCTCCATCTGTGATCTTCTGTCAGGCATGCCTCTGCACAGCATTTGGCCTTTGTGTAGGATGCTTTGTCGGGACTGAGGAAAAGTTGGCACGATGGGCAACGAAGACTGCCTCGAGGATGTGTTTGTAGCTGTCATTCGGCCAAAGAGTCAAGTCAGCCTGAGCTCAAAGGAGTACAGAGCCAAAGCCTACGAGGTAAATGTGCTATCTGACACTTGATCACCTGCTCTCCTCAACATCTAGTCCAAAGCAGACGAAGGCAATCTAAAATGTAACATATAATATAATGAATAAAAACACTGCTTGTTTCATCTGATGCCTGTAAAGATCCTGTTGATTGAAGTGCCTTTGGAAGGGAAGGAGAAGAAAAGAAAGAAAGTCCTCCTGGCGACAAAAATCCAAGCAGGAGGAGACAAATCCAAATCCATATTGGATTATGTTGATGAAACAATCAGACCGATATCCAACAATCAAGGCTTCATAGGTGAGTCTCAGACATTTGTGGCATTCATGCATATTTCTACTTTTTAAAATGAGTAAATGAGTTTAAGACTACATGTAAACCAGCGGTTCACTGCAGTAACTTTTTTGCCTTGTGATCCCCTAAGTGAAGCAATGACTAATTCATGACCCCATGTCACCGGCTGCACGTATATGAGTTGCATTCAGTTCAACCAAAGGGTGACATTACCTTCTCAGACTGTCTGATTTAAATAGTTTTTAGAGGCTTGGAAACCACTGTTCTAAACACAGTTTTGGTTTGCAGGAAAACGTGTGGTGCACATGAAGAAATTTCCTCTTGATGGAGCCAATGAAGGGAAAGAGGCCTCACTTTTTGTCGTGCCAGTCAGTGTTAAAGGTGAGCAAAAAACAGTATCTTGTATCTAAACTGAGATTACAACTGGGAATTTTTGTAAAACTGCACATATTGTACATTAATGAGTCCTTCCGAACAGACAACAGCAAGCCTGTCTACATCGCTGGGAGCCCAAGCTTCTACTGCTTCCAGGACATCATGCGGGTGTGCAGTGAGACCAGCGCTCACTTCTGCTCCATCACCTCCAAGATGCTCCTGTCCTTAGACAAGTGAGGATATGTTTGAAAACATGCTCTTCCTTTTGCAAGTAAATGGCAAAGGTATGCAGCTTTAACTTTTCCTCTTTGACTTCCACAGATGGTTAGCAGAGCAGCACACCGTACCTCACGCCATCCCCGCTCTGTTCCGGCCAGCACCCGTAGAGCGGGTGAAGACCAACGTCAGCAACCCGGCCTACGGCAGCGAGGGCAAACTGAGTGATGAGGGTCTGCACATGGGCTACACTGCCCTGGAGATCAAAAGCAAGATGATGTCACTGGAGAAGGCAGACATGTGCATCCTCAACCCACTCTACGGCTCTGATCTGCAGTACACCAACCGGGTAAGAGCCCTCATCATACAGTAAGGTGGCGTTTAGAAAGAGGTATTTGGGATGGGAGATGTTTCTGTATTAGGACATCTGGTGGATTTAATTTTATACCAGAAGAGACTTGAAAGGCAAGAAACTTGATGGATATTTGATGTCATTGATTGATCAGATGGGATGCCTCAAAGATAGTGTCTCGGCTGTAATAATTTTGGAAATTTTAAATAAAGATGATGTTTTTTCTTAATTATATAAACTCTCAAAATCTATCTGTACTTTTTAACAGGTGGACAAAGTTATCATCAATCCGTACTTTGGGCTGGGAGCCCCGGACTACTCCAAGATCCAGATCCCCAAGAGGGAAAAGTGGCAACATGGCCCCAACTGTGTGACAGAAGACAAGTGAGGAGTTCTCACTTCTTAACGAACCACACTGTCGTTACTGCCATCTGCTGACAACTTCTACTCTCCTTTGTGTCTTTGTATTTCTTCTTTTTGCATGAAATATGAGTGATAAAATGCTGTAAGACAGATACGCAACACAAACTTCCCCTGTTTCTGCAGGGAGCGCCAGTGGGTGGACGATTTTCCTCTCCACCGCAGTGCCTGTGAAGGAGACACAGAGCTGCTTTCTAAGCTTCTGGAAAGCGGTTTCTCAGTCAAGCAGCTGGACAGTGACCACTGGGCTCCTATTCACTATGCGTGCTGGTGAGTCTGACACTTGTCTCGCTGCCTGATGAAGTCTGCAGCATCTGTAAGTTTTTTTTTTTTTTTTTTTTTTCCTTGGACTTTGTTTGGCCCCGTTAATGATGAGTTGTATTTGTTTGGTTCCATCCAGGCACGGTAAAGTCAAAGCAACCAAGCTTCTGCTGGAGAAGGGTAACTGTAATCCGAACCTGCTGAACGGCCAGCTCAGCTCCCCTCTGCACTTTGCAGCCAGAAGTGGCCACGCAGAGATAGTGCAACTCCTCCTGCAGCACCCTGAGATCGACCGGGTAGGAAATATGATTCTTGTGTTGTCTTTAGACTTTACTCCTCTTCTTTTTCCCCAAAGCTGCGGTGGATGATTATCAAATGGCTCTTATAATTTCAACATTACATTGGTGTCAATACTACAGCAACATGCACTACTGTCCATCATGAATAATATTTTTTTTTCACCCGTTAACATACAACAACATTATATCCATTATAGAAACTGGAAAAAACAGCAAAACAGTGTGACTGCTTACCTTAACTACTTTAGTATGTTATTTGATTTGATTTGCTTGAATTGAAAAAAATTGTCCTTAATATAAACATCATGATAAGCAGAGGGCCTTCTCCCAGTGTTGACACAGTTTACAACAATAATGTGTTTACAGTTTGACGTATTGAATATTTGATATTGTTTATACTGGTCTGTGTGAGATTTTAGAAGTTTAATTGTAAATTTGACTTGCGTAGTATTTGCTTGATATTGGAAATTACCACACACGTATGTGTATCATGATTCACCAAAGTAAATCTCATGACAGCTACAATAGGAAGACAATAAATAGAAAATGTTACCAACAGCATATAGAAGACCAACAGAAGAGATCACCTCTACAAGTGTGTGAGGAGAACAAACAGAACGAATGGGAGGAGTCGGTGAAGCTTCTGCAGCAAGCCAGCAGCAAACCTGTGAGTCGCACATCAGACACCGATTACTCCGTTACTCCGGAAACATGGCGACTATCTCACGGCAGCGTGTGCCTTCATCAGCCATATCCAGCTGTTAGAGTTTTCATGTTGAAATTGATCCCTTGCAGCTTCTGCGAGACTTTGTTTTCGTTTTTTGCTGATGATATGTCAGGCTTTTTCATTCATATTTATGCCTTAGTATCTGCACACGTGGTCCAAACTGTTCTATAGGAATAGTTATGCCCGGATGACTTATATATATTATTCGCTTACATAAATGAAAAGGATGCAGGAGTGTGCACATTTTGTTGTGCTCATGGAGGAAACTGAAAAATAAGTTTTTGACATTTATTCGATGTCTGACATGTTTCCATGGTGGTTAAATACATGTGTCACTAGATGGTGCTGTTTCCTCAAGCACAGGTCAAGGTGAATTTTTTCAAAACTAGTTTTTAATAACATAGGGCTAAGCTGTTTCACTTGGTTTTGTTTATGATGTCTGTGTGTGTTTTCCACAGTATGAGAAGGTGCGCATCTACCGCATGGACGGCTCTTATCGCTCTGTGGAGCTAAAGCACGGCAACAACACAACGGTACAGCAGATCATGGAGGGCATGCGTCTTTCTCAGGACACCCAGCAGTACTTTACCATCTGGATCTGCTCCGAGAACCTCCGTGAGTCCACAATTTAAACACGAGTTCTGAAAGTGCTCTTACATTCATCCAAAGGCTATGACACCAACCACAACTAAACACTACAAGAGAAAATATTGGTGTGTGTGTGTGTGTGTGTGTGTGTGTGTGTGTGTATTATGTGTCAGACCTTCAGCTGAAGCCGTACCATAAGCCCCTTCAGCACCTGCGGATCTGGACCGAAATTGTGACAGACCTGACAGTGCTGGATCCCCAAAGGGAGACACCTCAGCTCTTTCTCCGCAGGGATGTCCGCCTGCCACTTGAAATTGAGAAAAAGGTAGCGCACATTTTACAAGAGGCAACTAATTTCAATATATGGTGTTTATGTTACGTAGAAAGTCGTCATTCTGGTACATACTGTCTTGTTCCAGGTGGATGATCCGCTGGCCATCCTTATCCTGTTCGACGAAGCGCGTCACTGCCTCCTGAAGGGCTTCTTTCCTGCTCCAGACAGCAAGCTGATCACTCTGGCCAGCCTCCTCCTGCAGATCATCTACGGCAACTATGAGAGCAAGAAGCACAAGCAAGGATTCCTCAAGTAAAAGACTGTTTTCAAATTATGTTTATGCTTAAATACATTTAGCACTGATATGACGAATAAAACTTTTCATCTGTGGTATGTCAGGCTTAAGTACTATTGCATGAATAATATTCAGAAGACATTAATTCAGTTTAAACACTGTGATTTTACAGTGCAGAAATGACTCGAACTCTGCCTGATTGGTGTTCAAAGGAATAAGCTGCTTTTCTCTGTCTTACTTTCAACAGTGAGGAAAATCTGAAATCTATTGTGCCGATATCAAAGGTGAAAAGCAAAGCGTACCACTGGACCAACAGGATTCTTCATGAATACAAAGTACGCTCAGTTTTTTCATTGTAAAAATTCTTTTCACTCTTCAAATGAAACTCAACTGCTCCCTGAGGTGACTCAATGCCTTTTTTCCCTCCTGCTCCGACAGGCCCTGAGCACCAGTGAGGGGGTGAGCAAAGAGATGCACCACCTGCAGCGACTCTTCCTACAGAACTGCTGGGACATCCCAACCTATGGAGCAGCTTTCTTTACGGGCCAGGTCTACACCAAGGCCAGTGCCAGCAACCACAAAGTCATCCGTGTCTATGTCGGGGTCAACACGAAGGGGTTGCACCTCATGAACATGGAGACCAAGGTAACATGCCGTATTTCAAACTTGAATGCCAAATTTTCCTCTGTGATCTGATTTAAACTCAAGGGGACGGAAGTTCATAGTGATCGATGTGGTTTGTCAGATGATTTTGAATATGTCTGTTGTGTCTGCAGGGGGCTATACAGCTGTATTTTGTGTTGAACTGTTCCCTTATGTTTAGTTTAAGACGGAATATCTCAGTTACTGGTTATAGTCTATGATTTCAACAATTTAAAGCCCATCAATAGGCTTGATCTATTTGGAATGGAGAGTAATACGTGATAATGTTGTATATGGGTGTCCTTTTTTAGTCTCGTTTGGTGTATTAATTGAACATGCTGTGCACTGTTAATATGATAATTTGTTAAATATCTGCACTCCTAGGTCCTTCTCATCAGTTTAGAATATGGCACATTCATGTGGCAGCTTGGACATGCTGACCAGTACTTCCAGATACACAGCGGTGACAACAAAATTAACTTCATTGTGCACACAAAACAGGTAACCACTCAAGGATATTTCCAATTTCAAGGCATTCAAATTTGTTTTGAAATTTTTTTGTATGTGGTAAAATGAAAAACGGCAATTGAAAGTATGAAAATATTGTCTCTCAAGTGTTCATTATTTCTTTACAGGCTGGCCTTATTGTGAAGCTCTTAATGAAGCTGAGTGGACAGATGACTCCAAATGATAAAACTGTAACAGACAAATACGCCTATGGCTGAAAACTGTTGAAGAAACCATGGCTGCAAAAGATCCCAGTGCAGGTTCTTCTTACAAACTTTTGACTGCAATAACGCTTGATGGAGAGCAAAGTCGGCCCCTCCACAACTGCATCTTTTTGTATATTAGGCTTACCAATATCTTTCACAACTTCACATTGTGTAATTTGACAGGGCATATATTTTCATTGCATGTAAATATGTTTATTATTTAATGTTTTGTTTTAATAAACTGATTGATGTATGGATGAGCTTGTCTTGTTCATTTTTGCTGTAATTTTTTAAACCAAATGATCTTAAAGTAAAAACAAAAGTAAAACATATCACTTGCATGAAAAATGAAGATGATTGTTGAGACAAATAGTGTTAAACTGAGGAAAGAGGATGGTTGCTGAGTATCATCCAGACAGATTATCTCAAGTCCCCTAGGAGACAGAGATGTCATTAGATGTTGTAAAACAGAATATTAGAATTTTTTTTTTTTTGTTAAAATAGAAGATGCAATCATGTAACAACTCAGTATTTTGTCTTGTAATGGCACTGAAAGTTGCTGTATTTGAGTGCTTAACAAAAATATTACATTACATTATTAACCTTGTAGCATTGCCAGTGGTAAAAATACAATATTGTGTAGATATAGTAGTATTGTATATTACAGAACATAATGCTTATATTGCATAATAATATTTATGAGATATGCCCAATACACAATTTAATTTGAAAAATGATAGACATAAAATAAAACGTTAGTCAATTAACTGATTTTCAGGGTCGTTAGCACTGATTTTTTTCACTTTGAAATATTCCTTTTCAGCCTTACAACATATCTAAACTCTTAAACTTAACTCTGTGCCTTTCTTGAGAAAAAAACGTACTTATGGCTATAAGGCTGTTTCAGTTTGCCATTGTATTAGCATTCATCTCAACTAATGCTAATTTGTAGAAGTTACCTCCTCACTGATTTGCCTCAAGTACACTAGCAGTAAACTGCAGATAGCTAACTTAGCTAATTTTCTCTCCAATAAATTATCAATGTCTTGGTACTCAGGTATATTTACATATCTTTGGGCTACTGAAAATATGTGGAACTTTTGACCATGTTGGTTAATGCGTTTTACGGGAAAGAAATACGTTTGAAGCAGTGTAAAACACATTGAAAAGATACGTCTTCTCAAAAATCCTTACAAATCGATGGTCGTCGTGCCGGGGATGACATCATATAGCAAGACATCGGTTCAGGTAGTGACAGCCAATCACAGTGGCAGTTGCTTGACAGACACGACGTCAACAGCCAATAGGGAGCCTCCTTTGGTCAGGCGGGGGCAGGACAAGCGTTGACAGGTAGAGATACTGGGGTATTATCACCAACTGTCCCCCAACACGAACAGAGACCAAGGGACAGTTATCAGCCGTTGGACGGTCGGAGAAGTTGATAGCCTATAATAACTTAACGCGATACAACGGAGGGTTTTCAAATTGGCACACAGCGATTTTCTTCCAGGCTTTGGTGGAGGAGTGAAACGCTTGTCTTTGTTGGGTAATATATCCAGCCAAGGGAGATAACATGTCGATGCACTTGTATCAAATTAGCAGTAAACTGCTTGGGGACACTGTTGGGAAAATGAACGACAACCTGACCTCCATAGTGCTGGCAGCCTCTGTCATCACTCTCACCCTGGGATATATTTCCAAAATGCTGCTCAGACAGTCCTCCGACAAGGATTTGGTAAGTTAACATGAAAAAAAAATCAGCGTCAGAAATAGTTGCTGAAATGCAACTATTGTATTCATTATCCACTATTTCTCTTTGCAGAAATATCCACCTTACATTCCCTCCTGCATCCCCTTCCTGGGTCATGCCATTGCATTTGGGAAAAGTCCCATTGAATTCCTTGAAGATGCCTATGAAAAAGTAAGTATTGTTGTAGGATTGAAACTGTTTGTCTGCAGCTATTCTGATTATGAATCAATTGTTTAAGTACAATATTCATTTCAAATGTGAGTTTTGTCTGTTTTTTTTCTTCTATTACATTAAACTAAATATCTTTAGGTTTTGGACTGTTGGTCAGAAAAAAACAAGCAGTTCGAATTTCAAATGGGTTTTTAGAACTAATTTAATCAAGAAAATACTAGACAGGTTAGTAAATGTATTAATTAGTAAAGAAAATAATTGTTAGTTGCAGCCCTTTAAGTTTGCACTCATGCAAAGACACAGATCACAGATGAATTTGAACTGACTTTGACTTCCACTTTTTAAACCAGTAGTTCCTAACTTTTTTTTTTTGGATCATGACGCTTAAAAATTACTACTTGCTTATGACCCATCATCATCAGCTGCATATGGTGTGTTACCAGTAAATAAAAAAAGTGATAAAAAGACCTTCGAGGCCAGAAAAGCTGAGGTTGTCTTGTAATTCATAAGAAGAAAAAAAGCGAAAAGAGGAGAGGAATTAGATCACAACTCAAACTGACTGTTTGTCATAACCCTAAGCAGTATTTTAACCTTTGTATCTCTGCTCTCCTCTCACAGTACGGCCCTGTGTTCAGTTTCACCATGGTGGGGAAAACCTTCACCTACCTGCTGGGCAGCGAAGCAGCAACACTGATGTTCAACAGCAAGAATGACGACCTGAACGCAGAGGACGTCTACTCCAGACTCACCACCCCAGTGTTTGGCAAAGGAGTAGCGTATGATGTGCCAAACCCCGTGAGTCTATCGAAACTGTCAGATCAAATTCATTAGCAAAACACACATAGGTACAAAAGGAAGAAAGAGGGAAAACAGTGAAAAGTTATAATTCTTCTTTGTTAATGATTGCTAAAAAATGAACTGCAGTTGTATTAAAACAGTTATAATATGCACTTTCTTTAATATGTTGCAGATCTTTCTGGAACAAAAGAAGATGTTGAAGACCGGACTGAACATTGCTCATTTCAAAGAACATGTGAAAATCATTGAGGCAGAGACCATTGAGTATTTTGAGAGATGGGGAGACAGCGGAGAGAAAAGTAAGATCATTTACACATCACATTATTGAAAACATGAATACTAGAAAATAAATCTGTGACTTGTAATCACACTTCTAGTTTGTTTTGGTTACTTTAAGTTGTGGTTTATGTTGTAACAATATTATTTTATGATGTGTACATTAAGACTGTAAAGTGATGTTTTTGGTAGTGTCACTTTTTTTTGTTAACATACTGTCATCTCTTGTCATGTATGCATTTACTTAACAACTAGAACAAATAGAAACAAACAGAACCGTTTACAAGGGATGTCAGGTATATGATTGATTATATCTGATTGATTTGGATTGTTATTGCTGGGTCTTACTGAATGAACTTTTACTTGTCTCAGACCTCTTTGAGGCCTTGTCTGAGCTGATCATCCTGACAGCCAGCAGCTGCCTCCATGGGAAGGAGATCCGCAGCATGCTGAATGAGCGAGTGGCCCAGCTCTACGCCGACCTGGACGGGGGGTTCAGCCACGCTGCTTGGCTCCTGCCCGGCTGGCTGCCTCTGCCCAGCTTCAGGTAGGAGCCTGGACGAGCTTTAGATGAACACATCTGCCATGAGGCTGAGACTAGAGAAAAGACATCCCTGAAAAGAAACAACAGCAAATATTTCAATACCAGAGAAGTAAAAACAATTCTACAGGTGATGATGTACAAACTGCTGTAGTATGGGTAAAATATATATTTAACTCTCTTTTGATAGGAAGAGGGACAAAGCTCACAGAGAGATCAAGAACATCTTCTTCAACGTGATTCAGAAACGCAGGAGTTCTGGAGAGAAAGTGGACGACATCCTGCAGACCCTCATCGATGCCACCTACAAGTAAGACATCTTCAGTCATTCAAGAAGTTCAAAATAAATTGGTTCACTGATCACCTATAAGATGTAGTATTGCTGCAGTCCCAGTGGTCACTGAGATTACTATCAGAGTATCACCAAAACCTCTGAATCATTTCTAAATCCCAAAATGACTGTGTTCCATCTTCAGAGATGGACGTCCCCTGAACGATAACGAGATCGCGGGGATGCTGATTGGTCTTCTCCTGGCGGGTCAGCACACGTCCTCCACCACCAGTGCCTGGATGGGTTTCTTCCTGGCCAGAGACAAGGCTCTGCAGGAGCGCTGCTACGCTGAGCAGAGAGCTGTGTGTGGAGAAGACCTGCCTCCACTCGACTTTGATCAGGTAAGAATCTCCCATTTACCTGAAGGAGAGCAACGTAGGTATGTGCTTAGCTTATTGTTAATATGATTTGCTGTATTATCAGGATAAAAACTGTAATCACTGAAATATTATTAAAACTTATTTTGTACAATACACACAACGGACTATGACATAAATTCAAAACACCATTATATCAGAGTTCTGCTTCAACACTAGGAATAAATAAAGTTTGCCCACCTGGTCCTTTTCATTCGTTACTGGGTGAACTCAGGTGAAAAGCCTCCTTTGTATCACCTTTATTGATTATTACCCAGCACAGAAAAATAAAACAGAGGCAAAACATTATTAAAGGAAATATTGAAAATGGGACAGACATGCTCAAAATATTTTCTACATGTGGTGTAAAATAACTAAGTTTTGAACTAAGGATCATTTAAATAATCCTAATATGTTGTTCTGGTGTCATCCCCAGCTGAAGGATCTCAGTTTGTTGGAGCGCTGTTTAAAGGAGACCCTGCGTCTCCGCCCGCCCATCATGACCATGATGAGGATGGCTCGCTCTCCTCAGGTAAGTCCACATGGATTACATATTGTCTACATTCATTCCAGTTGCACGTCACAGCTCATTTCTACTTTCCAACATTTGAACAAAGGACATTCTCCACATTCCTTCTTTTATGAAGTCTGTAGAAAAAACAGTTCCCCCCTGTGGTACAGTGCATTACACATGACACCCGACATTTTGTTTGTATTGACCCTTTTTCTTTAATTCGCAGACTGCAGCAGGCTACACTATCCCTGTGGGCCACCAGGTCTGCGTCTCCCCAACCGTCAACCACCGCCTGCACGACACCTGGGCGGAGAGGATGGAGTTCCACCCCGACCGCTACCTTAACGACAACCCTGCTGCAGGGGAGAAGTTTGCCTACGTGCCGTTTGGAGCCGGTGAGGAGAATAACTTGTACACACCGAAAGGCATAATGATCAAAGCTGGATTATACAAGCTATATTGTCACAATTTGTGTGCTGGGGACAGACTTTTCAAATGCTAACTGATGATGACAAGTCACTGTCTGTGCAGTAAGATCACTCTCATTAAGTCAAACAAAGTTGATCTTTTTTCTTCGAAGTTAATAATGCAACATTTTCACTTAAATATTTCCCTGATCAATGATTCTACTGTTTTCCTCACAAGAATGATCTTGACAAATAGAGCTCAATTCCTTATCTGTATCTCAAAGCAAGCTGTTCAGTGTAAAGAATCATATGATTTCCTTGTAGCTTTAAAACTGAGCAAACTTGAAATAAAATGCTGAACAAATGCTGCTGCACATAAGTCGAACTTTATTAAACCAAATGAAAACTATACTTTTCTTGTCCATATCTTAGGACGTCATCGCTGCATCGGGGAGAACTTCGCCTATGTCCAGATCAAAACCATCTGGTCCACTTTACTGCGCATGTATGACTTTGACCTGGTGGACGGATATTTCCCCACAATCAACTACACCACAATGATCCACACCCCTCACAACCCCATCATCAGATACAAGAGGAGAAAACAGTGAGAGCTGAAGGAAGCCAGTGAAAGGCGAGGAGCACAGACAGGAGGAAACAGTCCAACGTCCTGAGTGTTTGAAGTGGATCTTTAACTTCCTGGGACTTGAATTGAGGAAATTTTAGGTGAATGAACTTTGCTCTATCTAAATATCAAGCCTGTGTTTTTATGCTTCCTTTCTTTAGTTCTTGAGTCCAGCCCTTTTTCTGAATGTCAACAAAATACATAATTTTTAGATACTTGTGTTTCCAGAGCAAAATACAGTTGTGTGACTCTGACTTGAACATTGATGCTCATATTCACAATGTGAATCCTTATAAAAATAGAAATGGAGAAATAATAGAGTGCCTTGACGAAGGGGAGACTGAATCAAGCCTGTGGGTTCATCCCATGAGGCAGGTTTTATTCAGTGAATAACTACTGTGTGAGAGTGAAACCAGGATGAAAGTTTTACTCTTCTGTGTCCCAGAATTATGTTGAAAGAGAATTTATAGGGTTTTTTTCAAGTGGTTAGCCATTAGACTTTTAATAATCCTGTGGATGAAAGTTCACTCTTGACCTTGGAAACAGCAGTTGACAGTTGAGCAGGTAGTAGCTGTTGTAGTCTTTTTAAATTGCATCACATGATCATCATCAGCAGATGGGAGTTTGTCCTGAGGAAGATCATGTGATATATATATCGAAAGCTCCAGAACGGCTTCTAATAAACCTTGTGGTGACATTGGTTCGCTAACTTTATTAAACCTGCTTCCTGAGACAGACCATCAACCTTTTCCTGTTGGGGAAATTTGCAAAAAAAAACAAAACAAAAAAACATCAACACTCAAACTGAATGGCTATGCTGTTCCTTTGTGCACAGCATTATGTTTGCTGATGCTCTGATCCAGACATCCCATATTTGTTGTTTTTTCTACAGTAGCTGTACTTTCCATAGCCCCATGTACTGTCACAGCTGTTTGCAGTTACCTTGGCTAATTAGACCTACCTACCTAAGTTTTAAGGCTGGAGAAGCTATGTTGGCCATTATGTGAGCTCAACAGACTCTGTACTAATGATAAAGATGTGAGTTGTTGCAGCCTAAACAGGTGTAACAACTGTACAAGGAGTACAGTGAGACAGATATCAATCAAACTGTCTCTGGGGTGAGGTGTAATCAGACAAAACAAGTGAAGACACCAGTGTGGATTTACCATATATAGTGGGTGTGCTTCACCTGTTTTTCCAGCTGGACCTCGTTGAGTTAACGATTGTCTACTTGACCAATTCAGTGCTGTTCAGTGGAGCTGGTTCAAATTGACACAGTAATAGAAAACTTCTTAAACTATTCCAAATTACAAGTTTGTGCTTCTCAACAGTATATTTTAGTTTGTTGTTTCTGTTTTTTTTTTAAATGCACATAAATATCCATATATGATGCCTTTAAAAAGTAACTTTCACAACTTTTTGCCTTTATTTGACTTAGAAGTTTTGTCAGATTATATCTCAGTAAAATCATGAAAAAAAACTCATTGCACAGCATAAATTAAATATTTTTGGCTGCATGAAAGAATATCGTTACAGGGAAATGGCTGCAAGGAAACCTTCAACAGAGGATAACTGAACTACGACTATACATGAAATAAACTGGAAAGAAAAATTGACCTTTATCTTAAGCATATGGTATGAACAATGTAAAACACTAGGAAACGGACTATATATTGTGAATATGTTTTGATAGAAAAAAAAGTTTCACTCTTAAAAATTTGAAGTTTCTTTGCAGAAAAATGTAAAACTGTGATTTACTGTAAGATCCAATAAAATATTTTCTTGCCAGGTGGTAAACAAGAGAAATACAACATTCTTTCAAATAATGTAGTCCTCTTTATTTCAGTTTTTGACAAAATACCCAGAAAATTCAAAGCTCCTACGCTTTACAAAAATACGTTCTCTACAAATGTCCTCTGTAGTCTGTCCGGTCTAAACAAAACACAGTGTAGTGTAGGATATCCAGTAGCAGCCTCCTTAACAGTAAATCCAAACATTCTCTACATAACGCTCCACCCATACAACACAAACATATAAATTAATCACAAGGTCTTAAATTAGCATTAGACAAATATACATGATTGTAGTTCATCCACAACAAAGAGGCAGATTAAATTACAAACATAGCTGTTTTTCAAGTGCTGGCGACAAAAAAGCCTGAATACATGTCGTACACTAATAAAAAAATGTGTTTTGGTCCACATGGAAAGATACAGTCCACACCAGAATGATAGAAAACAGCAGAGCGCTCAGCACGAGAAAAGGCAACTGAGTTTCTTCAAGCCAAAGTAACTTGTCAGCATCTATCTTCTCAAGCCAAAGTGCAATTGAGCATATGAAGAAGCACCTACGGAGAAAATAAAAGTTAAGTCAATTTGATAACAAAACATGGGGCTGGTTTAGGAGGGAAAACCGCATTATGGTAATACAAAGTCATTTACACATTACAAGTTTAGTCCTCTGCATAGTAATTCACTGTTAAGGATAATTTACATGTATTTTTTGTTTGTGTGAGATGTCGTCTTAAAATGCAGCTGTGTTTATCATGTTGATGAGGGTCCATATAACACCCCTCTACTGTGGTTTTTATGGCTTCATGAGTAACACATTTCTTTTGTCTGTTGCTGATATGTGTGAAAACTGCAGAAAATTCTTAGTTTAAAAAAAAAAAAAATGTAATTTAAGACTTTTCTTTCCTGACATTTAAATACCAAATTAGCCAATGTTTCTGGAAACAAAACAACAGATGAGTTTACTGTGGTGCTCTTGTGGTGTTTATATCACTTTAACAACTTATTTGTTAAGAATACTGAAGACTCAAAACTTAGCGTCAAAAACTTTTGGTACCACATCTTATTTTACATGTACTGGTGATACAACATCCTAATTGTTGCATGTTACATTTTCCAAAGATAAGTATCTAAGGACAAACTCAAAAATTCAGGAACATTTAATATCGTTTTCCACTGCTAACTACCTAAGCACACTAAGCAGCCTCTTAAAGACCACTTATTGTCAGTCTGAGTTTTAGTCACTTTTGAATTAAAACTGGCTAATCCATGTCTCAGACCATGCTTTCCTTTCATCCTGCTGCACTTAAGTCTTTGTAGTGCATTAGCATACTTTAAAAAACACAATTAGGCTAAAACTTTGTCTTCTCCACAAGCTAAGCGAATTAGGTTCCTCTCCTCCTCTACCCCGAGTACAGAAACAGGGTTTCTTGTGTACTCGACGTTTAAGAAACTCTGATTCCTGCAGAAACCCTGTCTTAAGGGTAAGTAAACCCGCTACTCTGCATTAGTGTTACCTGATGTCACATTCCCCAGCCTCCTCTGCAGGGCCTCCAGTCTGGAGATGTAGTCAGTGAGTGCTCGGTCGGGGTCGTAGCTCTGCAGGTGGGAACAGGTGAGAGCTCCGTGGTCTCCGGCCATGTGAAACCTGCAAAGCACAGAAACGACAGTGATCACCTCCTTCAGACACAGAACTGGTGCGATATTTCACCGCAACACGTAAGTAAACCATTATCGGATCTTGGGGCTGATATATTGTAGTGGTTATTATTTTGCCATTTCAGAGACTTACACAGAACAATGATTGATAGTTTAGTTGTAAGTTGTACCTGTGGTGAGTGGAGGAGATGGCTGATCGGGGGGATTCTCGTCCACTTCTCCCTCTGCTGCTGGAGATGACTCCTCCTCCGCTGCCTCTCTCTCGGTACATCTCCACGCTGCCCGGGTGAAGATATGGTGAATCTCTTGCCTCTGTACCTGAGAGTGATAAAGAAAAATGTTTTGAACATTACATCAAAATTATATTCTCCAGCATGTAGGAGCCATAAAAAACTGTTACGGTTTGGTTACCTAATGTCTGTCCTGTTCCATTCTTGTTGACACCACAGGAGGCTGTGGAGCTCATCCCTGTCGCCTTGTGCCATCGCTTCACTAGGAAACGCATTCTGCATTAACAGAAAAAAAACATTTAGTTTTATTAAAATGACAATAAAAGTTGTAATCTCTCTTTCTCCAAATTCATCACTTATAACATCAATGAACCCACAGCCAGCACCTACCTGGAGAGGGCGATAGAGACTCGGACGGCAGATCGGAAGCGCATCAGCCCCCGGCGGCGCTGGCTGAGGGACTCCAGGCTGGAGACTGACGGTCGGCTGCCCATCCTGGAGAGCAGCGATAGTGTGGCTTCCTCACACTCCTGGAAACCTCCCAGCAGTAACAGCAGATACTTTTTCTGGTAGATCAGTGCTTTGCGGAAGCTTTCTGACCTCAGGTACTTCCCATACATCCTCTGTAAGCAGTAGACAGACGGGAGAAAAAGGGAAAAGGAGTAAACAGATGAGCTTTTCTCAACAGTGGATTAGCATCCTCCCATAAAACCCCACAACCATCAGCATTAATTGCAGCATTTTCTTGTTCTCAATCGTCATTTAATACAGGTTTACACTGACTCTTTTTCTCAGAGCTACTACAGTTAACAAACTGCAAACTCCTGAGATACAGGTTGATGTAAAGTGACTGTGAGCTGACCTTCAGTGCAGCATTGTCAGCCTCAGGTCCAGTTATCTCTCGCAGAGTGTCGGTCCTGATCTCTCCCCTGAGTCGGGCCACCTGGGACTGAGACAGATGTAGAGCTTTCTCCAGACGGACCTTCTCTCTAGTCCAAGCTTCCCGCTCCTGGGAGAGCAGCATACTTGCTGAGTCCATTTTTGACACTCCTCTCCGGCTGCTGGACTGCAGGAGGAAACAAAATAATCATAATAATAATTTTATTTCAAGTCGGCAGTCATGACATGGTACAAACAAAAATAAAGTTGATGTTTGAGCCTGTTTGAACATACATGGGAAGATTCCCCAGAATAAAGATTATTACATTTGATTATCACAGAAACAAACTATGTCCTCCAGACACTGCAGTACTGTAACCTCCTGATCTCAGAGCTGTTTTTAGTCTCTTATCCTCACGTTTTCTGTCATGTACTCACGCTGTCTCCTGATCCCAATCCAGCCTGCCTGTAACGTCGGAGCTCTTCTTCCAAACGGAGCGTGTGGTTCCTCAGATCGTTCTTCTCTTCGGTCAGACGGCTGACGAACCCTGTCAGCTCGGCGTTCTGCCTCAGCAGCCGCTCCGTCAGGGAGTTGGAGGAGCTGGAGGAGCCTCCTGCCAGCGGGGACACGCTCTGGGGAAAAAACACACAGGGGATTGACAAGCAATCACAATCACATGTGAACCACAACAGATGTCAAATGTTTGGAAAACAAACATCAACAGTCGACTCAAGCTCATCTGCTCATTGTTTGAGTGAGTGAAATAATCTCTGCCTCATATTTGTTTGTTAGTTTGGTCTTGCGCAGTCAGACAATCCAGAATTAGTGTGTAAAAGTGATACCATTAAAACCAAAAAAAAAAAAAAACATTGACTGACCTCGGGGACGGAGGGTAGACCTGGGGACTGCTGCAGCATAGTGATGACTTCATCGACACTGGACTGCACCCAGGCCAGCTCTTCACTGTCGACCTCTGCAGTCAGCCTGTAAGGAACATATACAAGTTAATGAACAGCTAATTTACAGGCTGCATTAGAAAAGGTCTCCATGTCATGATGCATTTATGGATTGTGTCTGTTTGTTGATGTTGCGCATAAACTTGTACAAACTGTTAGATAGCTGCCATGAAGCAGCTTTAAGAATGTGATATTAACTCATTTGCATTAATGTTATAACAGATTGTTTTGGCCACATTGACATATTATCAACTTTTAGGTTGATATAATGAACTTGCATAACTTGCATGATATTGTGTTTCAGGCTACTAGACAAATGTAAGTCCAATATTCACTCTCCTTTTAGCTCTGTTTTAGGACTCAACTCGACCAACTCCTGAGAAAAACATCTGGCTGTTAAATGCTGCACTAAGCTCACCAGCTAATCACTAACTTCTCTAACTCTGCTGTTTGGTCCTGATCAGGTAGAGTAGATTTATTAAAGCTTTTTCATTGCAAACACCTGCTGAAACAGATGCTGATGTGGCCAGAGTGAAACCTAAATAGTACAGCTGAGGGCCATAAAACTGAAACAATGAGCTGAAAGATGCTAAGAGGAACAACTGAGCTGAGAGCTGGGTGATAATTCACTACAAGCGACCCCTTTCACAAACAAGTAGTGACGTGATCCACTGTTAATATAAAAATACTGATCATAGCCACTTTATTTACCTGCCAGTAGTTTTGTTCGCCATGCTGCAGATCTTCGAGGAAATGAGGTGGAGTTTGCCCACGATCTTGTCGACTGTGCGCCAAGGACCATGATGTGGTCCACTGGTGTGACCTGCTGGAGACACCTCCTGGTGGGAGGACGGACTGGAGCTGGCAGACAGAACATTTCCAGTCTTCTGCTGGAACACCCAGTCTTTGGTGCGGTCGGTGGACTCACTGTGCCATGCCGCCTGCTGCTTGGATAAACACAATATGGGGTCATGAAACGAGATGAAAAAAGCACTATTTAAGAATTACTATAACTATATATATTACTATATATAAAATGATGTGATTCCGTGATACTTACACTGTGGCTGTCAGCCTGCTGAGGTCCGCTCCCTTCCCTTTGTCCTGCTCGGGTTAACTTCTCCTCCAGTCTCTCCTTCTCTTCCTCCAGGCTTTTCCTCCTCTCCACCTCTCTCTCCAGCTGCTCCTGGGTCGCTGACATTCGTACTTCCAGGCTCTCCAGCTGAGCCCGAGCCTCCAGCAGCGTCTCCTGGTCCCGTCTCGACCTCTGACTTGCCAAAGTCATCTCCTCCTCTTTTCGCACCACTTCAAGCTTCTCGGCCTCCACCTGGCTGAGGAGATGCACCACCTGAGGAAGAAAAATCAGATGTTTGTTACTTAATAATGTAGGATTAAGGTGGAATATCAAACAAATATTTAAATACCTTTGTGGATCATATTCAGGGTACAAGTGTAACTTTTTAGGCTTGTATTTGCAAGAAACAAATATAATCTGTCCTCCATGTTAAAGTTAGCAGTATGAACAAATCACCAGCTATTACAAAGCTGCATGTGAGTCTGGCATATACTACTATTTTTGCAAGTACTTTTTTATTCATTCAGTCAAAATACCACTGTTTTTCTGGGCAAAATATTTTTTTAATAATACAAACAAAGGTTAGATTTATTCTACCCTAACAGAAATATTTTGTGAGGAAGTTTTATGTTAAACAATTAAACTTCTACTATATCAGTTGGTCTTCACAAATATATTTTAGCAGTTTTTCCAAACCTTTTTTTGGTAGTGACCCTTAAAACTCAGCAAAAGCACGTTTTTGACAATAATGCAATTAATCAACATTTATATCTTTGTCTTGTGGTCGTTTGGAGCAAATTCAGTAGAGTACAGAAAACCACAAATATCCCACCTGTGCATGCTTGTCATCCAGCTCCCTCTGCAGTCTTCGCAGCACACTCCCTTCCTCTTCCAGCCTCTTCCTCTCCTCAACTGGCTCCTCACTGCCAGAAGAGACGCCCGTCCGTAGCTCCCTCTCTCTCCCCAGCGCAGTGCTCATCTCCTGGGCCTTGGCTCGCTCTGTTTCCAGCTGGACCTGGAGCTCCTGGAGTCGTCTGTGGAGACTCAGACGTTCCTGCTCAGCCTGCTGGGAGAGCTGGAACAAAGCCTGGCGCTCCTGGTCCAGGCTCACGGTCAGCTGGGCCACACGGCTCTTCTGCTCCTCCAGACTGAGGTGGAGGTCCTGACAGAAAAATAAGAAATACAACTTCTTAATATAACAGTGAGAAAGTTGAGATGGTTGAGGTAACACTAAAATATCCTAAAAAGTGCCCCCTGTGATTACTCCGTTCTTACCTCCAGCTCTTCTTGCTTACTCTCCTCAGTTCTTCCAGTTCGACATTTCTCCTTCTCCATGGCCCACTGAAGATCTCTGTTTCTCTTCCTCTCCTCTGTCAGCTGGTCATTGAATGCATCCACCTCTGCAGCCTTTTTCGATACCTCTGCCCTGTAGACAAAGAAAATCTTAATGAGTGGAGAGCTACTCGATGTTTTAGTCATAGACAATGATCTTAGGTTTGTTTAACCTGGGTCCGTCAAATGAAACAGCTGTGATTGGAAGTGTCAATGCAGAGGGCAATCTGCAGACCATATAACTGCAACATCCCTGGTTCAGTTCAGGCCTGGGAACTTTGTCGAATCTCACCTCATGTTTTCTATCTATAGCTCTACACAGAAAGTTTCCAAACAACCTAAAAATACAGTGTTTAAACATCTGTCAAAGTATTTCAAATACTGTTATTATGAAGTCTCCGATCATTGAAATACCTTGTTAAAATGCCTCCGTCTTATTAAGTATTTTTACCCTCACAGTTACTGAAATGTATCCAGGTGTGTTGGATACATATCTGTGAGCAAACATCATGTCTAACCTCAGAGTGTCCAGCTCTTTCAGGTGTTTGTGCTGAGTCTTAAGCGTCGTCTCCAGCTCTAGTTTAGTCTGGGACAGTTCACCCTTCAGCTCCTCCACCAGCAGCCTGTCAGCCTCCGCCGCTCCATCTGCTCCTCCTCCCTCCCTCTGCTCCTTCACACTGCATTCAGCAGCCATAGACACTGCAGGCTGGACGCCTGAATGACGACAATTAGAAAAACATCAGTCACAGGACGTACGAGGACATATGGGATTTCAGTCAAATTAAAAAACTGAAATCTGTGTTAATTAGGTTGTGTGATGTTTCAGTGGAGCTGATGCAATAATGAGCAATGAACACTTTTTTAACAGGTTCACCTTGATGGAGTTGCTCTAGTTGACCTCGCAGCTGATGAATCTCAGAGATGAGACTGGATCTCTCTGCAGTGAGGAGTGAACCCATCGCTTCCCTGTGGTGGGCGTCCTGTATCAGGATCGCAAAAACAACAACTTACGGACAGGTTTTAAATAACAACAGAGGAGAGGAACGACATGAGAAGGCTGTCTCTGGATTCAAATCACATCATGGCAGATCATCAAGTGGTGTTAATGTTCATAAATAGTTCTAGAAACATGAAATGTCATAGTTCACATACTTTTTAACTCCTGATGTGTTAGTGCAAACAGATAACAGATGAATGTCTTGTTCCTTCAGTTGCATTTAAAAAGCGCATTTACTCTCAATTTATATGTACATCAGTTGGTACTCCCCTGATTTTGTACTGCACTTCCATAAAGTCGGGGGCCTTGTGACAGTTACGTTAAAACATGGTCAAAATCAAAGCAGCAGAGGATACAAGAAACAGGAATCTTGACTTTTAGTCCCTCGTATGAATCATTCACCAAAAACTCTGGTTCCTACATTTTACCTCACCTCCTACAACACAAATGTTTTCTTTTTTTACAGTCGTTGTGACTGACCTGTTCAGCCAGTCTGCGCTCCAGCTGATTGAGGTAAATGATGGCGTCACTGGTGTCCAGTAGATCCAGCTGGCTGTAGAGGGCGTTCTTCAGCACGCTTCGTTCCCTCAGAAACACCTGCCTTACTGCATCCAGGAGCGCCGCACGCCAGTCCGCACTCCCAGACATCTGCAGCAAGTCAGAGACACAAGGATCAACACATGAGCGCACAAACAGAGGGAGACTCATCCGTTTCAAATGACAAGTATGACAGCTCGACATCTGAATCACCCTTGCCACTTTAAACTCTTAGGTTTCTGACTGGTTGAGATTTGAGTAAATCTTGTCATGCTTTGTGAAGGCTCTCAGCAGGTTTCCTCTACCTGTGTTTCTCTGTGTGTCTGCATCTGAGTGATGAGGCCTTTGAGAGACTCCACGGTTGCGAGCAAAGCATCTCTTTCCTTCACCCAGCCTTGGATGTTGAACTGGCCGCCCGGCTCGCCTTCAGAGAGGGGAAGCTCTGACAGAGAAAGCACCTGCATGCCCTCCTGGTGCACCTCACGGAGCAACATCTAAAAACACAAACACCACACAGAAATGTTTGCCTTCATTCTTTTCTAGTTCGGGAGAAAAATGAAAAAATAAAACCCCTCTGAGACATATTTAAGTAATGCTTACAAATACAGGAGGCAACACGAATACATAATTACTCTTGAGAAACAGATCACACACCACACACATATGGTCAGCCTCACCTAATGCAGCCACAGCAGTCAATGACGTAAGAATAATGGGTATCAGCTGCAGCTGCATTAATGTATTTTTCAGAGCTCTAGGCCCTTAATAAGTGGAGGCTGTACCTTGATCCGGTCAGGCAGTGGATCATCAGTTTCTCTCCTGGCGCCCTCTGGAGTCGTCCTGAACTCCTGCTGCAAGCTCGGGAGGTCATATCCAGTCCGCTGGCTGTAGTCGGAGCTGCTGTCTGCAAGAGCACAAAAATTCTCTTGAAGTAGAAATACTGACAATGGTTAATGACTACAGAGCATTCACAATTGCCTAACGATATAAGGCTCACTGTTTTCACATGGCACTGGTGCAGCATCACAGCAAGGAAATTATCATCACTGCTCACGTGTGAAATTAATAGGAGACGTCATGACAAACTTGAACTGATGATTTATTATCAAAGGGGAATTGAAAGAACAATACTCTTGAGGGAACACTGTTGTAGTATAAAACAAAATCCCAACCTGAACTCTAATGCCACATAAACTAACAGCAGCAATTGTTTACTGAAGCAAAACCCCAGAAACACACAAAGAATGCTGGAATTAATATTTCATCAGTTAGTTTTAGTGTATCCTTAACTAACAAAAATGAAAGACAAAAACAGTTTTGAAACACTTGAAACATGAATGTTAACAGAAGGTCACAGGAGTTATGAATGTGCTGTATCTTACCACTGGTGTATCCATCTTTGAACTGTGGCGTAGGACGGTCTTGTCTTGATGCAGCGGCCTGAAAAGGATGAAACATGATTCAAATAATTCTTTCTCTGTATTACAGATGACTGCAACACTCCTCTGCACGTAGTAGGTAGTTAGCATTTAAGCTCATCACAGCTAAAACAATGTACTGCTCAGCTGATTGACAGATGTTTCATCTGTAACAGTCTGGATAATTGATTTATTGTTAGTTGATTAAATGTTAAATATTCTGGTTTCATCCTCTCAAATGTGAAGTTTTGCTACTTTTTCTCTGTTTTATATTGAATATCTTTGGGTTTTGGGCTTTTGGTTGGAACAAATTAGCAATGTGAAGATGTCTGAAGAAGTTTCCTTGTGGTGATGAATGAAAGGAAATGAAAAACGCACCAGTTCAAAAAAACGGCTTCAGATTCCATAATGTCAACAAGACAGAATGATCTGCAACTTCTCTTACACTAAACTGACTTACAGTATACAGCATTAATATTATCAAACACCTTCCTTCCTGTTTCCTGTCCTCACCTCAGTAGAGCGCAGCTTGTCAATGACAGCTTTGAGGGCTTTACACTCGTCCTCCAGGGCATGTGTGTCCCTCCGCAGGTTCTCGCTCTCCGAAATATGCCGAGCCTCCATGTCCAGGATTTCTGCGGCGTGGAGTTCCTGCATCTGCACGATCTTCTCCTGAAACTCTCCGATCACCTCCTCCATCTCCTCTTTGGTGGCAGACTTGCTTTCTGGACTGAGATCAGACATTTGGAAAGGTTCGGTCTGTGTGAACGAGTCTGTTACAGCCATGTGTTGCTGTTCGGAGCTGCTGTTCAGCCGCGAGCTGCGAGATTTGTTGGAGGACTGGCTGGAAGCAGCGGAGTTTTTCCTGGACAGAGATGGTTTATCTTTGGCACTGCTTCCCTTACCAGCCGGCTGTTTGGCTCCCTTTTTCTTGGGCTGGGCGGTGGCGGAGGACTGAGGCTGAGGAGACGGAGAAGGAGAGGGAGAAGGAGATGGAGATGGAGGACCAGAGTCTGCTGCCTTCATCAAAGCTGTTTGTACCTCCTGCAGCTCGTCTTTGAGCTTGGAAATGGACAGTTCGCGGACGTGCAGCGCGTCCTGGAGTTTCTCATTGTGCTGCCTGTGGCTGTTGAGCTCTTCTTTGGTGGTATCCACGTTCTTTCTCAACTCCTGGAGTTCCTCTTTGAGTTCAGAAATGGAGACTTCACGGACTTGGAGCTCCTCCTGCAGTTTCTCATTATGCTGCCTGTAGCTGTTGAGTTCTTCTTTGGTGGACTCCGCATCCTTTTTGACCTCCTGGAGCTCCTGGAGAAGCTCTGTCCTGTCGGCTCGTTCTTCATCAGATTTTACCTGGTGAACAGTCAGGCAGGCAGTCAAACACTATATATACAGCCAGGTATCACGAAAGATAACAATCTAATCAATTCTATAGAAATGTAAATACACTGATAATACTGTCCATCATCAAATTACAAAGCAAAAAATTAAGTTCTAACACTTCTGACTTACTTGGAAAAGTTCTCCTTTAAGGTGGGCAATGGTCATTTCCCGCTCCTTTAAAAACACAATTTTATGTCAGTAAACTGTGTATAAATAAATACTTTCATACATATACATGGTTGCTGAACTAATATTTTACTTTAGCACAGATGAAACAACATTTTTACGATACAGGTATGATAAATATGAAGCTACGGCCAGCAGCTGGTCAGCTTAGCTTAGTAGAGAGGCTGGAAAAAGGAGGAAACATCTAACCCGGCTCTGTTTGAAGGAAAATCCACCTACCAGAACCTTTTAAACTCACTAATTAACACGTTAATGTTAGTGGGGTAAACAATGAGCTTTAGAGATGCTGGAGAGATTTTGGATTTGGTCACCTCTGGACAGGGCCGGGTGAGCAGTTTCCCTGAAATATTCTCCCTAAAAATATGTTTTTGTCAGCAATGAGGGCTCTTCAGGTGGATTTCACAGAACTCAGCACCAGAGGCAGGACATGACTGTATGTCCACCTGGCTCTGTACCTGCAGCAGCTCCTGTAGCTTCTCCAGGCTCTCCCTGCTGCTGTTAAGCTCCTCTTTGGTGGCTGCTGCTTCATCTTGAGCCTCCATGAGTTCCCGTTGAAGCTCAGACAGCTTGACCTCCTCACTGCCACTAGATGATACCTAAGGTGACCAGGATGTAGTGTTAGACGGCCAGTAAGCAAGCCTGCCTCTGAGAAAATACTGGGTTATAAAAAATGTGAACTGTGTAGGATCATATTTTTTACCTTTTGAAGTTGCTCCTGTAGTCTCTCTATTGTTGCCGTTTTTTCCTAGAAAGAAAAACAGCTGATCACCACCAAGCATCAGACATACACTCACAATAAGTATGAACACTGAGAAGCTGTTTAATGTCACGTACTTGCAGCTCCTCCTGGAGTCTGCTGCTGCTCTCCTTGAAGCTGTCAAGCTGCTCTTTGGTGGCCGAGGTCTCATCTTTAACCTCCTGCAACTCCTGAAGCAGCTCCGACACAGACGGCTGGTAATCAGCAGAGGAGGCCTGATAAAAAGTTCACAAAGATCCAAACCTATCAGAGCTGTATTGTGCGAGAGACAACAATTCACTGTCTGATGCTTAATCAGAACGACTACACTGGGTATTTTGGTAGTTAAGCTGAGTGCAGGGAAAATTCACAAATGTGCTCCAATATCGAGTCCATTCAGTTCATAGATTTGGTGTTAATCACATCGTGCACACATAGGAAAAGAAGACAAGTATTGCACTCAACTTTAAATTCTTCTTTTTATTTCAAGACCTCAGTGCAGTGCGTCACTGTGGCCACAAGTTTTATGTTTAATTCCAGTGTATTGTCTTTGTAAAGTACTAAATCTGTTCTGATGAAGAAAACCAAAACCAGCTGGCATTTGAACTCTGTATGCCTGAGTAAATAAAGGTTTTTAAACTTTTCTCCTTGCTCTGCCTAAGAGTGTCTGAAGATTGTCTTCTTTTTCTGCGACCTTTTTTGTCATTTTCAACAACACCTTAATGTTTCCTGGATTTACTACATGTGAAACTGATTAAGCATCCTTCTTCCTGGTACCGACAAGATTCATTTACACTCTTTTTTAAATTAATAATCACCTTTATAATAATAACCTTTTAAAGTCCAATCTGGAACAGGGATTGAAACTTGAATGGTTGGTGACAGTTTCAATACAAGTAGTAACATTTCACACATTAACAACAATTCGATTAAAATAAAAACACTTCAGTAAATGACAGTTAAATCTGAGTATGTGTAGTACAAACACATTTGTACACAAAAAAGTACAGTTGTGCTGAAAAGTCAAAGCCAAATTTGCACATTTTCAGTGACAGTCATCTCGATGCTCTTTAGAGGAATAGTTTGACATTTTGGGAAAAATGCTTATTCACTTTTCTGCTGAGTTGTTATATGAGAAGATCAGTATCAGAATAATGTCTGTTTGCCAAAGATGGAGCTACAACCAGCGACCAAGCTTATTTTGGCATTAACGACTGTCCAAAAGTAACAAAATCTTCTCTGAAGCTCACAAACTAACTGATTCTGAAGAGTAAAAACAACAATTTGTGGTTTAATGGGAGGTTATGCGCGTGACTATTTCTTGGCTGAGCTTAAAAGCTCTAAGTATTTTCACACTTAGTGGCTGAACTCTTACCTCCACAGCTGGTGAAGTAATCTGGTGACTCCTGGCCTTCATCTGACTGAGCAGGTCCATGAGCACAGCCAGCCTCCTCTCGTACTCCAGCACCTCCTCCTCAGAGCTGGAGAGCAGCTGCTTCTGGAGCTCCTGGTCTTTCTGCATCCCACTGAGTCCCACCTCCAGCTCCCGAAGCCTCTGGGTCAGATGGACAACCTTTCCAGTGGGAACGTGTCCTGCTTGACCCAGTCCACTGAAATCCATTTGGGGAATACCAAAGTCGCCAAAGCCGTGCACATGTGGCTCTGCATCTCTCTGCAGGTCCTGGCTTTCTTTGGTTCCTTGTGTCTGCTGCTGCTGCTGCTGCTGCTGCTGCTGGAAGGCCTCCAGGGTGGCTTGGCTCACCAGCACCTCAGCCACTTTCTCCCTCAGATTTTCCTCCAGACTGGAGACCTTCTGTTGGAGACCATCTACATAGCTTTGCGTTTGCTCCACAAGGAGGCGACAGCGACTTAACTCACTGTCTCTTTCAGCGACCAAGTCTTCAAGCTCCTGGATACGGACCCCTAACTCCTCCACCCTGTTTGTTGCGCTCTGCTCTAGAGCTTGTACTTGGGCCTGCATGACTACGAGTCCTGCAGTTTTCTCTCTGAGAGCTTCTTCAAGATCTCCCTCTGAACCATCCATTTTCTCTGTTTCAGCTAAAGCTTCGGCGCTCTCTTTCAAGCGCAGATATGTCTCCAACAGTTTACTGTGCTCCGTTTTCAGTGTATCGAGCTCTTTGGTGGCAAGGTCCATCCTCTGCTTCATTTCATCGTACTCCTCTTTACCTGGCCCCCATTCACCGCTCTCCGGCTCACCCTTGTCATCCTCATCTTCCTCTGCGACCTGTTTTTGCTCGATATTGGCCAGTTCCTGCTGAAGTTTATCTATGACTGCATTCAGTTGGTCAAACTCCTCCTCATTATTCCTCTTCAAGCGCTCTTGTTCACTCCTGAGGCACTCTACCTGGGACTCCAGGTCTTTTATCAGCTCATCCCTCTCATCAATTTCCTACAGAGTAAAACAGACATTATTAAACCGTGAAAATATCAAATTTGACGAGTCCATGGCTATCCAGCTAGGTTAAGCCTCTGAGTCCCTGCTGTGCTTAGAGAGACTCTTTAGGCCTTTGATGTAGTTTTTACTGGCATTTTTTTAATAAAATTTCTGTGTCACATAACAGAGACTCAGAGGTTTAATAAGCCACCTCACACGAGCAAATGATCACCTCACAACAAAAGATGGTGCTGTGGATCTACTTACCGAGACAAAACAAGCAGAAAACAAAAAAAACAACCCAACAAAAAACATTAAAATGGAAAAAAAAAAAAAAAAATGGAAGCCAACACAAGTAAAAGCGAAGAGGAAACCAGAGAACACACACAATGATGCACTACCACGGAGCTATGCGTATTCGAAATAGACTTTGGTTCTATTTCGTATACACATATTGTGTTACCTTGTTATCGGAAGCTGTTTCCATGTGTTGAAGCTTAGTGATCTGTTCATTAAGAAGTGCTATTTCCCTGTCCTTCTCCTCCATCACCTTCAAAAGTCAGAGATTATAATGTGATGGCTATTAATAAACACGTCACGCGAAAAGTCCACTCAGACTCAGCCTTGTGGTGGACTACTGAAAGTTCAAAAACTGAGTCATAGAAGAAATGTGTTGCAGCGGCACTCTTGCATCACACATGGCAGAACGATGGGTAATAAATCCTAAAAATGTGCAAACTAAAATTAGCAACAGAGAGCCAATATCTTATCTAATAAAAAAACAGACCATCTGAAGAAGAATCAATTTGCAGTTTGTGAGCAGAAATATTAATGTGATATAGAAATAACAGCGTTATATATCTGTTTACATCTGCTGGGAACAGTTTTAGTGTCATGATTAAGCCAAAACTTCTGCTGTACAAGACAAGCTTATCTGACAATATCACACTGGTCAACAGTTTTAAAGTCACCAGTGACCAATGGTTTATCATTCGCTCTTTAGTAGAACAGTTTGTAAACTATGACACATTAGATTAAACAGTAAAAGTGTTAAGAGTACAGTCGTTTGATACAGTATGTCACTGTCTGTCTGACAGTGCTAACCACTGTCATCGTACAGCCAGACTTCACATTTCAATTTAAACATAAACATTTAAACATCTGAGCAACAGGATGTCTGTTCACCTGGAGCATGCTGTCCCTTGTTTCTAGGTACTGCTGCTGGCTGCTGATCTCCTTCCTCTGGATCTCCAGCTGCATCTGAAGCTGCTGCACCTCCTCGCTCTTGTTCTCCAGCTCCTCTCTGAACTGCTCCAGCTGCTCCTCCAGGTTACCGATCTGAGGCGACAGGGAAACACATTATTGCTCTAGTCTTTTGCATCATAAAGGAAAATACTTGGTTTACTAAAACTTTAATAGAAATCCAGGTGCCACCTGTAAATATATTGGCAAAAAATGCTTTTGCCGGATAATTACAATTGTTTTCATTTTTTAAACACATCATCGTGAATGTACTACTTTCCAAAAACAAAGGATGTGTAAATGCACATTATGAGTGTCAGTGTTTAAAATAATAATAATAATGTTTATGAATATCCACTTAAAGGAAACTCTTCACTAGCAAAGATCTAAGCAGGTTGGCTGCTTTGAAAAACCTCAGAGAACAAACTGAACATCATTCTACCTCCTTCTCTTTCCGCTCCAGAGCTTCTCTCTCTGTCTGCAACTGAGCCTCCAGTGTGGAGTGTCTGGTCTCGGTGATGGATGCATGCTGCTTCTTTTGTTCAACCTGCCGAACACACGCACACAGAAAAAGAGACACACAACTATTTAGGTCAGTTATTTACAACGTGTGCAGAAAGACATGAAAAAGCAACGTCTTGTAATCAAATAGATTTTTAAGGAGGCTGAACATTGTATTGTATCCTGCATCGTGCCAAAGAAACTCAATTTGTCAACAGAGCAGCAGCACAGCAAACAGGAACACTTCCTACGCTGCTCTTTTTGTTCACTCACCACAGCCCTCCACGAACACTGGGGGGCAATCTTGACAGTTGCTAGCCATAGCTCAGTGTCATCACAGCAAACTGCCGAGGCAGCTGAAGTAGACCCACCCACACATTGTTCTCCCTCTTGTGCGTCCTGTCCCTCCTCCCTCCTGTTCCTCCACTAGCTGTCACCTCCTCTACATGCTCTCACATACACACACATTGTCTGCGATGCTTCACAGCTACTGTTCAGGTTTGTCTCTTTGGCTGTCTCTGCTTTAATCTCAAGAACATCCTTCATCCCCCCCTCCCCCCCTCCCCTCCCCTTCCTAACCTTCTCCAGGGACTCAGCGCTGGCCAGCAGGGCCTGCTCCAGCTCGCGGATGCGGCTCTCCAGCTTGTCAATCTCTTCGTCGCGCTCTCCCAACTCACGACGCAGCTGCTCTGAGCTGAGCAGCAGCTCACTGCACCAATCCGCCTTCTCCTTCAGCTGGGAGGTCAGCTGGTCCACCTGGTAGCGAGAGGAGGAGAAAGAGAGAGACGAGGGAGAGGGAGAGAGAGGGGTGATCGTTCAGTGAGATTCGTTCACTTGCTACAGCATAGCTGGTACATGTGCAGCTAGCTGGGATGTCAGCTGATCCACCTGAGAAAGGAGGGGGTGGGAGAGAAAAGAGGTGCAGGGACAGAAGGGAGAGAGAAATTTCATTCAGGAGGACACAAGCCACAGAGCAGTACAGTAACCAGGAGGGCGACTGGCAGGTAACTGATCCACCTGTGAGACGGGAAAACAGCAGCAGATCAATGAGGGGGAGGAAGAGGGGGAGGAAGAGGGGTCAACAGGAGGAGGATTCCTTTAGGATGTACTAAGATCTGGGAAACGATAATGATATGTCCTTTTTGCAGAAACAGTACCTAAATGGTAAACTGCCCCCCTGCTGCAATTAACCAAGAAGATGATGTTGCTTTATCAAGGACTGACTGACATTTATAAAATGCATTTTTATGGACCTTGTGCCACAGAAAACTGAGATTCTATTCAAATCAAGATGAAACTGTAGTAAGCCACATGAAATACAGCACTTAATCAAATATTAATATGACTAGAATGAAGGATGGACTCATCATGTGAGTACTTCCGCACAGAATAGGTTATTTACATTTCTTTAAGCTTTATTTTACCAAAAACTCCCTGTTGGTCCATTTATGGATGAAAATATAGCCAACACAAGTGTGTTTTTCTATCCAATTTCTTTCATGACATTCAGAAAAAAAAAAAAAAAAAAAAAACCTTGCAAGAGGTCTGCTCATTTTTGAATATTTGAAAATGGCATCTGAGGAATAGATAGGAAAAATCTACAAAAGCACTGCTAATGTTAATGTTAAAGCAAGCCAAGTAGCTAGTTTTACAGATTATATCTTTGAATTGTTAATTTTCATATTGAACTAAAACTTTGTCACATTCAAAATTTCATTAAAAAGTTTAGGAATTCAACTATGCAAAATTTTGACAAAAACCAAGCTTGAATTTAAGATTACTTTACTTTGTTTTTACCATTTTACTCTTTTTACATGGAAACATTTGTGTGAGAGACAAGGGGATGGATAAGAGTGAGAAAAGGACGGTGGTTTGAGGCTCAGACACTTCCAGACAAAGACATACAGTAGAGAAGGACCAAACTGGAGAACGGCGAAAGAAGGGGGTAACAGAGATGGACAAGTCATTTATCGTGACAGGGATGGGCAGGGTTACTAAAATGCACTAATTGCTCTCTGGGGGAGACTTCTACATGAAGCTAGAAGCAATACCTTAAAGGTTACTCCGTCCACCTGCAATAGCCACGGGAGAGAAAAGGCAGAGGCATAAGGGATCAGCGGATGGAGAGTTCAAGGGCAAAAGGGGGGTAAAAAAGCACTTAGTGATAAAAATGTGGCATGAGTCTCTGGGAATTATAGAAGTGGTAGAGGTTATCTCAGGGGAATTAGCCTGTGAGTTTGAAGCAGAGGTGCAACTGGGGTATAAAATTTATGCTTCAAACACAAGAAAGCCATAGAACGAATAGCTAGTTAAAGCTGCAATCAAAAATGATATTATTCACGTCTATATCTGACTTAATAGGGAATGAACTGGTCACTCTGATCTTTATGCTGCTCTCATCAGGCAGGTCAAAGACCAATAGCAGGGGCAATATAAGGATACTTCACTTTTCAGTATCGTATGAAAGGACAGAACATTTTGACATCAAGCATCAGTCATTATCCCCTGAACGAATAACTGACTTATCTTGTCATGTGATGTTTCAGATCAGGCAAGTGAAATGCACTGAGGGCCCATAAACCAGAACAGCTGATTTTCCAAAGATGACTGTGCTCTTTTATATTATCTAAAGGAGAATCATTTGAATCTCACAGTTTCTTGTCTTTATTACAAACCAGACGCCTTGACTATAAACAGGGTGAAATCCTTACAAGCAAATTACTTTGGTGTGGTGGGCAAGGATCTAATCGATTGGTTTGAGGACATAATTGACGCTTCAAATGTGCTGCAATTCCACGACATGACAGCGTCGATCAACATTACATTTCTCGTTGCCCAGAGAGAACTAGTGGCTAGATGGTGATTTGGATAAAAAGAAAAAGAAAAAACGTGACAGTAAATAATGATGACTACTTGAGCAGAACAGCAAAAGCAATGCAGGCACAGTGGATGTTACTGCTGTGAGGAATGAGACCGATGAAATATCATTCTGTGATTTGGTGACCATGCTGACAACTTTAATAAGGCAGGGTTAAAACCTGTGGAACAAGATGTAAACAGAAGTTGATCGTGTTTCTGGTCAAATCTCCGCCCAATATTCATTCTCTTTTAGCTCTTTTTGTTTTCTAACTAACTAAATAATCTGGCTCTAAAGGTGTTCAAGGGTTAGTCGTTAACATTGTGTATCGGCTGTTTGAATCTCAGCAGGTACTGTACAGAGTTTTTATCAGAAAAAAACAGCTGTCTGTTGAGGTTAGAAATGAGGTGAGCGCTGTGAGAAAACAGGAAAGCTGTGGACAGTAAAACCAAAACGTTGAGTTGGGTGATTCATCTCTACAAACAACCCCTTTCATATCACACAGTCACTTGATCCATTGTTCATATAAAAATATCAATTAGTGCAGCTTTAAGCAAAATTATTTGAATTTAGCCTGTAAACTGTCACATGAACTGACATGAGTATTCACTTCTGAAACCTGACATCAGAGTCAGTCACATTTCATATGATGTAACTGAATTGTCCTTGTGTCAAAATGCACCTGATGCAGACACCTGGCTTTATTTTAGACAAAATCTTGTATTTGAGTAAAAGCTGCATAAACATTAGCAAGTCTTAGACCTCACTCCCAGTGTTTTGTGTATTTGATGATCATGGAAATACAACCCGCTATTACACAACTTACAAAAGTTCACAAGGACAAACATTAATCTCACTCTTTCCCCTGCGTAACACTCCCACTATTTGGTATCACTTTCGAGGCAGCACAGGTAATTCTACCAGCTCTATTGTTCTGCTGTGCGACTCTGAGCTTAGTGTTGTAGCCATAACAATGTTACGCTCAGAAAATGAACATCTCTATTACTGCCTGTTCCCCTGGAGGAACACAGAGCTTTCTCCTGTTACCTCTTGGTTTCTTTGCTCAGAGCCGGTCTGAAGCTTCTGCGGATTCTTCAGCTGCTGCTCCAGTTTCTGGATCTCCTGCTGGAAGAAGTCCCTTTCATGTTCTCGGTCCACAGCTTGTTCCTGGACACCAAAACAAAGACAGAACAGTCAAATTAATAATGATGAATACCAAAAAAAAGGTATCAAACTAAGAGGGATACATATTTTTTATATGAATACAGTTATAAGAATTTCTATTTTGAATCCACCTGTTGGGAAGTTGGAGTCCTGGTTAAAGAACTACTCGAAAAACATTTTTTTAGTGATTGGAGGCGTTTATGTGTTCAGTATTTCTTCCCCGCTATCTAGTCTATGTTTTACTACACAAATCTGAGCTGAAGTAAGTAGTACGCTTTAAGGGCCGCCTGATGGCCGAGCTAGATGAGTTTAACTGTTAGTAAATGCTGCTTTCCTGCAGATGATAACATAACTAGGAAATAATTCATCATTAAGAGTTATAGAGAGACCGTCAGACTCTAAGAGCAGCTGTAGTTGAGAAGATACAAACATGTTTTGAGTTTTGTAGAATTTGTAGATTGACCTTTAGTTGACTAATCTCATACACTGAAATACTGTCCTGTTGATGACTTCTATAAAAAAAACACTTCCCATGTAACTACATGGCAGGAGCGGTATATCCAGGTGCCAGCAGTTCCACAAATGTAGGCAAAACTAAGTTTCTTTCCAGTAAAACCTCAGATGGAGACGACCTTAAAATGAAATGCCCAAGAAATATTTACATGATCAGTAATGGGGTTTGTCAGGCCTCGATAACTGATCACAAAAAGATGAGTACATTAACGAAACAGAAAAACATGCTGCACCTTTAGCTGTCAAAATAGAAACACAAATGAAATCAAAATTTCCATTTTTACTGCATACAGCAGAAACATAAGACTGTTTGTGTCTATATCGATGATTAAGGAAGGGCCAAATAATGAATAATTAATTAAATAATCAGAAAATCACATGTTCACAAATGTGCTTATCTAATATTTGAGCATAACAGAAAACAGCAGAGCAGAATAAAAGGAATCTACATTCAAACCACATCCACTCAATCACATGCCAACTCCTGGCCAAGTGGCCTATTTATGATGATGGGAACAAAACTCATTAGACAAATACAAGAGAGGCCCCGCAAAAAAAACATGAAAACCATCAGTTTAGCTTTGGATAGGCCCACTAGGCTGAGCCTAAATCTGCTGTTAACAGCTAGCCCTGCCGCAGCCTTATCCCTGTGTCAAGTTATCCACCTGCAAGTGAACGCTAAGCTTTTATTGACCAATAAAATATAATATAAATCAGTCCTACAGTCAACTGTCAAAAAAGTAAAATAACCTTTCTATCTAAACCTGTTGATGGACTATGAAGGTGTCAGTAAATGATCAGAGGTGTGTCACGAGAAACACTCATCATTATTACAGTATACACCTTATAAGGTATGTAGCTTTAAAATAGATTTAAGTTGTTTCATGCCTCTTTGGTTATTTGCATTTGACTGATGAGGGACAATAAGATGCAAGTGGACGAGAACAAAAATAAACTTTGCACAACTTTCCTCAAAGAGGAAACATATTCAGAACAAGGGCTGCAACTAACTTTCATTTTCACTATTAATTAATCTTTTAGTCTATAAAATCCATCTAAAACCAAAGATATCACAGACTTTAGAACATTTAATTAAACTGCCTCAGACAGTGGAGCTCATTTTGTTAGTCACTTACGTCAAGGAACTTCCTGTTCTTCTCCAGCTGTTTCTCCAGAGCTTGGATCTGCTGTTGCTGGTCTCCGCTCTCTGTCCTCTGAGCGTGCTCCAGCTCGATCACCCTGTTGACCTGTTCCTCCAGCTCTGCTTCCAGCAGCTTCACCTGCTTCAGGAGGTCAGAGTTCTCCTTCTCTGCCTGCCGCTGGACCTCCACCTTCTCTTTCATCAGCTTCTCCGTCTCCTCCAGCAGGTCTACAGGACACGATGGAGGAAGGAGGAGAGGTTAGCTGTCACTGCCTGGCAACCAAAGGTGGTTGAACTGAGCTATTTAGTCATTTAGGTTTGATTTCAGTTATTAACAGGATGCTGAGATGGATCTGAAGAGTCTGAAGTCTGTGAGCATTGTGATTAGATTTAATGCTAATTTTGCTTTTTGCCACGGTGATCACCTTTCCCATGCAAAAGAATAGTCAACTTTCTCTTTGAAAAGCCTTTGATTTCATTATCTGTGGTTACTTTTATAACTTCGCACCATCTGAATAAATGGCTAACGTCAGACTCTTCTAACATCTCAGTCAGCTTCCCAACATAATGCCCCGTTACCAAAAATGACCACCCATCATGGTGCCTCTTTGCCCTCCTGCTGTCACCAGTGAACAACCCCCGCCGGTTCACCCAGGACCAAACCCCGCAGGATTAGTGCAAAAGTAACAAGGTGAGAGAGTGCAAATGACAGATCAGACACGTGGACAGTCCAGACATTGCAATATCCATGCCCAATAAGCATTTACAGGCAGGGGAGAAGGACTTCCTGAACGGCCAATCATCTCACTCAAAGAAATGCTGTAAACACAGCATCTACAGATCTAAAATATAAATAAAGATACTTTAACTCAGAGTGAAGATGGTTGACAGTTAGGAAATAATGACTACATATAAATGTCTGAAGATTACTTTCATTTCATCATGCTAAAATGAGTGCTAACACTGACTCCAAGACATTAAAAATGACAAACCAGGACAAAAATCAATCAAAATGAAAAGCTGAAGCGAAGGTTAGTGATTGAACTGAGTGAGTTTGTGAGCCCATAGCAAGCAAGCTCCAAGCTTTGTTGGTGAGTTGCTGGATTAGGGTTAGAGAAATATACTGTCACTCAGCTACAGTAGACAATTAAAAGAACATATAGATATGACTGAGCCATGCTCAAAGTTGACACACCTGCTTCAGGTGCTGCAACCATTGCAGCTTCAACTAGGCCTACAGGAGAATAAGAAAGCACAGGAGTTTAACATGCTCTTGTTTTTTTTGTCATGAACAGGACAACTCTTAGAAAAAAGGAGAAAGAAAGGTGAAGATAGACTGGCAGTGCTTTTCTGCAGAGAGGATGCTGTGAAAGGAAAAGGTTCCTGAAAAAGCCCAATCTGGTTTATACCCTTCAATACAGAATACTCACCATTTCATCAGTGAATTAACTCATGGAATACCTTTTTGATAATACAGGAGTTATATAGTGCAAAATTAGCAGATACAGCTTGTCAAGCTTAATGCTTCCAGAGCTCTTCCTGGAAAGTACCTGTAAATTTATGACTTGTGTCACAAGAACCAGCAGCAAGTGTTTAAGAAATGTAGATAAGCCCGAAGAGTTTCCTCAGCATTGCTACTTTCAACATTCAACAAAATAAACATTTTAGCGACTTTTTGACCCTTGGTCTTTAACCCTGTCACTGATAATGCTGCCCATTTATTTCATGCTCATAAACTTTTTTAATCACTTTTATTGGGCCACAGCAATACAAGATCTACAGAGGAAATCAATATGAGTGTTTTACATCTTTCCCTGAAACCAGTATAGATGCAGATATAGAAGTGTATACTGTCAATATGACATACACAATACTTATATATATATAATATAAGTATAATATATAAGATAATACAGTACTTTGAAATAGGAGCTGGAACAATGACAACTTCTGTACTGTACTCTTCAAAACCTCAGCTCCTTTGTGGTTCTCTGGAGATCTTCTACTTTTGTCTCCTCATTTACTACTACCGTTTTTCTTTATGATCGACTAACTATGATGTCTACAAGGCAACAAAATGTACACTTGCACTTAATGTTCAGAACATGTTGAATAAATTAATCTCCAAATGTTTTCCTTTCAACCATGAGGATAATAACTACATGTGAATACTGTAGGTTACTTAAAACTCCATATCAATTTCTTCCCGCCTTCGTTAAGGGAGTTCTAGGATACGTACGAAGCTCACGGGGCCCGGCGTGCTCCCTCATAGCGTCCTGTTGCCGTGACAGCAGCTCCCGCTCCTCCTGCATCTGAAGCCTCTCCTGCTCCAACTCGTGCAGCCGGCTACTTGTAACCTGCAGGGAAAAAGAATAATTCAGCTAGAGCACAGGAGATAATGCCTATATCAAAATGTGTCCCACAAAAAACAAAACAAATTTTCTTGCAAAGCTATATTTGACTTGGGCTTCACAGAAAATACTTGTTAGTAGGTTTTGGTCTTTTAATGAGATTTACTGACAATATGAAATATGTAGAGTATAGATGTAGACGATACATGAATATGACTCTAAAGAGAAACAAAACTACCTCATGACCCAGATTTTATTTTAGATAAACACATTCTATGTTTTTTTTTCTTCTGGCAGAGACTGAATTCAGCCTGAAGTTATTGTACTTACACGTGAGTCACTACTCTGCCATGCTAGAGGCAAAATACAGAAATCGACTCTCAACATAGTCAGGTCATGTGCCGTCTCTTAAACAAGGTAATTAATTTTCCTCCTCTCTGCAGCTGGAATGCCTCACCTGCAGCTCTTGCTCGAGGCTCAGCTGGAGCTCTTCCTTCTGTCGCAACTGCTCCTCCAATGCAGCCCGTTCACCTGTGTAGCCATCGATCAGACCTGAATGTAGACAAAGGGGGAGGGGGACGGTTATAAAAAGGGAAATTCTGAGTATTTCAGCCCCTTTCTAAAGTTTTTGCATCTTTCGTTCAGCCCCATTCTTGCAATCACTCAGCAAGAGAATTTAGAGGAATTAGGTTAAACCTTGTTGTCAAGCTTCAGTCACACACGTACACACAGATGCTCATAAGGCAGCCATCCAGATGAATGAACACTTAACAGCGGGATACAAAATCCAAGGTTACCAACAACACAAAGGCAAACAAAAACACAGAAACACACAGAGGCACACAAACATGCATACAAACGCAGAGATGAACACAAGTGAGCGTGTCTGACCCATTTTGCTTGACATGAAGTACGAGACTGAGCTGTAAACACAATGCAAAGCTCTATGATTACTGTACTGCTCTATCACAGGTCAACAAGCATTATGCACCAGGATGGCATTCAATTCATAGATACAGGAGAGGAGGTATTCACACACTAACAGACTGGTCAGAAACCATTTATTCATTTACGGTAATTGCAACTTTTGTGTAGAATGAGGCCAGTTCTGAGGTACAATCTATATTATATATATATTTTCTGACTTGAATCTGCGTGTTTGTAGCTCGTGTGTGCTCAAAGAGCTCCCTATCTGACTTTAAACTGAAAGAGTCAGAAGGTAAATGTCACCTGTGCTGTCAGGGGATCATTCTATTTCAGACATGTGAGCAGGAACCAAAGCTGTGTGTAAAGTTTGCCTAAGGAGGGATCCCTCCATGACACACAGCTATCAGATGCACATGATTACTGGCTAAATAAACACATTGTCCAACCAAACACACAGAGCTCTCCTCATTCTACAAAAACACATCATCACGACATTACAGCCATCTCACTTGACCTTTTCCCTGGTTCAAAGGCAGACTTCTCATTCACTGAAATGTTATACGTTCCATCAATCAGCACATCATCCAGGTTGAGCCTGTCACTTGGGTTAACTCAAAACCAGTTTGAAAAGGCCACACCCTGATCTTTTACCTCTGCGCGTATCATCCACACAATAGAAGAAGAAATATTTGTCTTTCAATTCATTGGCATTTGCCTAAATAGATGTCCACCAGACAGCTTAGCAGATTTCAAACACTCCCTTAATGAAGAAGAGGCATGCCACATGACCATATAGGAACAGCTGCTCTGTAACTCTTTGCTGTGTGGCATTTCTTTCTCTGTTAAAGCTGCAACTGTGAGTCAATCAGTCGACTGCCAGATCAGTCATCAGCAACTATTTTGAAAATTGTGTTTCAGTCATTTTCCAGGCAAAAATGTTAAATAGTTTCTGGTTTCAGCTTCTAAAATCTGAGGTTTGGCTGCTTTACTTTGACAATAAATCTGTCTACATTTCTTGATGTTTTGTAGACTAAATGAATAATCAAGAAAATAATCAGCAAATTAATTGATAATAAACATAACTGTTACAGCCTTAATCTCTTTAATGTTGTTCTTGGTTTTATTTTCCACAGTTTGCCACATGGTCTCAGGCTTTGATGGTCAGCCCTATAAAACTATAAAGCTTTTCTATGATGGCAAATATTTGCTATTCTTCAGCACCTCTGTTGGATATCCATAAAACAACCATTGTAACAGGATCCTTCCCAAATAAAAAACAATATAAGATTAGAAATAGCTATGAACTCACCATCGTTCAGTGTGTCCAAAAAGCCATAGATCAAGAAGTGACTGCTGGACTGTACACTTACTAAAGAAGGCTTGAAAACAGCCTTGTGGACTGGGTTTGGTGTGTGTGTGAGTGGATGTGGTTGTAACAGTTGACCCTCATGGACCAGCTGTCTCTGACATGGATGGGACAGCATGCCCCCCCCCAAAAAAAAAAAAAAAAAAAAAATTCTCAAGTTGCAAAAAATCCTACTGTCATTGTTTTGAGGATTTTTCTCTGTTCCCACAGCAATACATTCACTTCCATACACAAAAATGTAGTTGTCATGCAGATATAATCAATTGCTCAAACACAAACCAGAGACAGACTAGCAAACACTAATTACCATTTGTCGATTTCTCACCACAGATGGTCTTCACACTCCTTTACTCTCCCTTTCAAACAGCTGATCCCCTCACTCCCAGTAACACCCCCACTCCCTCCGCCAAACACATGCACACATGTATTTTCTCTTCAGGTCCTTATGCTCTCTAACGCAGCACTCTCTGTTTTCTGTAATCAGTTCTGTTATCAGATCACCAATTAGTATCCACAGAGAAATTGTGAGTGAAATTGCATTTCCTGCTATAAAGAGACTGCTTGTCTTTGAGAAGGCCTATGAACTTTCAACGCTGCTGCCGTGCTAAACGTCCTGGAGCACATAAAAACCGATCAACATTCAAATAAAACTAAAACTGATGCAACTGAGTTTTTTCATGTTTAAAAAAGAGACTCGAAAAAAAAAAAAAAAAAACACTAAAAAAAAAACCACTCACCCTCAGCACGGTGAAGCTCCAGAGCCAGCTGCTCCCGTGCCCGGGCCTCCTCGGACACTCTCTCCTGCAGCTCCTCCTGCTTCTGCAGCAGCTCACTCATCTCCTGGTTGTGGCGGAAGGACTCCCGCATCAGCTCGGTCTGGGTCATCCGGGCATGTTCAAGCTGAGGGGAAAGAGATGGTGTCACACAAGCAGAATAGTTTGGAGGGAATGTTTTTTTGCATTAAATATTCTGAGCAGACATTAATTTCTACTGTTTTTAATCTTAACCTCTTGCCCTAAAGCGGCTCCACCTATTCACAGCTAATGGTGTCATCAGAGTTATAATGTATGAGACAGGCATTTAGGAGGCAGGAAGGCCAATCAGAGATGCTATCAATCTGCAATAATGGAAGTGGAATTTGATTGCTTTTGGAGCTTAACCCATACTAGGAACTGAAAGCCAGGATGTCTAGTATCTGCTGCTTCAGTTTCCACCATTCTTTTTTAAAACTGCAGGTTCTTCAACGTTACGGAAGTGACAAACAAGATATCTGTTTATCATCTGAAAGGGCTAATTATGACATCCACTGTCTGGAGTACAGCTGCACTTACCTGTTGATGATATGATCACATCATGTTATAATTTGGAAATAAACAATTCTGAAATTAGTTTTTGTTTTATATATGGAAGGTTTGGTTTCACATAATGTACCAGTGAAACAGCACATTGCTGTCAATATCCATTTGATTATTTTACATGTGATTCTGCATACAATTGCCATATAGTGATATATCCAGATAACAGAAATGACGCTGTCTATACATACAGTAGATATTGATTTCAAGCAAATTATCAAGCCCATTTTGAAAACAGACTTTGTCAACTCAATGAAAGAGGGAGATTTTGTTTGATTCATTTAAAAGATTTGCAGCTGAAAAGTAAAATTGATAAATCATCTCAAGCAATTTATTTTTAACTTAGTTAGAAAAGCATTTTGTTGTCACCTTTAAGAATATACCACTTCTGCAAATGACTTGACAACACAGTTCATTGTCTCTATATATAATGTGCAATGTTTTTCAGTCAGTCTCCAACATATGTGCGCTATCACTGTTAGGCAACTGGTACAAAAGTCAATAACAAAACAAGGTGTGTGCAAATGTGACAAATACACTGAGATAATTACATCACATTTCTATGTCGATTGTCTGGTCAGGTGACAGAAGGCATCTTTTCCTTGACAAACTCCTATAAAGACATCATTATGCAATTAACTGCCAGCGTGCCCACGTTCATTTCAGTTACTTTCCATAGATTTGCATATCTCCATGAGCAAAGGTCTTACTGTAACATTACGGGAAGCAGGAAGTGGTAAAGTGATCCTGCCACATAGAAGTCATACAATCTTTCACCTACCGATTCAAAAGCAGCACAGAAAGTTCCTGCTTGGAATAACATTTATCTTGCATCACATCTGCATGTGTAGACATGAACTGTATAAAAAAAAGGCAGTAAGGAAATTTGCCCATAAGATATGAATCAACAGTACATGCCCCGAGACTATTTAAAATTGCATAAACCTCTATATGTATAATTTAAAAACTGTACAGTCGTGCGTTAAAGCTGAAAAACTTACTGTATAAGGAGGAGTGGGCAAGGAGATTTTGGAGATAACCTTAAGCAAGTGACCATTAGTCCTGTGATTGACATGCGAGATCTGTGTCTGCACCACCACAGCATTTTTCTCGTTCAAGGTGCTGCAGACCGGGAAAGGTCGGGGAAGGGGTACACGAGATTCCACCTCGTACACATCCTGATCCTCCCCCTCCAACCACGTGCTGCTGTGCATGCTGGAGTTCCAGTAAGAGCGGTAGGAATCCATGGTAAAGGATGGACGAATGAAGGGAGAACTTCCAAGCTTGTTTTGTTACGTTGAGGCTCTTTTTCTGGAGTCATCAAAAGACGTTTCAATTTGCCATGATCCGACAGGCTCAGCTGTGCAACCGCAAATGACAATAAAGTCCAGTGGGGAATGAAGCAGTGAGAGACCGTTATGAATAGCTCCAAGCAACAGTTTCTATGTGTTTGCCACACACGCAAGAAGAGTAAACAACATTTGGAGAGAGTGACATTCACGTCAATCACATGCTGCCTGGTTGAGGTAGAACAAGTTCCAGGTAAATATTGAGACAAAAAAATCATCCAGCAACTGTGAGAATTTCTATAGTTCTACCAAAAAGTGTCATCTTCCACAGCAGGTGGAAACCACAGCTTGGTCCGGTAGCTTAAAGGGCATTCCTGAACATGACCGCAGTAGGTATGTCAACACAAAGGCAAGCTTTTCTCCTCTTCATGTCCTCTTTGAAGATCTCCAGCCTTCGCTCTGTGTTATTTCTGACCTTCTTTCTTCAGAGTAAAACCATATCATGCCGCTCTGTAAACCTCACTCCCCCGCGACTGCTCCAGCTCTCTCTCTCTCTCTCTCTCTTTCGCTCTCTCTCTGGAGATTCATTAACAATACTATGCCACCGTAGCAACCCCGACCTGCAGGGAAGCCTCCCAGAGGCCCCTTTTAATTGTTTAGTCCAATCGGCAGCCAGCAGAGGTTGAAATGACAGCCGCTCACTCTTTCCTTCCTACTTCCTTCTAGGACTGTCATTCCCTCTCCACACACGCCTCTCGCTCACACCACATTACTCACTGATGCCAGATAGCTTTCCTGTCAGGCGAGGTTTACGTACGTCACTCTGTTACACTCACTTTGCCTCTGTCTACCCATGTGCTTTAAAAAAAAAAAAAAAAAAAAAAGGTTAAATCCCAGACTTTCAGGTCACTTTTCCCCACTCAGACAGGAGGATCTTTCTTCCACTTCCTATACTGATCGCACACAGCAGGATACTGTTCAGCAAAAGTGGGAGGGAAGCAGGCGTGGCTTCAATCCAGTGGGCCAGGTAGATTTGCAAATAGATCTCACTCAGCCTCCCCATAGACACAAATAACCAGAGACAATACACACCCTCTCCACAAAAAGTTGTCAAACCGGATTCCCTCCCTACATCGCCATAAAAAGAAGCAATTAAAGTGTTCTAATATTTTGCCTCTCGGTCCCACCTACTGTTTGGCATGTCAGCCGTCATAACTCGCACATGAACAATTTCCTCCTCTCACTGAAGCGTCTCAAAGGCATTATGGGTGGTGAGCAATGAGTGAGTAAACACCTTCCCCGAGCAAATAATTTACAGCAGGAGTTCAACAAAGACACTTAACATTCCTGAGCGGCTCGTTACATCAATCTCTGTTCACGACGCTGCTTCACGGTCCAGACATGATGATCCAGCACGGCTCACTGACAGACTAATGTACACTGGATCTATAGCAGCAGGAAAATCATTGAATAAACCATTAGTGGTTTTGTTGATTACAAGTTTATTGTGATGTTAATTGTGTTTACTTGGAAGAGATGTAAACTGTGTTACATGTAAGCAGCTTGTAAAAACTAGATGGTTCCTTACTGATGCTGCAAACAACAAATATTTTCATTTTCAAGTCTCTTTTGAAAATTTTAATCTTTATTTAAGAATTATAAGATATTTTCCCTGAATCCATGTTGTCATATGTAAATTTCTTGTTTTATCCTGGCAACGGTCCAAAACTCAAAGATATCCAGTTTACTATCACAGAAGATTGCCATTTTTCGTTTACCTTAAAAAAACTGCTTCAACAATGAATCAGTTATCAAAACTGTTGCCAGTAAATCAACTTATTATTTCAGCACTATTCTTTAGTAACACAAACACAGATCAAGATTTCAGTGACTGTGTCACTGGTATAAAAATGTTAATTGTGGATGAAATGCAATGCTATAATATGTAATAATTCTAAAAATGACAAACTGACAAAATCAATTAGTTTGATTATCATCTACTGCAAAAGAAACGATGCCCAAGCAAAAGGTAAAGTGTGGGTTTATTGTAGTGATAATGTGTTGAATTAAGCCTTTAAAAACCCAAATATGCAAAATGATTGGATAGAATACAACATTCAACCAACATGCACTCTGGAGTGCAGATGGATGCAGGGACAATGATGTTGTGTTGCTCGGCTCGAAATTTCTTTAAAGCTATTTTTAGATCACCAAGATAAAACCCATCTCAGCGTGAATAATGCGTGTATTTCAGCCAACGGGAAGATGCGCTGTGCAGTGAGTTACAGTAACACATTCAATGGCCTACTTAAACTGGCTCTGTCTCTGTGGCCTGACACCGCTACATAGACAGCCTGAGGGGGGGTGGAGTTGTTCTGTCTCACTGGACTATGATAGGCTGGTCAGCCAAACAAAAGCACAGTGCAAATACAACTCGTATCTACAGGCAACCACTGGGAATGAGGCAGCTCTTTTGTGTGTGAATTCTAGACAGGCCAACTTTGTTGCCGGCCACATTCTGCAACCTCATCCCCATTATACCTCCATGAACGGGCGTAGAAACCCACATAGGGGGTTAACTGTGTTGAGTGTGGGCATTTAAATGTTTTGACAAAAGCTAAATGTGTCACTAGAGCTTTCTGTTTATTGGTAACTTTTAGGCACAAACACACACACACAGAGGATCGTTCATGACAAATCCATCTGAAACCTCAACTCGCTAAAAAATCCACTTCACCTGACCAGGGGTTTTAAACTAGGGACGGTTATTGAACCATCTGTAGTGACGAGTATTAAAAAAGTGTCAAGTATATAAAGGTGGCTTCAGATGTCTGGTTAGAATTCTTCGTCTGGTTTACTCAATTTCTTCTAATATTATCTAATCTATGTAAATCAGGAAAGTTAAAACGAGCAAAATAAGTTTTTTAAATGAATAGTTTGACAATTTGGGAGTTATGCTTATTTGCAGGACAAGACGATTGATACTGCTGGCCGCTTGTATGGGTTAAACAAACAAGATGTGTTAACCAGTCAGCTTTAGATGTGTGTTTAAGTGGATTACCCTCAGGCGGAGCCAAGATAGCTGTTTCATTCCCTGTTCTAGTCTTTATGCTAAGCTAAGCTAACCAGCTTCTGGCTTCTTCTGGCTTCCAGCTACTTATTTACTGTAAACACCTGAGAGCGGTATCAATCTTCTCTGCAAAAAAGCAATTAGATGTATTTCCCAGAAAGTTCTACTATAAACAGTTAATTTCTTTTGTATATATCATGCCTAGCCAACCAATCAGACTGAATTTATGAATTTTCGTTTAACTTCATTAATTTTCTTTAACTTACATTTATTTATTTCATAATTGTTTTGATATAAATGTATATTTATATTTTATAATGGATACTTTTACTGTCTTTTATTGAGTGAATCACTAAACAAATCTGATATGTGAGCAGCAATTCAAAGCTCTGGGACAAGGCTAACTCATGCTCATTTTTTTGATATTTCAGATTTGGCTACTTGTTTGCAAAAATATGAAAGAATATTTCAGAAAAAATAATTACTAATTATTTTTGTAAAACAGAATAATTTATCTTCTCAGGTTAAAACAATGAAAGTTTCTTGGCCAGCAGAAAGTGCTATTTGCATTAAGGCAAGAAAAATGAGGTGAGCTAGCCAATCAGTGCAGAGAATGGAAGCAAACAACACGAATCCCAGACCACTTAGCCAACAACGTTTGGTTTGTACCTGGTTGGTGGTGTCGGTGATGGTCATCAACATCTTCTCCAGAGCCGTTTGGAGTCGGCTGCTGATGCCCATTAGATATTCCTCGTTCTCTAACTGTGTCCCCGCCCCCAGCAGCAGACTGTCCATCATCTGTTGGGACACCTCCAGACTCTCATGAGCCTCCGTCTCCCCAGACCACAAACTCATATCGTCTGCGCTGGTATCACTGCTATGCCAACTTTCTGCACTGTGACCTGGTGTGACCAGAGGAACAGAGAGCAGAAATGCATCACACACAGAGCTGAGATTTAATGCAAAACTCCACTCAGATATTTTGTCACTAATAGTTATTTTAAGATGAAAAATAAAAACCACAGTAAGGGTGTAGGTGCATACATCATTCAGGTCAAATGGGTACACCACGTTCACACGACTGCCTTTAAGCTAGTTCACATGACGTCATTCACTTTCAGTAATTTGACTCTGTAACTTCATGTTGACATTTTCAGAGGAATATCATGACAGCAGGAGGTTTGGTTATGGTTCAAACTCTCAATTGCCCCTCTGTATTTGGTGCTTTTGTGTATTTTACTGTAATACTGCTGCTTAACCCACTTTAAAAGTTATTTACATACAAAACATGATTAGATAAACGCAACCACTATACATACAAATTCTCATGCAGTTATGTAATTTCAACCATAATTTGCATGCAAGCACGTGATAAGACCAGCTGTGACAATCTGCCTGGGGTCATAGGATTACTAATTTATGAGTGATATCTACAGCAGTGTGTAGCATGTGCAGCACAGTGGAAAAGCAGGCTTTTAAGAAAATGCATATAAAAAAACAATGGATGGCAGTTAAATGAGTGTAATTTCAATGGCATCTGTCCCATATGGTGACTGGGACTACATTTGTTTAACCTAAATTTAAACTGAAATCTAGTTAATAATGCAATACTGTAATGCACGTAACAGAAAGCATGGAACTGGTTAAGGCCAGAATGAAGCTGATATGAGTTTCTTAGTCACACATTTTCAGAATTTTTTATTTTACTTTAAAAAAAAAGAAAGAGCCTAATAGCAGGTTGGTCAATTAATCCATAGCTACTATTTTGTCAAAGGATTAGACTGTTGTCATGAGACTTTGTTGTCTGTAGCTGCCATGGAGTCACCACATTCACTTATAATGAACAATTCAGACTGCAGGCGAATTTGATATTTTTCTGAGATCTGAATTACAGGACTAACTGTCCTTGCAGCAATTTGCACATTATGTGATCACGTTGACTTTGTGCATGACAACTGTACACGAGTAAACACATACACTAAGTGTGTGTTTTCTATATAGAAACTGAAAAAAAAAAACTCCAGGCCATATGAAAAAAGAGAGGAGGATTAACTCTTTGGTCATGCAACAACATGATGTTGTCATGGTACAACAGACAACAGGGGAGGTGGGGCGCCTCAGTGGCTCACCTGGTAGAGCGTGTACCACAGCGGATATGGGTTCGAATCCGACCCGTGGCCCTTTGCTGCATGTCATCCCCTCTCTCTCTCCCTGACTTTCCTGTCTCTCTCTCACAGTGACTATCTAATTTGAGAAACCAAATAAATGTGGTTTCAAGCAGATTTGTAGTACTTGGGTTGGTTTGCACATGTTTTTGGTATACAGACTTAATAAATGCAAACTGATTCTAAGCTCTACTCTATAAAATGTCATAAACTGGATTTGGGGTCAGTCTGACGATGGCCTATTGCAGCAGCTCATGACCTATACTGAGATTCTGTAAGGTAAGTGTTGTCATAATTAAATTTTGTAAACTTTACACTCTTATTTTCTGATGTTTTGCTTTTTAAAAAACTGTAACACACAAACAACTATAGTACAGTGCACAAACCGAGGTCTTTCTATTGACAGATGGGCTTTTGAACCTGCTGCTGGGATAGGGAGATCAGCATTTACCAAAATTATTTCTAAACCTTTAAGATACGTGCCTGCAGTATAAGGTCTGACGGGCTGTGTGTTAACTCTCTGGCAGGTTGCTCTCTGTGAAGTGGAGTGGGGCGGTGCAGCCTGCTGCCCTGCACCGGAAGCATCACGCAGACTTTGCATGTGGAGGCCCATAGTTTCCTCTGCTGCTGCTGTTGTCTTCAGGACATCAACCAGCACCTGACTAAGCTTCTCGTTGGCCTTACGCAACAGGTTTCTGAAAACAAGAGAAAACATGTAGTTAATACCAACCAAAATTAAATACCTGAAGTGTAGCTCAGAAAAGATATAGAAGTGCTTGAGGTTATAGTAACAATTCATTTGTAACACAATCAAAACCGAGCCTACTATGGCTTCAATTGGAAATCAGTATTAATATTTTCTGATTTATGAACAGAAATAAAACAAGGAAACATGCGGCATGTTATCATAAAGGAACAACTTTTCTATGTGCACAAAGCTGATTTGATTGTTAGATGATTAGAGAGCAGGATGAATGCAATACTACCTTTCAGTGTCAGACGACTCTCCATCATCCTGCGATGAAGACGATTTGTGTTCATAAGCCTGCTTTATTCCCGGCCCGCCTGGATCTTCTTCTTCCTCCTGATCATCTTCTCTCTTCTTAATGGCCTGGACAGGCAGGAGAGAGAACACAGACAGCAGCCCTGTCATTGCAAAGTTGCAGTTGGATAAACTGACCTCTGAAAACTCTCCACTGCAGTGGACAGTGTGGCTGAATGTGGGACCAATAGTAAAAGTGAATTCAAATAAGGCACATGTAGAAAACACACTGCCCTTTTACGAGGACACAGACACACACAAAGACGCACTTCTAACTCCCTTGGAGCCCAGAGAAACACTACTATCTTTGTGCTGCTATGGCAACAGGTGCACCTGAGACACAGTGACTCCACCTCCTGGGGAAAAGGCAGAAATGCAGCTCCAGTCTCACAGACACGACCACAGTGCAGAGACTGCAGATGACCGAGACTGGCACTGGTTTCAATCAAAGACAGATGAATGCACATGTTTTCAGTGACACTTTTATAGTTTTTGCTAATAGACAACATTCAGCACTGAACATTTAGTATGGTGTAAACATGACTTTCAGACAGACATGTTTACATGTCAGAGAGGCCTTGATTCAACTCTGGACTGATCTTTTAGGTCTGTGGTTTAAGGTAAATTGTGTTAGTTAAATTTTTTATACTGCATGTTCCCCACCTTACACACATTAATATGATACAATGAAAAAATGATATATTTTAACAGATTTGAATTTATATGACTGTGGTACTGAAGTCAAAAAGTGTATTGACCAACCAACCAAAACGAGAAGAAAACAAACTGGGCAAAGTAGAAGTGCTTGCAAGACATTAATTATGCATTAAGGTGCATACATAGAAACCACATGCTATCATCAATTGATTTTTCATCTTGTTTTGTGAACTTGTAAAGCAAAGCTTCACTGTTAGAAATTAGACCTACCTTATATATTTTTTTACATTAGAGAACATTAGAGGTTTGTCCAAAAAGTTGTATACTGGAGATTTCTTAACAACAGATTCTTCTAGCCTTTTAAGTCACCTTTATCAACCTTTTTATTTTCTGTGGATCAACTCCACAGTAGGTGTCAGGTGGTGCTTGTTTTTGTAGAAATTACATAATTTTGGAGAATTTAGGAGGGAATAACATAGTGCATGTACACATCTCAGCTGGGACAAAATATTTTTCTCATCATTAAAATGAATCTAAACCAATAACAGGATCTTTACACCGTTGTTTTACTAAATTATCATGAATCTGAATCACCACCTAGAGTGTGTTGGAGCAACTGATCTCACGCAGAATACTGAACCTGACAGCCACTGCTATCGCAGTTAAAGCCTAATCATGCAATAAATGGTTAGTGAAAGGCTGACAGGCCCTGGGATTAGCTCTTCAAGAAATGAGCAGTGCCTTAAAAAAAGAAAATCCCAAATCAACATGATGAAATCAGGTCATGTGAAGTAGATAGATGATGAAAGTATGCATGATCTAGAGTGTAAAATATTCTTTTTTGAGTGAAGTGCATAAACAAATATTCCCCCTGTCTAATCAATAAACTGTTGTGAGAGACTCTGAGGAAGTTTTTACTCTAAAACTGGTTATGTTCATGTGTGATTATTAAAAGATTATGATTATTGTATAAAGGTAAGTATAGAAGAGCGAAAGAATAATGATGCTGTTCCCTACTTAAACAGGAGAGTAACAGTGTGTGTCTTGTTCTACAGGGTCCAGGCTCTCAAGGCAAGATAAAACAGCCTCAACCACATTTACTGACTGTAGCTTACGGACACAAAGTCACAGTGAGTAGGTAAAAAACAGAGAAAACAACATTAATCACAGCTCGAGCATACATAATCAATGATACAGTATATAGATTCAGTCCAATCGATGCAACACCTGCACTGCACTGACAGTGTATCTAAAAATCAGTGACATGGCAGTAAGTGTGGTGAAAGTAAATCAAGTCTTTGTTCTGACAGCTCAGTTAGTGAGTGACACTGACCTGCTCAGGTGCCGTTTCAGTTTTCTGAAGCTCCTCCTTTAGCTTTCGGATCTCTGCGTTCCTCTCTTCCAGCTCCCTTTCCAGCCTCTCCCTCTCCACCTCCTCCAGCCAGGCTCCTGGGCTGAGAGAAGCTCTGGAAGTCCGCTCCTCGTTCTCCCTCTCCTCCACCTCCTCTTCATCTAGCTGGGTCTGCATGGAGGTGCTCGCCTGGCAGGCACGCTTGCTGATTCGAGCCAGCTCAGTCTGCTGTGCAAACTCCACTGACATCTGAACAATGGCCTGTCAGAAAACACAGATATAAAAGTTTTTAAGGACTCTATAATGTGACATAATGGAGGATCACATTTCATATTTTTCAGAATGACTCTGTAGATCTTTCTTTCTCTTTGTGAGTAACCTCTCAGGTTTCTACTATAACTATAGCTGCAATAATTACCTTCATTATCTGCTAATATTCTGCTGATTGTTTTCTTTAACTTGTGGTCTTCAAAACGTCAGAAAAAAAGTGAAAATGAAACTCCATAAAGCAGAGATGACATCTGTAGAAGTTTTGTTTTGTCCGACCAACAGTCTAACACCCAAAGATATTTTGTTTACTGTCTCACAAGACCAAGAAAATCAGAAAATATTTGTATTTAAGAAGCTACAACAATTTAATTTTGGCCATTTTTGTTTAATAAAATGTCTTAAATGATTAACCAATTGGTCTACTGTTTGTTTCAGCTCCAAATGTGTCTTTTCACATCAATAAAATAATACAACTGTCTAGTGTCTACAGTTCTATTGATAATGGCAATACAGAGAACAGTTGCATGAAAATATAAAATGCATGGCCACCTACTTTGGCAACTTCCTCCTCTACTCTCTGCCAGTGTTGTTTCTCTTCCAACACGACCTGCCCTGCAGCCCCGAGGCTTTCAGTGGAGCTTCCAGCGCCGATGATACCGTTGAGATCCTGCTCTTTCTCTCCGCTCCCTTCCTGGCGCTCCTCTCTTTTCCCCTCCTGACCCTTTTCTTCTCTCAGTCTCCTCAGCTCGCTGCTGTGCTGTTCTTTGAGTGCAGCGACTTCTTGGAGATACTTGTGATAGAGCGCTTTCCTCAGTGCCTGCAGCTGTGCCGTCAGGCCTGCAGACCTGGCAGCCCAACGCAACTCCACACCTCCCTCTGACAATTCCTCTTCACCCAGGTCCTGTGAAGAGAGAAGAAAGCAGAAAAGAGGAGGAGAGGAAGAGTTAAAAAAATTAATGTACCAAATAAGAGGAGACTGTAGTCTTTCAAAATGAGGCAGATAACAAGATATGAAGTTATGGACAATAAAAGTTCCTCAAGACTGTTCCTGAAATAAACAGGTCTTCCTTACTGTAGCCAAACCCCACCCACCCTTTGACCACTGATAAATACACCATTTTGTTCTCTCCGACCTCAGGGATGATAGCGCGATAAAGAGATGTCTTGCATTACATTACAGCTATATTTTCCCCTAAGACACTACTGCTCTGTCTCATGATGAATCCCTGTCTTGTCTGTTTCACAGTCACTCAGCTTCTTGGCTAGCACTCGCCTCAAGTTTAACTTTTCCAACCCAAACATACAATCTCTTAAAGAGTATCATGCCCAGTTTTTTCAGTTCCACTCCGGTTCTCGCTCCTCCTGTGCGCTTCTCAATCTCCCACTATCTTCCTGTCTGATCTCGGCATGAGGATGTCAGAGCCTCACACACATAGGATGTGGAGTTTTGAGGTCGGAAACTAAGGAAGGATGGAGGTTGGTGTGATGCGAGTGAGAGATGGATTAAATGAAGTGCAGTTCCTTCACGCAAGACAGAATCCTCCTTTAATGCAGCCGCAAAACTAGAGTAAGTCCGCTTGGTTCATGAGTAACACGCTAAAGTGCCGGGTTATGTAACATCCAACCCTTTTAATCATTAGATATAGGTCCACTCACGATGCTGCTTCTGGAGCAAAGCTGGGGATTCAGGACATGTTTTAGCCTAAAGGCTGCAACTGCCCCCTCCCATCCACCCTTACTGTCATAGCGTCTTAATGCATGTACACGTTTTAGCTCATACTAAGATGTGATGCATCTGACATGGGAGATTTAAATGAGGGCAAAAATGTAGGAGCCAAACCTTTAGTTCCTCGCTGTGCTCCTCCGTCCTCTCAGAGCTGGACTCTGAAACTGTGGACAGGCTGAAAGACAAAACGCAATGTCAAAATGAATTGTTCTGTGGATCTCATTGAAGTTGAAAAGTTTGACACAGATTGTTATTTCTTACTCCTCTCTAGAAAAAAATATATCCTAGTATCCAAAATTGTTTTATATTACAGGTAAGAATGAATCTATAAAGGACCATGAAGCAGCTTACTGGGGGCACTGTTTCTGGTATTACTAATAATAAATGCACCCAGGGTTGTCGCTACCAACAAATTCTACAGCAATATGACGACGGAGACTATCCCACCTACTTTCATATGAGTCGGGTGCAAAACTCAAAACTTGCTAAAGCTCACATGCTTTCCAATTGTGAGCACTTAAAGCTAAATATTTATCTGTGATACCATTTGATAGTTAATAAATTTGGCTTAGAAACAACAACAAAACATTTATAAGACAATATAAAAATTATATACAAATTCCAAAAGTTTAAAGTAAACACAAACTGAAGTGATGACATAATTTGGGCTGCAACTAATGATTATTTACATTATCAATTAATCTGCAAATTAATTTCTAGACTAAAGGATTAACATGTATATAAAATATCTGAAAATAGAGAATATTTCCCATTATAATTTAAAATCCAAATTATCAAATTCCTTATTTTGTCCAACCAACACTCCAAAACCCATGTAAGTGGACAAACATATTACATTATACTGTATATACATATAACGTATCTGGATATTTGTAATTGGATTCCATATTTTACTGTATGCCTGGGAATCTTTTTCTTGAACACAGCCGGGGTTGTTGGACAGAAAAGTTTTGAGAAAACCACAGTAGTAACTGTATCTACAAAATCAAACAGTGGAGGGCAGCAGCATCTCAGTTTTCATTGCAATAGTGGGACTCAGCTTCTCCTTGGCACTGAGGAAGGAATATATCCTGTGTAATAAGCCATGTGTGATACACATGTTTATACTGAAAACTATAAATGGAGACCTTTATACATCTTTATATACAGCCTGTGGTTTATACATAAACCTCACAGCAAATACCTGATACTTTTGCCATTTCAGTGTGAACCTTAAGTTCATTAAAAAACAAATTCAGTTTCCTGCTGAGTGCTTCGTAGTGCTTCATTCATCTTGTCTCCTATGCAGCACGTCTGTGGTTCACTGATCACTTCCCTCAGAAAGCCATCTGGAATGGCTGAGAGGTACTTTTATAGGTTAGTGGGCTAACAAAAGGCATGAATAACACTTTAAACAACCTAGTGAATATTTCATTAGTTGTTGTCAATGTAACTGGGTCAGGGAGCTTCCACGTGCTACACAGCATGTGCAGACCAGCTTGTATTAGAGGTGATCTGGAGGAAGTCATGTAGCTCAGTCTGCTTAGACTCCTCTGACACATGCACTACAAAAATCAACCAAGTGAACAACTGCTAACATGAGTTCTTCTAATTCAAAGAAAACAGTAAATGGGAGAGAGAAAAAAACCAGTGGAAGAGAAAGTCAAACTAAATTGTTTACCATACTAAGTTAAATTTATCCGACCATCATTTTCTCTTCCCAAACAGCTTTTTATGCCTTTATTGGATAGTATAGTAAAGAGGGACAGGAAATGGGGAGGCAGAGAGAGGGGGAATGACATGCAGTAAAGGGCCGTCCGATACGGGATTCGAACTGGGGACGATTGCAGCGAGGACTGTAGCCTCCACTTATGGGGCGCCTGCTCAACCCACTGCGCCACTCGACACCCCCCGTGGATATTTTTTGACTTACTACTTACTTACAGAAATTAATGGATATGCTGGAACAAATATAAAGCTATATTCTCTTAATTTGTTAAAACATCACAGAGATGAGGATTTTGAAACTTTGAGTTTGAAAAGGTTTCTGTGGTAAAGCAATGTAATAGTAAAATGTACGTTAGAGAAAGTAAAACTTTTATTTTTCTTGTAGTTAACGTTTATTTCTCAAATGTAGTCCCTAATTATTGTCTATGTAAGGTTTGCTCTACAAAGGCACTTTGCTAAGTCTGAAAACTTTGACAACTGTGAGAATCTGTCATGTGTCTTCACCTGTAGTGCGTCTCAGAGCCTGTGACCTCCTGCAGTCGCTGCTGCAGCATGAAGAGCTCAGTGGCGTAACGCTCCTCTGTCTCTGTGGCCTGCTGCTGGTAGTGAGCTCTGAGATGCTCCATCTCTTGTCTGTGACTCTCCTCCAGCTGCAGCTGCTTCTCCTGAGCCTCAACCTTCAGCCTCTGTAATTCCTTGGTTATGGAGGGAGATGGTGCACCAGCCTGCTCCTCTGGATCTGACCGATACAGAGGTGAAATGTCAAATTCACGATACTCAACTGGATAGCTTAGACTAGAATCAATCACGTGGAACTTTAAGTTTCCTTCCTAGAAAAATGCGCCTCTGTCGTGGCAAAAGGCCACAGCTCCATATAGTAAGACATGAGGGCACAGACGACAACAACAAGAATGTCTTTTTTTTTTTTTTTAAACCAATTACAAAGTTAACAGATATTTGCTATTTACAGGTATATGTTTTACAGTATATCCACATGCAGGGTGTGAAGGTTTCTTACCACTGTCTCTCCACATTAAAGTCTTAATTATTTGCTTTAGATTTTTCATGAGTGGGTTTAACTCCAGGTTTACCTTTGCTTGAGGAGGGGCTTAAGGTGGCAACCTGCACACGCAGGTCAGAGATCTCCTTCTCACTGCTGCTCTTCAGGTCATCGTACGCCATCTGCAATTCCATCATCTGAGACACAGACAGAACAGTTAGTGTGTCTCTGTTAACACTGTCAACCTCTCTGTTCGTTCAAAAGACTCAGTCAACATATCTTACCTTGTTCCCATCAGCTCTCAGCAAAGTCTGGAGCTGTGACAGTCGCTGATGTTCCTGCTCGATCCTCTCCCTCACCTGCTGAAGGTCTCTGTACAGCTCTACAATAAGAGAAAGCAATGTATATTATCAGATGAAATTCTAATTAACCCCATCTTAGATTCTTCTCTTTTATTTGATTATGGATGATGAATATGAATATGTTGCTAGGTTTTGAATATACAGAGTTATATACAGATATACAGTGCATATACAGACATTTAGACATTTTACACTCGCCCACAGTTTTTTAAATTTTTTAATTTTAAAAAGAAAATTGACCTCTGGCCTCCAGTACAATGGGGGTGGATTCACTAGTTTCTGGTCTTTCCTCTGAAGGAGGCAGCTGGCCCACATCAACACTCTCCAAAAAGTCTTCACCAAACATCTTTCGAAAAGACTGAAAGAGACATGGTTGCATGTTATAGTAATGTGGAAACACATATTAATGAAATCTATTCAGGAAACTACAGTATTTGTATTCAATAATTACCTGAATGATCTCACTGCATTCCTCTGACACAATTTGTAACATATTCTGATATTTGAACATTTTTGGCTCATCTGTTAAAAAAAAACAGAAAATAAGACACATTTAATTAAATGTTTCAAATGTTCTGAGTGTTTCTCGGACAAATACACAGCCATCTCTAACAAACAAATACAAAAACATTGCAATGTATACCAGCACACCAAAATCCTGCTCCCTCACGAATGAGTGATCAAAGCTCCTGAGGGGACTGCTGCTTTCCTACAAACACAGATGCACACAAAGGCAAACAACGACGCATCTGCTCACCCAGGTCACCGTGATCTTTCCGCTTTTGCAGTTTCATCTCCAGAGAGTGTGTGCAGGAGTCCGTCTCCTCCTGCAGCAGTTCGAGCTGGGCGGCGTGGATCTGAGACAGGCTGATGCGCTGGGCCTCCATCTGCAGCTTGCACTCACCCTTAACACACGAAGACACCATCACATTAACAGGGTTGGAATAATGTACACAATAATGAACAGCCTTTTCCATGTATATAATTTGATTTTATGTTTGAGCATTTGTCTTAATATTCCTAAAAGCGGTCAACCAGACAAAACTGAACGGCAAAAAGAAAATGCTGTTGAGACTGAAGAGTTATACACATCACTTATAATTGATTACAAATTAAAGTACACAGCATGATGCATCCATTTGCTAATCAGAGAAGCTAAATGATTAAATAACATAATCCTGTTTCTACGACAGAGCAGCCATCTGTTTCCAGGATGAGAGATTGGCTATTACCACTTCTTTAAACTAGAACAAAAGGCACACGTTGAGGCCTCTTTCTCTAATTATGCATTATGCATTAGCGCAGATTCGTTAGGGTTACACAATTATGAAATTACGATTCTGTTACCTTTGATGTCACATGTTTTTAAAGTGCACTCTACATTTTAATTAGGCTGTATTTAAACTGCTTTGTTATGATACAATATCCTCATCCGTGCTACATCTGACGGTGTAGTGAAGAGAGGCCTTTCAAAGCTGCGACCACTCAGATGCTGCTGCTTAAAAACATGCAGATAACACGCAGACTGCAGCCGGGTTATGATGTGCCGCTGCTACACACAGACATACACACCAACAACAATAAAAAACAGAATTGCTTTCCATGGTGAAAGCTGTACAAGTTTACTAAGAAACATAACCGTGACTACTACAACCCATAAAAAACAACTTCTCTTACAAAACACTTTTGTTCTTAAGTGGCACATCGAGAGATTAAAGAAAATTCTGCAGTTTCTCCGTTCTAAACTTTTCTTAGGTACAAATGATATTCACAAGCGGTGCAAACCTGTTGTACAAGTTGTTGCAGATACTGTGCCTTTCTCCACAGCTGGAAAAACACTTGTCATATGATAAACTGTCTAAATATTAATTAATTTGGTGTTTAATATGATGTCAAAATTAAGTCAAATAAAATACATTGATTAAAAAAAAAACTTATGGTAAAATAAATATTGTGTTCACCCTGTCAATTTACTGTTACATTTCAGCGGGTTTTTAGATTTTGTTGGTATATTTTGGTACAGCAACTTATACTGTTCAGTCGTTGCAAACACATTTCTGTCACTCTGACGGCCGCCTCAGGGCGCTGTCGAAGATCATCTTCCATTGCACCAACAGTGTAATGTCATGGACTGCTTTGCTTTCGAAAGATGTTTTCAGCATTTTACTTCATGTAAAACTACTGCTCCTTCATCTCTGTCACAGTACAGCTATGCTCTGATGACACTTCACTGGCAGCTGTAATTGTTTTGAGTCATCTAACACGACTGGTGACACGGCTCAAGTTGTTATGTTTTCCTCTGTTTATTTGTGACTGCAGGACTTGAAGCTTCACAGTTGTTTGTTTTACTGTTCTAATTTGTGTGATTTGAGTGATAATGCAAATGATCAAATCTCATTAAAGTAAACCTCTTCATGATCAGGCTGAAACGAGCATTTTCTGACAAATTAGCACGGTTAAGAAGAAGAAAAGCTCTTTTGTGAAGACCTCACAAAAATAAGAGATTTAGGGTGAGAATACAAAACTGTTGCCATATGAGGCCTGTTGTATTTCAGCTGTGTGAGCACCTATCCATTGACCTTTATACTGTATGATGTGCTGTATCAAAGCAACTAGTGACACTGCAAAGCAAAGGGCAGGATGTGAGCTTAAGTGGCATTTACATGCTCAGTGGTCTCTGCTTCTCCCTCTGCTCCATGACACACGACAGGCTCTGTGTGGTGGCCGCCCATCCCATGTCTGCTCACCTACATAAGCAAGCAGAAGAAAAGTAATGTAGTTTTTTTTTTTTTTTTTAAACTGTCTGAAATATTATCCCAGTGCAGATGCAGACAAATATGATGTCAATGGACAGAAAGACAAGATGAGCCATTATGTATCACTTCCTGAGAGGGAGGGGAGAGGAACTCTATGGTAAGTGCAGAAATTAAATTGTTAGTAAAACTATCCACTATATTTTTTAATAAAAAGATTCTGATCATTGTCTATTTTACCTTTGTTGCAATTCTGTTTCAGCATGAAGGATTTCTCCAGAGTGTTGTTTATGAAGCCCTTGTGTCAGCTTTACATGAAGTTGGTCAATGTGTGTGTGACTATACACAGAACTTCATTTAAAAAAACACCTGGTCTAAGTTCTGGTGTTGACTATACAAATGTAGAACGTCTTAAAGGGAACATCAAAGACATATCTAAAAAAAATGTCATTTTCCTAAGTCACTAAGCATCAAAAGCAAATGTTCAAATTATTTTAAAAGACTTCAAAACTTGCATTTTAGGTGTTTTTGGTCAAGGACATTGAAAATAAGATCGTGGCCCATGTGTAGTGTTCCAACCCAGGAGGTGACAAAAGACAATATGAACCACGGATGTGAAATGGCAGACAGACACTGTAAACTATCTTTTGCTTGGTGTAACTGAGACACAGACACAGAAGTGACTGGGGTAAAATGGCTTCTCACCTCAAACCCTTCACTCCCTGCAGGATGGAAAGAAACTAGAATGTACACATTTCTACACAACGGCAATGATTCAAAGCTAACAGAAAACTGTGGGTGATTGTTTTCCTTCTTTTTCTTTTTTTTCTTCTATTTTTTATTTTCAGTCCTTTTTAAAACCAATGTTAACATTCAGACTGAGGAAGAGCAGCATCAAACAAAAGCAAAGCATACATATTGTATAAAGCCCCTTTAAAAGTAGAAATGAGCAGAATATCGATAGTCTTGACACTTCACCACTATATGCAGGCTGTACTATGTGTACAATTTCTCTTTTACATTATTCTCCCCGCAATAGCTCTGCTTAATGTCCCTGAATGGTCTCCACGAACTTAAAAAAAAAATATGGCTATCTATTAACACACTAGTCTGACTGTGCTGCTCAACGCTACCTTTGAGAGCAAGCCTGCAGACACTCAGGCAATTTGCAATCATGACTGTTTGTCACTAGAGAGAAAACATGTCAGTGCTGAAATACCTCAGTCATATTCTCTCTCAATGTTAAAGCTAGATCTGGCTGTGAATGCAGTGCACACCATTTCTAATGAGGCTAATAACAATATCAGACATCACAGCATTAACTGTCAGTGTGATACATGCAATTTGAACTGCGCTTTCTTCTGACAAGCACAGTTTTTGAAAAGCCCTTGAATCAATCAAACATGTAATTTCGTCAGACTTAAAAAAAAAAAAAAAAAAAGCCAGAGAAAAGACGTTTTAGTGAAGAGTGATGCAATAGATGCATGCGAGTGCCTACCCGTTTGTTGGTGTGGTCTCCGTCTCCCTGGTACCCGTCAGTGGAGTCCTCCTTGCTGGCCCTCTCCTGTGAACATGACATAACCTGGCTCTCCATCTGAGGCTGCATCTCCTGCTCTGCGGCACTTGTAGCTCTCTCTTCCTCTGCCACTGCCTCCTCTTCCTCCTCCCTTTGTCTTTCTTCTCTGCTTTCTGTCAGAGGAGTGCTCAGTTTGCGCTCCTGCTTCGACCTCTGCCGTCTCTTGCGCCTGCTTGACCCTGAGGCTGTGGACTTTTGCGGGGAGGATCGTCCTTCAACAGGTCCCTCCCCCGAGGACTGGACTGCTGCTGGAGATGGAGTCTGTGAAAGCCTCTGGAGCTCCAGGGTCTGTCGGATGCCGTCTCTCTCGGCTTCAGCTGCCCGTAAGAGGGACTGAAGAGCCTTTATCTCCTCGTGCAGAGATTGAATCTGAGGGTGATGATCCTCAAAAGAACAAACTGGCTCAACAGCTTGCTCTTCTTTCTTGAGCTTAGCTTTTCTCTGGGCATCCTGCCCCCTTGTCTGCTCTCTCATAATCTGCTGTTTCTTGTCCAGTTCTTTCCCTAGGCTTTCATTTTGGGCGATGACCTTTGTGTTTTCTTTTTTCACTTCCACCAGCTCTTCTTCCAGCTGTCCCACTTTGCTCTCTGTGAACATCAGTTGCTCTGTAACTTCAGAAAGCCTCCCGGCCAGGCTGTCCTTCTCACTCAAAGTAACATTAAGTTTCTCCATTAGCTCAGTAGTATCTTTTTCTAGCAAAGCTTTGCTATCTGTATCTGCGTCCTCCATTTTGATATCTCTGCTGCTCTCCTCCAGCTCTTGAATCTGTGACTGAAGGCTGGCAATTTTTGCTTCAAACTCAAGTGTCTCCTTCAGTGTCCTCTCTTCTAACTGTGTCTTTGCCTCAATGAGACACATGTACTCCTCCTTCAGCTCCTGATAATTCACATCAAAATTCTTCTCAGCAAAAGAGAAAGTAGTTCTCTGCTTTTCAATTTCCTCTCTAAGCTCATCTACTTGTTGCTGTATTTGATTCTTCTCTGCTGTGACTGTCTCAATTTTCATAATTTTTGAGTCTAACTCTTCTTTCAAAGTGTTATTAGATTCAATTAACGTCTTCTTTTCTAATTCCTGTTCTTGGCATTGGTTCTCCCAACACTGTTCTTTCTCCTTTGTCTGTTTTTCAAGCACTTCTGTCTTCTTCAGTAATGCCTGAATTTCGTTTTCCATTCTAGCTCGTTCTTCTCCTCCCTTTCTAAGTTCCTCGAGCTCCACCTGAAGCTCTTGTAGCTGCTGGACAAGCTCATCTGCTTTGGAGCTGTGCAAAGCTAGGTTTAGATCTTCTTTCAGGCCAAGAATCTGGTGCAAAAGCTCATCTCGCTCTGTGGCAAAACTCGCCTTTTCTCCTCGTAACAAATGCAGTTCTTCTTCGTAAATAAAGCGCAGTTCATCCGACGCTCTCTCGTGTTTGATGGCAGCTTCATTGAGAAGGTTTTCTGTGTTCAGGAAGCCCTCCCTCTGCAATTCTTCCCGCAGATGGGTGAGCTCTTCCTCGTGGCTAAACAGAAGCTGAGTCCTCAGTCGTTCCAGCTCTGCTTCCTGCGACTCAGCCATGCGGTCCAGCACAGCATCTTTCTCCCTTTCGAGCATCTCCAACTTGATCTTGTAATTGGTTACTTCTGATTCGTGTTTTGTTTCTGCCTCTTGTGCAGCTTCTTGAGCAGCAGCCAATTCGCTCTTCAGATTGTCAATTGTCTCCTGGAGACGCTGCAGTTCATCTTGTTGGTTTTCCTGAGAGATAAGACTGTGGGAGACCAGCTCCACTTTTTCTTTAGCAGAATGAAGATCTTGCAGAAGATCCTCAACCCTAACCTGCAGGTTCAACTTTTCCTGGTCGACCTGGCTTAGCTCATGTATGGTTTTATCGTGCATTGCTTGGGATTGCTCTAATGTCTCCTGAAGCTCCTTAATCTTAGCATTGAGACTGTCCACTTCAGCAGTGGAGCTTTGAGACAGTTGTGCTTTTAGAAGCTCAAGCTCAGCACTATGTTGCTCAATCATTTGCTCCACTTTTGCTGCATTTTGCAAATTAAGCTCGTGCTTCATCTGAACAATTTGCTGGCCGTACATCTCATCCAGCTCTGCCCTGAGAAGTTCGAGCTTCCTTACACTCTCTTCCTGCATTTTTTGGATGGTGTCACTCTCAGACAGGCTGCCCTGGTGACAGCGTTTCTGCAGGTCCTCCACCGTGCCCATGAGCTGCATGATTTCATTAGAGGACATTCGCTCTTTCTGTCTGGAAGTTGTGAGTTCACCCTTACAATTTTCTAACTCTACCCGCTCTTTCTCCAGTTCTAATTTACAACTTTCCATTTCACTTTTAGAGCTTTCTAAGTCAGACTTAGTGATTTCCAAATCATCCAGGCATCTTTCAAGCTCTGATTCTCTTGCAGCCATTCGCTGCTGGAGGTCGCGCAGGCGTTTTTCAGAGGACTCAAGCTCATCCTCGAGCTGTGTGACAGAGCAGTCCCGCTCTGAAATGACTCTCTCTTGCTCTGCTATGATCAGGTCTTTGTCATCTGAATGGTGGATGATATTCTCATCTGTAGTCCTTCCCACATGAGCAAGTTCCTCTCTGAGGAGGGTCAGTGACCGCTCATGTTCTGTGATTATTGCAGTTTGCTCCGAAATTATCACACTTTTCTCTTTCAGTGTTTGTGCTAAAGACTGTTCTGCTGTTCTTAACTCCGTCAGCGACTGCTCCTGACTCACAATGACTTTTTCTTGTTCAGCAATCAGCAGGTCCTTTTTGCTTATCCTTTGTGTAAATGACTCCTCTGATGTGCTTCCTGACTACAACGAAAGCAAAAGGTAACATTCAGAACTTGACCGTGACCTCTTGAACTTAATTGGAATAAATGTCTCAAACACATCTGTGACAATCAAACACTCTAGGCAACTTCTCACCATCTCGATCTCGCTGAGTTTGTGCTGGAGCTGGCTGATGTGCTCCAGCTGTTCGCTGCTCCTCTCCTGGTGCTTTCTGACCTCCATGTTCATTTCCTCCAGCTGCTGTTGGTACTGGACGAGCTGCTGCCTGGCCTGCAGAAGATCTGCTGCTGTGCTGCTGTGGCTGGTATTCCTCAGTGTCTCGCCTGCCTGCAGCTGTGATTATTAATCAGTGGAAGGCAGTCAGAATTTGGAAAAATAAAGAAAAAACATTTTACTTCCTGTTTATAATATGTACAAGCTCGCCCCGACAAACAGATTAATTGCTAATTGGACAGGGGTATAACAAGCTGCAAAATAATAATTGTTGTGTAGAAAGGATAGAATAGAGGAATATAGCATAATAATTTAGGCCAAAAAAAAAAAAAAAAGGCTTTCTGATTTCCCACCTGCTGGAACTGAATATGCAGTTTTTGGCTTTGTTCTGTCAGCTCCAGGAATTCTTTCATGATTTCGTCTTTCTCTTCACGAGCCTGCTGAAGGTTGGCTGTGAGCTGGGTGATGATGCCATCTCGCTGCTTCAGGGCAGCTTCAAAGTCCTGCAGCTATTAAAGCAAAATGGGATTAAGTAAAATTGCAGAAGAAATGGCAAAACTGTAAACTTTAATGAAATATCTACCTGCTGCACTCCTTCTGTACCAAAGGCAGCCCTGATCTCCTCAAGCTCTCGACTGAGCTCCTCCACTGCCTGGGTCTTGGCGGCGAGTGCATCCTCCATATCCTGCATCGTACCTCGCTTTGTCACCTGTTGCAGAGGCTCCACCTCCTCCTGAACAGGAAAGAAACAGTAAGAGCTAGCATAGCATTTACAAGGTTTTGATAAAGGATACAGGATGAGGTTTCAGGAGTGAGCTTAGCACTTAGTCACCACCCCAGAGCAACAGCAGTTAGTTACAAGAGCCAGGAGCCACATGAAGGAATATGTAGTAAATATATTGATGTTACCAACTGTTCCTGTTTAAAAAGGTTTTGTTTGTTTTGTTGCAGGGAACTGCTGTGGGCAAAATCAACTTTACAGACGCGGAAAGTTGTGAAAATGCAATGCTGACACCAATAACCCAAAGCAGTTTAGTAGAGTCTGTCAATGTTGTATGTTATGCTTATAAGTCCTGCAAGGAAATTCAATTCACCTAAACACCTGGAAATTCTGGCTGGAAAACAAATGAAGTAGTTGGTCTGGCTTTAAGGCTTTTAAAATGTGTTTATCTCTCCAAGGTTTCTTGAATTTTACAGATTGCTGGCAATAAATAAGATCTGATTTCTGTGGGTTCTCAAAATAACTCAGAAATCAGAGACAAAGTGATGTCTACCTTTGGTATTTCTTTCTTGCAAGAAAAATAAGAATAGTTGTAAATGAAAATAACACTTTTTATAGGACCATAACCTCAGTACAGGTAAAACTTCCAAGTTCAACATTGTTCAACTATGGCTGTAATTCTATCCCTTAGATTTCTTTTCACTACCATTAGAACCCAAAACAGTGTCTGACCAAACTCAATGTCCCAAATTGGCAAAGTTTAATAAAAATACAAAGGGGGCAGAAGTGGTTTCATATCACTGTATCACATTTTCTCTTTAAAAGATGCCAAAAGATCAGATTTGCAAAGCTGTAGTATGCTGATCACATTGGTAATAATTTCTAGATTTCATCCCACACAAAGAAATAAAAACCATTTCATTAATTTCATTTGAATAATGAATGATATGTAAAACATATATGTTATGGTGAGTTATGGCAGCACTAATATATTTCAAACAATATTCAGCCATATAGATCAGTTCTGTATTGGTTAATGCTCTAATACTCGTCCCTGACACCTCACTGTCATCCTTACTCTTCTTTTCGAATATCCCCTCAGTGAATCTAAAGAAAGGCGGTCTTTGTTTAACACCTCCTCTCCTCTCTCCTTCAAGCACTTCACTGTCCTCTCCCTTCTTTTCCATCATTCACCCTCACGTCATTTGAGAGATAATTTACACCTCTAAAATGTCACAAAGCCCCGTTAAACCCTGAACTCCTCAGTCATTTGTGCTTCCAAAATGAGAATTTTCTCTCCTTTCCCCACACCATACATTTCAAATACCTAACATGTGCAGTTTGTAGGTATATATAGTCAAGTTAAGTGCAGCTTAAAACAGGCATGGTTAGTGGGTTACAGAAAATTTGTGCAGAAGACTAAAATGTTAAGCAAGCAGAGAGTCAAATCCAGCAGTCAGACGGTTTTCTAGCAAAGCCAAAAGCAGAGCCAAAAGAACTGCATGATCGGATTACTGTACCCAGATAAAATCCTTCGAAGACATCATTAGATTCTCTGTCATCACATCATGGCACCCATTTACCTGTTAAGTCACAATGCTGTCAGTGAAACGTTAAGGTTTTAGAACTGCGGTGAAAAAGCCCACATAATTTCAGAAATCATCTCCGGGCAGTCTGATGATTTGTATGATGATTTTTCTTTAAAAATATTATTAAATGTTGGTTTTACTGAAAGTATAGAATCATATTTAAATCATCCTACTGCTGTTTTAGATTTTCTTACTTTAAAAACAATTTTTTTCAATGTTTTAACCAGCGATGTCAAGTGTCATTAGGCAACAGAACAGCAGCAAATAAGAACAGTTTTAAGAATTTCAGATGATGCTGCTTTTGAATTGTCCCACTGATACTGACACCAACTGTTTTATTTGACTGGCTCACAGTCAGAGGGGGTGCACAGCAGCCGGCGGGGACACAGTTCAAGAACAGGAAAAGTCACTTTTGCACCAAATACAAATCCTCTCAGCACATGATCATGTTATCACCTGTGAAGCGGTCCGACTCAGCGCATACTGATGACGAGATAAGTCATGAAACTGACTGACTGAGTGACCTGCTTCCTTCCACGCTTGTTTCCAGTCTCCAGCACCATTTCCAAAGAAAACAGCAGGAACATGCCGCCTAACTAATTAACAAGCTATATGTAAATAATGGAAAACTTTGACAACTAAGGACAGGTAATTAGCCGCATGCTAAATCTTCCTCAGTCCGTGAAACTCTGCAAACCACATCCTCTGGCAGTCAGTTTTCAAACAGCCCCATTGGGTGCTTCATAATAAGGATTTTCCAAAACAGAAAGTGAGCCGCAGCCCATAAATCCCCTATGACACACACAGCCACATAAGCAGCCGTACGCAGTGGTGCTTAGTGCGCACTAATGTAAACTTGGCAGTGTGAAAAACAATTTGAGTTACCATGAAATTGAAGAAATGGTGATGATATACATTTTGAGAGGAGTAATCTCACCTCTGAGGAATAATCTTCAGCAGTAGTGGACACTTCACTCTCCGGCTGCAACAAACAAAAGTAAAGCAATTTCATTAATACTGTGCATAAAAAAACTAAGAGATTATTATAGCCATATAACATAAGTGATTTAAATCATAACACTAGGCAAATTACTGCATCACAATAACCACAAATAAACACTTAATTCCAGTTGAATACAGTTTAAGTTGTGGGGTCTCTTATTGTGAAATGAAAAAGGGTCCTAACATTTCCAGATACCTTCAAATGCAATATAAAATGCACATACTAAAATGTTCAGTCTACTTCAGAAAGCACTCTGCATTCAAATGTGGGTCTAACCTACTTCTGCCACACAGCTCAGTTTTCACTCCCACAGACTGATGACGGCCATCACTGAAATCTATTTTCAGGGCAGTTCTTAGGTCATAAATTGAAACTGTGTGCGGGCCGGAACAGAACAAAAACCACAGGTTTTGCTTTGATTGATTGCGCGGAACTTGAACGTCACCCCAAACTGTTAGCAGCAAAGTGCACAAAGTAGATTATTGGTCCAGTAACGTGACATGACTCGGGATTGGCTCTGACAGTCTCATCCATTTTGGATCCAGTTTCCAGTCAGCGAAGTACCCAGATTCATTAAGCTCTGACGGTAACAAATCTCTTATCAGACCTTTTTATCTTTCACTCTTTTTTTATTCACAATGAGCATCGGAAAAACACATTGGTAGCTTATTTGTATTTGCGTATTTGGACTGAGTAGCTGCAGCTGTTAATTAAATGTGCCAGATACATTTAAAGAGAATTTCATAAATGATGCTGCTCATTTCCTTCTCTGGTTGTGTGTCTAGTTTCTGAACATTAATTCGGCTGCCATTAAAATCTGCAGAGTTTCTGCCCTCTCAGCCAACTGAAGTTGATGAGACATCTTAAAGTTGTAGTTATTTCAGCCTTTAGTTACTTGCAAATGTTGAAACATAAAACAAATGTTTGATAAGGGATTTGAAAAGATTCACATTCAATAAGTGAATTAGAAACTGTATCTAAATGTGATAAAATACTATTGAACCCTATCCCAAATATGTTTTCATTTTATTATAACCTCTTTGATAAGAGAGCTTGATGGAAATTTTACTTGCAAATTCTGATGTCTAGCAGGCATCAATGAGTCCACACACTTGTACTTTCAATTCTTATCTCTTTCAGAGGACTGTGAAAGACTGTATTGACAGTACGGAAAACTTTGATGCTGTTGTGTTTCCACAGCAACCCTTTCATGCTCAAAGAAAGAAGCGGAGAACCAAGCACCGTGACCGTTTTGTCTGGGATGAGAACAAAAAATTGTTGTGAGAAAAATAACAAAGACAGAGGGGAAACCAACCATTTAATTTTAAGCGGTTAAACAATTTATTTGCATAATTAATTCACACATGCCGCCTTGTATGGTCTCTTAATATTCACAACTTTCATTGGTTATTGATGCATAACAGGTCCCGTCCGTGTAGCAGAAAAATACAGCGTGTCTGACAGTCTTTCGTAACACAGCAGATGAGGTTTGCTCCCAAGGTAAGAAAAACAAAAAAAAAAAAAAAACTTGCTATGCAGCCAAACATTCAAACATTCAATCAACCTTAAGGTCTGCTGAAAAGTGTTGCAAGGCCACAGGAATTGGTCGTACGGACTGACGCATCTCAGCCTGTTTAAAGGCAATTGTCTGTTTCCATGGCGACTGGTAGTTTTGCAGGCATGTACTGCATCAAATGTACAGTGGGTTCAGGGAAAGAGAGGCTGCGCAGTGCCAATAAAAAGAGACTGAGAGGGCTCGAATGATGATTAAAAAAAATGTGTAAGAGCTCTCAGGTCTCGCTTTTAGATGGCTGATTTTCTACACGATGTAACTGCCTGAATATTTATTTATTTATCAGAACCATTATAGAGCCTCTGAATGTCCAGGCTCCAGCTTTTCCATTTATCTAATGAATTCATTTCAGGTTTGAAGGTTGCGCATGTTAGCAAAGCTTACAGACCAAATACGAATCAGAATTTCTAAGGTTTTTATGAAGGAAAAGATTTATTTGACTGACCATTTTTTAAATCACAAGAACAGGGCTTAGAAGGGGGCTACAGCAGTATTTGTGGATATGAATTTAATTCACAGAATGCATCAAAAAAATATGTGTTAAGGTTCAAAAAGCATGCTTGATGAAGTTATCTGTCAGTCATGTATTATGCAAAGGGAGAACTAAGCTGCTGAAAGTTCATCCAAAACCCAAGAACAACTAAAACTTTCACAAGTTTGGAATATTTCAAACTTTACACCCAACAATGCTACAGAGTGTATTTTATACAAAAATGGCCAGAAAGCAGCAATACACCAACATAATGTGTAAAAACCAAAGTATCTCTGCTGGAGTCTGGCTCAAAGATTAATGTAAATATTATTAACATATAAGTCAACCAAATCAAATCTAAATTAGCTCACTGTAGACATATTGTATCGTGTATGTTTTAAAACAAAACTGCAGTGCAGAAAGGCAATTTGTTCCTGTTGCATCCTGTTCACCAGAGACCAGAGGCAATTTATTCAACTGCCCCACTTAATCCACATTTGTTGGTCACAATTCGTTAATGAGCAAACTTTAAGGGGATATTCATTAAAATCTTTGTTGATTGAAAGTGTATAATGACGTTTATTGCGGTTACCAACAGACACTTGTAGGTCTGACAGAAACACTGTGACATTCAAAGAACAGCCTCTGAGGCCTGATTGGCTCAAGGACGGTAGGCAGACAGATCATTGGCCAGATATGGTGACGTTAGAAATGAATGAAAGAGATTTTAATAGCATGGGAAAGAAGAAGTGACAAAGCAGATTGAAGCAGAAAAGCAGGAAAATAGCTAGAATTTCCAATAGAAAGAGAAGTGAGGGAGAAAAGATCTTCTTCATTGAACTGTCGCCAAAGCATCATTACTCAGTAACGCAATACAAATAAAGCTGCAATGCTCCATTTCCACCTGGACTCTTTGCATTCAATAAACTCAATAAACATTTTCAGTGGCTCTTTACGTCCCAGGAGACAACAGGAACAAAACTATAACCTATAAGCTAAGTACACATTAATAATAAAAAACTACAGCCATAAGATGAGCCAGACTTTCTAGGTGCAGGAGGATCAGACATGACATGAATAAAATGAAGTGCAGCATCAAAGATAGAAGTAACACTGCAATCTAACTGCTGCAATCTAAAAAAAAAGCCATGTCCAAAAAACAATCAATGCATCAATGCAACATAAATGCAATTAATGATAGATATATAAATAAATATCATACATTTAGTGCAACTTTGTGTGACTTACAAATCACTGAAAAAAAATGTTGTGGCACGAGAACACGCATGTAGAGGGATTCACTAATGGTGAGACATAAAAGTCACTTCTTCCCATCAGTATTTTTCAGTAAAGCTCCACCAGCAAAAGCATTTAGACACTAAATGAATGAATATAATTCAAGGTGTCGTCAAAAACTAGCAGAACATAGTGAAGCCATAATTTAGTAATTAATTCCTTAAAATAACGTGACAAAATTTAAATTGTCACATTGTTACAAAATGTCTTTTATGCACTTAAGATTGACCGTATTTGGCTTAACAAATTTGTAACCACCAATATCGCTTTGTTTAAATCTTGATAAAATAGAATTACCGCCTTCTGCCAACCAGTCCAGTTGCAGTTCATTAACTGCAGCTTTTCTCAACTATGAAATGTCATTTTTGGTGCCACAGATCCCTGATTTGAACAGTTTGTCCAGCAACACAAAGATATGGTTCAAGTCTATAATATTTGTTAAAAGGAAATTAATAGATGTGAACTCAGTATGTGTCAATATTTCCAACAACAAGTGTTAAGTGTCTACCTCTATGGTGTAGGTCTGGTCGTGCTTGACAGTCTCTCCACTCCGCAGTGTTCTAGCGAAGGTAAACTCCGTGGTGGGTGGGGCTTTATTTCCTTCTTGTAACCCATCTCGCCCTCCGCCTGAGACCTCCTCTCCTCCCACAGATTGATCCGGCTGGACCTCCACCCTTCCCTGCGTATCCCCCTCCGAGTCCTCCCCTGTCTTCTTTTTCTTCTTCTTTTTCTGTTTCTTCTGGGAGTCGGCGTGAGCTTTTCTCTGGCGGTACTCAGCCAGCTGGAGTGGGTAGAAGGAAACAAGAAGCGTTAAAGATAAAAATTACAATTTATACTTCAAAGGTCCTTGGAAGTAAAAATGCATTAGCAAACACTTCAGCAACCATCCTTTTAAGTATTACTCTAGTCTACATTCTCAGTCGTTGCCTCCAGATAGTTGTTTATCTGACCCTAATGCTCAGACTTCAGGGAAATAATCACCCGCTTTAGCCTGATTCACAACTCATTAGTCTGCCTCCATAGCTAATACTTCTAATAAATAAAAAAAACTCAAACTCAACGAATATCAACCTACTCTGAGTCTGCACAGTTTGGCGAAATTCAAGCGAAACATTGTGTGCCCCAAAAGGCGTCTTCCTTGTTCAGAGTGAATCCTCCCTCCCTGTGTCCATATGACCCGACACATGCCTCTTGCTGTGCCAGGTGCTAATCCTGACTAAAGGGATTACATTTTTAAACTATGTCAACAATCTGTCTAAACAGCCAATAACACGTTGTATTATCTTTACCATTTTCAAAATTTGATTCTTTGCTTTACTCATCACCAAAAAAGCCTTGAACACTGATGTCTATTGTTTTCTGTTTAGAATTTTATTTCCACAAATTTATGACAGAAATAACTTATTTGGGGAGAAGAAGTACCGATCTCCACTTCATATCAATCGAAAAAGAGAGTGCTCGTGTTTACTGTGGATTCATATTTGGGATTAGAGCTCATATAAATCTTCCATTTTCTCCACAATAGTGTCAGACTGGCTGGTCGGTCTGTCTCAATCACAGTCTACAATTCTTCCTCCAAACAGAAACTCAGAAAGTGAAGTTAACCACTGGATCTCAGTTTTTCTTCTATCCAAATTGAAAAGATAAAAGTTAATGTGATGTTTTGTTTTACAGATCTGTAATCCAAGTTTCCATGAAGAAAAAAGACTATGTAATGTGGTGCAAGTTATTGGCATAATATGTTTTTGCTTAAAAAGGATGGCTCCACTTAAGTAAATTTAATTCCATTATTCATGTATCATATGAAACTTCATTCCTCGTATATGTCGAAGTGTAGGATGTCGTCACATAGTGGAAGTTTACTAATTGAATACTGTCTCTATTTTCCTTTAATTAGCACCAAGTTCTTTCAAGGAAACTTCCATACTGTATTTTTTCTCCAGTGTCATTGTTGGTGTCATGTTGAAATGTCTTTTCACATCTAGTTATTGCTTAAAAAAAACGTATCAACCTCCTCAACCAACTCACACACACTTATATAATTACGAGGTGTCATATGAGCAAATGTACAGCACTAATCTAATTTCCAATTAGCCATGAGGTATCACTCACTCTCCTTCTCCCTCTCCCTCCCTCTCTCCCTCTCCCTCTCTCTCTTAGTACTACAGATATCCATTATGTATGAGCAACGGGTGACAGAAAAGAGGTGGCAGAGTCAGCCAAACAGGGCAGACAGCAGGGCTGCAGGTGTCATACCGCAGGTGCTGCATGGACTGCCATCGATATAGATAGGCTGTTGTCAAGGATACCGTGCTAATGCCTGCTCACCTGTCTGGAAAATGCCTCTTTACCCCAATACAGACATCATAGACTTAAACTACATGCATGTCCTACCGTTGGTTTCACGCTATTCCACTGATCCACAGGTGGAGATAATATGCCAAGAAACACTGATATATGCCAGAAAATGTGGGAAAAAAGACTGCAAGTAAGGTTTAAGCATGTTTGAAAAATTTGCTTTTCAAATGTTTTCTTGGAAAGGTAAAGTGTTGATCACTTTTGTAAGGCCCCAAGGATACGCACAATGCATTTCAGTAAACAATGAATGTGAACAGAAGCTCTGTTAACAAGAGTCCACCGTTAAGTATAGTCAACTACTGTATACAGACTTTAAATAACTTTGCTGTAAGGCTGCACAACAATTATTTTGACATAAAAACAATATAACAATGCCTTAAAATTTTTCACAGCCCAGGGTGAAGGTGGTATTCTGATAACTTGTTTTATTTGAATACCCAAAGATATTCGGTTTACTGATCACAAAACAATCAAATCCTGACATGTGAGAAGCTGGCATCAGAATCAGAGTCATTTCAGCTTGAAAACTGACCAAACCCCACTCCTGTAGCAGCAAAGCCAGCACAAAAGCAAGCACTTTTTGACAGGTCTGGTTTGGTGATGCTGCACAAAAGGTTAGAGATCGACACGACAGAGCTGAGAGTGGGCGTAGTGATCACGTCCCCCCTCCTACAACTCACGGCTAAAAAGCTCAAAGGGCTCTTGATCTGTGCCTCTGCACCTCCACACATGCTCCACCCCTGGTCCAAATATACCCACCTATCTGCATTTTCAGAAGAGCTTTATCTATCTAGTACCCGGGCACACAGAGTGAGATGTGAATGGATGGCAGACTTACAGAATGGGGACTCAATGCTTTAATGTTACAAGAACAAGGCTGTCCTTTATTTCTGACTGAATCAGAATGACACACAAGCAGGAATGTTTGATATGCGGTGGTCCTGCCAGCAAAAATCACCCTGAGTTTCGGAGAAGTCTAGGGAACCCCCGGCCTTTCGTTGAGCTGCTTATCATAGCTGCCCTATTTGGCTGGGCACACCAGAGCGCTGGCTGAGCATATGGAGGAAGGGAGCCTGTGTAGCTGTATCACCATCTGGGAAACAGAGACTACGTAGGTGTATCACCATCTGCTGTCTGAAAACATTTACACAAGCTTATTTTATAAACTGGCTATTTGTTTTTTTATGTGTCTAATAGTAGCTGACTGACAGCATCAACAACATCCACTAAACTGTGTTTGATTTTTCTCAGGTTGTGAGATCCACTAAATAGTAATGACAATCTAGTGTTAATGGAAGTGGTGGGGCAACAAAAATCAATGTTGTGACTGACATATTGAAAACAGATGTAAATCTAAATACTATGCTTTAGACAGACATTATAGAACCATAAGGAAAATCTGTTTTACAGAAGAATATTATACAAGCACACAGTAAGAGGGTTGGAAATGTTACAATAATATCACTGGACTGTATAAATATGTCTTCCATGAAATAAATTCTACCATAAGGTTAATACCACAGCAGCTATCCCTTCATTGACGCTGGGTGTATTAGGCGATTATGGGCTTTGTTGTAATCAATGACCAGGACTGATCAATGACAATACTGGATTTGTATACAGTTTTTAATCTGTTGGATTGGATTAAAACACATATTACTGTCTGATTATTTTATCCACAAACAGTTTTTCAGTCGATTTGATAGACATTTTTTAATTACACATACCGTCATAGAGGATTCCATCCATATCGCCCACTTACATATGTAGAAGAAACCTTATTTAAAATGTTCTAAAAAGAAGTATAAAAATATATGACAGCTTTACAAAGATGACCAATAACAAGTCAACATCAATAACTCTTAAGTCTTTATGATTTGGTGACATACAAAAAGTTAATGATCTTCCCAGAAGAAAATCTATCTCTATCTCTAGAAAGTCTCTTTAAAGCAAGTAGTTTAGTACATGTGAGGCTTATGTCATATACTGTTTACAAGTGTAACTTACAAATAAATGTCAATTTATTTGTAAATGTAGTAAATGACTACAGAAGTTCTATAGTTTATTTTATGATTTCTGCTATAAGATGCTGCTAAAAAATGTCCCTGCAGTCTGGTGCCCAGAAGGGAAGCTCACAGCCTCCCATGTCATGTCATGTGCCAATGACAGAGCCAGCAGCACTGTGTTAGTCAACACCCAGCTATGTGAGGGCCTATATCCTCCATTTTACACACACATTCCAGTTAACACATTAACAATAGCTGATAGTCCTGAAAACAAAGCAACAGCAACTGAAGCTGCGTTGGCCCCACCTGGTTCATCGTCTACACAGCAGGTGGAGCTACATCTGGTTTATATCCTGTAACAGCAATAATTCTGTGCATATTTGGGCTGAACAAAGAATCAATAAAATATCAAAATTATATTATGGCCAAATGCAATATCCAAATCACAAGCGCTCTAATTTTTTGATGAAGGTAAAATGTGTACCATTATAAATGGTACGTTGTGGTACAGAGATTCCTCGGCCTACAAATCACATTTTCCAGATGTAAGGGGCACTGAGGTTTGGTACAGTCGTTTTTTAAAATATTTTTTCTGTGAAAATAAAAAGCAAAAATTACAATTCCCACTAGAATTGTGCATTATCAGAATAGCAATATTTGTCAAAAATAATCCCGATTTTTTTTTTGCATATTGTGCAGCCCTACTGCATGTTGCCAATAAATGGTGAGTTAAACTTGGTAACAAGGAAAAAAAAAAACAAAAAGAAGAAAAACAAAAAAAGGCACTGTGTACATTACATTGAAGCAATGCAATGCAGAAACACGTGCACAGCAGAGGAGGTTGTTTTGTAATCTAAAAATCACGATAAGTCTCCCTGATTAACTTTTAGAGATTTTTGTTTTCATTGTTGAAACAACTGGAAGTTCCTTAGCAGACCCACAATTCACCTTTGTTTCTCCCTAAAATAAACTCTTTTTCACGATCTTACATGCCTTTGCTTTGTCATGAACTCCAAGCGACAATCATTGTCAGGTATCCTAACAGCTTCTGCAGAGGATTATTGAGGTGCCTGTGCACCATCATCCTCCTAATGACAGGAGCCACAGTCTCCTTCCCAACCCCAGAGACGACAGAGTCCAGCAAGCAACAAAGAAATGTCTCTAGAGAAGGCTGCTCCTCTAAGCTGCAAAAAGCAGTGCATTACAGGCACACCTTCACTGGTAGTAGAACAAAGACAGAAACTCTCTCTCTCTCTCTCTCTCTCTCTCTCTCTATCTCTCTCTATCTCTCTCTATCTCTCTCTCTCTTATTTTCATCCCTGTTTGATGGGTCTTTTAGAGAACAAAACTTGCCTTTTCCTGTACAACAGCACAGCACTGGCATGAATCATGAATCACAAAATATTTTCTCTATTAAAATGATCTAGTTCCAGGCTCAGTAACTGGGTTCAAATCTAGGCTATAAGATGATTTTCACATGTCCTCACCCTCAGCCATTGTAGTTTGTTCAAATTACATTATACATTTCCATCCATAACAAACTGCAGCTGATCTGGAACACAGTCATGACTGAACACTTTCAAGCTTATGAACTGACAAACCAGACGGGCATAAAAATTGTAGTGCGTGACCGAATAAACCAAAACGAAAGACTGAAAAAACTGTAAAAACCATTCTGGTCCCAGGAGTTAAATCTGAACAAAGCAAACTATTGGCTTTAAGCTATTATGAATGAGCTATTTTGTGCAAACAGATACAAGTTCTGATTTGAAAACATTTTCTCTCATACTGATAGTAAAGCCCAGACAGCCTCTTACATGGTATGATTTAAGTACATTAGTTATCAGTTATGGCGAGCAACAGCATCTTCAGATTACATCCATACTTTCCTGCATATAGAGCTCTCTGCAAGATGCTGGCTGTTACAATATTTTACAAGACTTTGTAAATATCAAAGGAGGGTAAAGTGCTCCCCTCAGTCATCAGGACTGTTTATAGAACTGCACAGAAAATTCAGTTCAGTCATCATCCAGGCTGTAGCTAATTAAAACTGGGCAGCTGTTAGACCATCACATTCAATTAATCACCTGGCAATCCCTTCTCAAGCAGCACAGAATGCCAAAATAAGGGTTTCAGAAGTATTCAGTGTTTTGTTGTTGCATTACAGGTGATAAAGACTGTAGCCCAAAAGTAAAACTCTCCATCATTCAAGCCAGTTAATAAGCCAAGATGGTCATAGTCCATTCATCACATAGAGTGATGCAGAGTATGTTCATGCTTAGTCACTTGAAGGATTAACTATTCAGGCCTCAGCTAAGTAGATCAACTTGTACCTTTGCTGTCCTCAAAACCTCTAACGGTGTCCGACAGTGACACTGACCTTTAGGCTATTTGGAAACCCTGAGAAAATCTACTTGTATTACTATAAAAATGTTTGTTTGAGGCTATAACATATTGCAATTTGGTTCGTAAGTAATGTCAGTAAGTGTCTTTTCAGCATCACAGTTGGTTGTCAGAAGCATTACAGAAGCATTACATATTACACATCAGATATTATCATATCCTCATTTTGCAGGAGGATAGGCAATTCTGCATAGATACAAAGTAAGCACATCAACCCATGATCATAATGGCAGAAGCTATACTAACATATTTTTTATCTGTGCCCGGTAGACACATCAGAGAAGCAGCAAATAAGCATGCAATTCTCCGTGAGTCATGTCTGCATCCCTTGGGCCAAATCAAGCAAACACTGCAGTGCCCTCCCTCTGAGCCTGAAAATGCAGCAACAGCAAATGGACAGGCCCACTTTAATCCCCGAAGTGACATTAAATATCAGCGCTGCTCAACATACAGAGTGTGACAGACTGATCTATAGACAAAAATAAGCAAACATCTCAACCTTAACTTGTGACAGTCATTCAGATGAAACGCCTCTCTTGATAAAATGTAACTGCACTGGACTACGCAGACAATTTTACACATTTTCTTCCTATGAGTGGCATTATACAGTGACTTCATACTTAGTGAAGCAAGCATGTCAAGCATATTGGTGAAAAAATATCAAGACGAGAGAGTGTCAAAGTCACAAACTTCCCCCCTTGGTGATTGTAAAAGGTACCATACGGTATCGGAGCCTGTGAGTTCTTTTGACTTAACACAAAATCTTACACCATCTTACACCCATCATCATTGCAGTGATGGGTGCTTTTAAAGAGCAGAGTCTCCAAAAACTCAGGGGAGCCGGTAAGGCACTTGTCAATACGTTCCAAGAGAAAAGTGAAAAGAACAATACATCTGCAGCTAATGTCTTGGAACAATAGCTTGTAAACACCAGCCCACAATTTGTGTTTTGCTCATTGTCTGGTGTGACTCAATAGGCACTTGCTTGGGACAGACATCATTTCAAGCACGCTATACAATAGATGTCTGACAGTTTTAACTTCACTCAAGGCATTGACATGGACGCTTCCTACACCTGAAACAAAAAACACCCAGTCACTGTCAGTAGATTTGGCTTCTGTTTATCAAACAATCACAGCAGCTGTTCTACAAAAGTCATATTTCTTCTGAAATATCACCAAAATCAATTTCTGTAAAAAAAAAAAAAAAGAAAAAGAAAAAAGAGAAAAAAGAAAAAAAAGAATTTGAGGCAGAAGATGCAGACTCATTATTTATTTTAGATTTTAAACAAGTTTTCTTAAATTTTGGAAGAGCTAAAGAAGGTGATCTCACATCATCATCCAAACACTCCCATTGCTTGCTAATTGACTCCATCATATGACAGCTTGGATTAAATCTAAATTTGCAGGATCCAGCCAGAGTTTGGGAGCCGAGAATAAAAAATAATGTCTTGGATATCCCTGCAAGCCATTATCAACGTGTTATTCAGCTAAATTACTTGTGTAGTTTCTCCTTTGCATGTGACAACATGGTGACACGGTGCTGTGAAGAAAACAGCGGTGAAATCCCCCTGCAGTACAGAGGGGCCTTTTATAAACCAAAATGCCAAAGCCATAACCAGGGAGATGGTCTTTCTTAAGGTCTCTCCCACTGTGCAAACCTAAAAGCCAGAGCACCAGGACCGCTGTGAATCCAGGAGAGACCAAATGACACACCTGACACAGCATATTAGATGCTTCTCTGCAGTGGACTGTAGCACCTTTTGAAGTCAGGAGTTTCAACACCAACTCTTATTATAATGTCTGTGAATGCATGAGGTTTATAGAAAATCACTGCTGGACAAAATTTGTAATTTGGAGAGTAAGAAATAGTTAATAACAGTGGTGACAAGTACTTGTGTTAAAATAAAGTGATCACGATTAATTCTTGAATAATTAGATTTTACACTGATCATAACATTTTTTATTTAATTCCCCTCTCTGCTGTACACATGCTTGATCCTATTAGCCACATGTCTTCAGGGTGTATTATAATAAGGTATATCTATCTATTATATGACCAAAAGGAGGTCTGCACATCACACACTGCTCGGAATAATTCATACCCATGATGTTTGATTACACAATTATCAATAACACTGCTGCAAGGTCATGCAACACCTCACTAGTCAAAGCTACAGTATAAGTGCATAGCTCAGACAGAGCAGTCTGCCATTTATTTCATTGTCATTTATTAGACCAAACAACGCAAATTTCTGTGACAAAATAAAAATCCAGGTTTACAAGGCAACATCAGAGCCATCATTACCCTACTCTGTAGCATGAGTTGGTGGATGGCTAGGAGGGTGAAAAGGTGTGAGGGGGGTTGTCCTGACCTAAATCTTGATGCTGCTTATTGATAACGCCAATGGTAGCACAAGTCTGGCATGTGGGGCAATGTTTGTTCTAGCTAGTGGGGATATGTCCTGTAAATCCTGTTCCACCAGCCTGTCAGTCTCACTTTAGCTGGGGTTTATAAGCCTTTGACAACGATGTGGCGGCTTGACTTGAGATTAAGTTAGCATTGCGTGCAGACTCCTACACGTCACTTTCAGAAAAGTAATAGGCAGCACTGGAGTAACGTTTCAGACATGCAGCATGACAAAGGAGGTTGTGGCTAGCTGTAGCAAGCCAGCCGCCGGCTGTCAGAGCGGGGCGCATGTTTGCTGGGACTGACAGCTGAGAGGGGGTTATGAAGGGAAGGGGGGGGGGAGTGGTAAGAAAACAGCTGACAGTCCCAGCTGTGAGAAAATAAGTTGTCAACAACATGAAGTTACTACTTTGCAGCCGTAATAGCAGTGTTACTGAATTAAGCTAACACCAGAGACAGAGAGTCCTACCTTTGCTTTGCCGGCCTCCAGCTTCTTTTGCCTCTCCTCGTCTTCCATCACCTCTGTCCCTGTGGCGAAAACAAGACGGAAGCTGCTTCATACGAAATATCAGCGAGAGAAAACTATTAAGCCAGCGGTTAAATGTCTGTCCGGCTCAAAGCTCGCTGTCAGAGACTTCCACCCGCTTTTTACTGGCTGCTGTCTCCTTGTTGGTAGTCCGCCGCCATGTTTTCCACGTAAACATGAGACTCAACTATGATGACGTCGTGTAGGTGCCTTCACGGCCACGCCCACTGTCATTCCACTAATGGTGCCTTCAGGATCCGTAATAAATGTCGGAATTTGCTTTCCAAGTATGTTTGTGCCATGGATGTACTATAGACACACCTGTCTATATAAAGGTTTATCAGAGCAAAAACCAAGCCATGAGGAGAAACTCTCTGCAGAACTCAGAGACAGGACTCCGTTGAGGCAAATATCTGGGAAAGTCTACATAAATATCTGCTGCAATGAAGGTTTCCAGGGTCTGAATACTTATGCCAATGCGATATTTCATTTTTTCCTTTATAATAAATTTGAAAAAATTAAAGGGGTCTGAACACTTTCTGAATGAACTGTAAGAGCAGAACTAATTATAACCACTTTACATACTATTAAGTAGTTTAATGTATAACAATCCACCATGTTAAAAAAGCTCATAATACTGTGTGTAAAATCTTTATAGAGTTACAGGCATGGCAGAATCCCTACATGTCATAGTTGATGTACAGCAATTTTGTTAATGATCATCAATAATCAACATATCTTATTACCATTTTCATAATGTCATAAATTTTCCTGTATTATATTCAGCCTGAATTCTGCTTAAAACGTCTGCACAGTTTCTATGGTAACAGGAGGAGAGGTTGTCTGAGCTGTCCCAGTTGAGACTAAACACCAAATATTTTCATTTCAAAGCTGTGTTTTCTCCTAATATAGGCTTCATCCATCACCTCATATTTTGCAGCACAACAGTTGACTGGGTTATTCTGGGTATGTTTCACACAATAGTGCAATTTACTTCCTTAAAGAGGAAACATTTGAGCTGTCTCGGCTGAAAGGGACAGCAGGTAACATGAGAGCCTGGCATCAGTTTCTAGGACAGATGGGGGGTGATAAAGGAAAGGATGACCAATATTTTACTTACAGACTCCATGTGGAAGTGATCTGAGTCTTCAAATAGTTCACATATAATTAAAACAGGATATGATGATGCATTGTCACTTGTTGTAAGCGAAAGGTTTGCCTTGAATTTGCTCTGCAGACATTTCCAGGACACAGTTTACAGTATACAGCAGTGATAAACTAGACTGACACTCTGACTGAATTGTTTTCATAAATTCATTCTTTTATATTAATCACTGAAATAATGGGTGATGTGGGCTGCAATTCAGAAAACAGGGCCATAGCAGGATTTCAGAAAGGCTGTTGTAATTTTTCTGTCTTGTTTACTTAATTTGTGCATCTTTGTTTTAATTGTTTTGTTGGGTTTTTTTTTTTTACTAAAAACAAATTAAAGATCTTCAGTCTATAATACACACAGCTCATGCAATGTGTACTTGTAGGATGTAAAGTCCCTCTCAGGTTGTTACAAACAACTACATTCACAGAAAAAAAAAAAAATTGTCCTCAATTTTAAAAAGCCCTGGTTATTGTCCAAACATCTTTAAATTAAAGTATTCTGCTTCCTTGTGGCTCAACATGATTTCTATAAAATATGAAATTCTCAAAGAAAACCTGCTAAATTCACAAGTTCCCAAAATGTGAAGCTTTCTATTCTGCTTCTTAAATTGCTGATTGGAAACATACCAGCAGCAGCAGCAGCAGCAGGAGAGGATGCTCTGTGTCTTCGGCTGACAGGAGCTGAACAGCTTATCGTCTGGCAGATCTTGAATTCCACCCATCTTCTTTTGGACATTCTTACCTGTTTGAGCCCACCTGTGAGCACTCGCTGTTTGTGCAACAAAGTCTGCAGGAACCACTGAGCATTGGAAAGCTTCGTCAGTTTCTGAATTATTGATTCACCGTAGGAGTCCTGTGTCAGCAGTTAACCAAGAAACTTTACCAAGTAGACCCCAACAAATGGATCAGGACAGGATAACATGTAATATTAAAAACACAACAGCAGTGAACTGTGCATCAGGAAAGGACTTGCTCCTCCAGGCCACAGCACAAGCTTGAAGCTCAGCGGTGACACCTGGGGCTGAGGCCTGGTCTCAGCTGCTGCCCTTGACAGCCGATACCATGGCGTCCATCCAACCAACGGAGCTTTGCATGACTCCTCTGTGGGAGAGTGGAAGTCAGTCTGATGGCAGCCACGGCTCCTATTTAACAACAGAAAATAACTCACCAATTTAGCTCAATTTTTTTTCCCCGTCCTGATCTCTGCTGCCCCCAGTACTCCAAACAATCATTTCTTGCAGGGTTAAAATCAGTTGAATTGACAGCCTTTTACTTTACTTTTAAGTCATTAGCAGTATAAACACTGTTTGAAATGAGATGGGTGTCTGCAACAGAGAGAATGGCAGCCTTATCGTTCCAAAACAACTTCCACATTTGACCAGGATTTTAAGCAAATGCCCCTAAACACTATAAATTTGAATCAACAGCCATCTAAGGTTTCAACATAAAGCAAAGATAAAAACAGGAATTGATTTTGTATATTTGGATAATGCATTAAGACTGAGTTGGCTGTTCACAGTAGAATCATTAAGTTGACCAGTTATTTCGAGAAAGCCTTTGAGATGAGAAAAAAACTCATTATATGATGAACTTTTGCAGCATTTATGTTTTTTCTTTTCCTCTTCGGTGTAAAATGTACTTTAAATTTCTGACATAAATATTTGAAAGAATATAGACTTGCATATAATGTTGCAGTAGATGAACTGATACCATGTGGCACGGGCCAAATGTTTGGCACGACACAGAAATGACTGGCTTTATTAGACTGCATTAGGTTTAGTTAGAGTGGCCATGGGCTCTGATTCGCTCCCTCTCGTTAATGTACGATCAAATTCAACTGCAACTTTCTCTGTCTCTTCCACTTCTCCCCTCTCATCATTTGCCCTATACTAAAAATTATTTAACCAGGCAGCAGCGTAGGCCATAAGAGTTCCTCCCAATCACATCATTATGCAAATACGGTCAAAAGTGCTTTGGACAAGTGTGAGAAAAATGTAACTGCATGAATAAATGGAAAATAAATGGTGTCCTGTTGATGACTGAGACAAAACAAAATTGACTCTTTTCAGCCTGTCATGGACGGAGCTGATTTGTCCAATACACAATCTTACAGCAGCGAAGTGAAAATTAATTTGCATAATGACGGTATCACTGTGTTGTATTAAAATATTCATAAGTGGTGGGACTCATCGTTATAGAGATGGTAATGGGTCAGCAGGTTTGTCACTGTCATGCTGTGAGCCACAACACATGGTAAATGGTCTCTTGTATCCCATGGGCATACAATAACATCTGCTGTATGATAATGTCTGGCACAAAATTTGGTTTTAATGCCTGTAACCCGCAGTCTAATTTAGGCTACTCTACAAGTTTGTTCTTTTTGTCATTGTGCAAAGCATTAAACTTGCCAAGTGTGATAATGGACTAAAAAAAGCCATTGCACTCTGAGGGTTTTGTAAGTGACTGAATATGTATTTACAGTGTACATTCTGTGCAAATTAACACAGGGTTTACACAGGGTTGTGGCTACCACTGAAAACACAGAGGTCTTGCCCTTTATATTGTTTCGGGAATTCCTCTAATGACATACACATTACCCTGGCATTGAACATTCATAGCATCCATCGTAGAGATTCAATGTACAGAAAACATTATTAAACACTTGAATTGGTTGATTTAATTAATACTACTTATAAATTTAATTTATTAATTTGGCTAATCAACAAAGTGGGACTATAATTTCTAAAATCCTGCTTAAATAGCTCCAACTTCATCACTGTGATGTATTGACCTGAATGGACACAACAAAATGAATGTGATCAGTGTCAAAAAATAACCCATCGATTCAAACGGCATCTTAATCCAAATGTTTCAGATTTTTATCATCAGTTTATGGTTACGTCATAGTCTCAGGTAGAAACGTGTAGCCTCTACATTTAAGCCCTTTTCCTCTCTCTAGTGGTTGGAAATGAAACCCCTTCTTAACTCCATAACGCTAGATGGCGGTAATTAGCGACAAACTTCACGTTGGGGGTCAAATTTCACGTTTCCGCTCTGGTCTGTCAAGGCAAACATGCCCCTTTCACCGACTTGGAAGTAGACGACTGTGAGGAGCCAGACGACTATATATATATATATGTGTGTGTATATGGTATGTGCTGTGGTTTTGTTCAATTTCTGCAAACGGGCTTCCTGCATTGATAAATTGACAGTTAATCGTACGCGATAAAAGCTGCTCTGGTTGGCCAAGACTTTACATTCAGTCATCATTAAAAGGTATTGCAAGTAACATTTTGAGTTTGAATTTCACATCGGGCGTCGCAGTGGGGGCAAGAACCACACGCTGAAGTGCAATTTTGAGGTGCTAAGCTTGACAACTTTCAATTTATACTTCGTTATTTCACGCTTTTTACTCCGTTATATTTATCTGACAGCTGTAGTCATGAGTTACCGTGCAGACTCAGAGTTCAAATACATCAGCAGTTCAAATATGTTGCATTATTCGAAGTTCAAATTATCTCCAGCTCAACCAGCGATCACATTTAAAATGCTGCAGACATGTTAATGCATCAAGACTTACTCCCATAATTAATAATATAGATGTACCATACATAAAATCCTGTATACCACTGACTCTCAGTAAAGGACATTATACTGATAATACTTTCTGTGGTTTTACTAAATTTAATTTTGACTTAAAATTGAGGATTTCTTTAATGTGGTACGGCTACTTTTATTTAAAGCATCTGTAAAGGTAAAGGATCTGAGTACCACTACTGCAACACTCGGGTCATAGCTGGTTAAATGAGGTCCTCATTATTACCAGTTAGTCTTGTTGAGTTTGAGTTCTTTTGTTATTTTGACTTGACTTCTGTGTTATTAAATATGCCGTGTTTATTTTTCCTCCTTTAGCTCCACCGACACTGGCGGTGATGTTACAGTGTAGCCCTCATTGAAAATGGCAGTGGTACCTGGATTGAGGGCTGTCATCAGCCTCCATCGATCAGTGACGTTGCAGCACAGCTTTGGGCTCATTAAAGTACAGTTGAGAGCAACATGCCTTCCCAGGAGGCTTTGCAGTGCTCCTACAGGAAGCGATGAGCCGAAGCCTCAGGTGAACCCAGACAATCAGTCTCTGCTGGAGAACCTAAATCTCATGGGAGTTGATGTGAAGATGGCACGCCAGCGCCAGCCTGGGGTGCTTCGGAAAGCCTTTACCAACGAGACGGGCCTTTTTCAGTTTCTGCAAGGCAAAGGTGTCAACCGCAAAATAATCGCCAGCATCATATCCCGTTATCCCCGCGCCATCACTCGCTCGATTGCACACTTGGAACAGCGCTGGGAGCTGTGGAGAAACATCTTCAAGATGGATTCAGAAATTGTGACCATCCTGGAACGCTCGCCTGAATCTTTCTTCAGGTCCAGTGATAATGGGAACTTGGAGAAAAACATAGTTTTTCTGTCCTCACTGGGACTGGACGCCAAAGACCTCCACCGGCTGCTGACCACAGCGCCACGGACATTCTCCAACAGTTTAGAGCTCAACAGGCAGATGGTGGAGTGTCTGGAAGACATCTGTGCAGAGCTTGGTGGGAAGAACCCAGAGCAGTTTGTCAAAGCTGTCATATCCAGAAACCTTTACATTCTCATCCGAAGCACCAAGAGAGTCAGGACAAACATTGATAACCTGAGAGCATCTCTTAAGTTTAGCGACTCAGAACTGCTGGCTCTTTTGAAAGGCCCTGGAGCGGAGATTCTGGACCTTTCAAATGAGTATCTGAAAAATAATTTTAACAGCCTTCAGCAGAAGATGATGTCACTCGGTTGTCAGAAAGCTGACATCAAAAAACTAATCAGTAGCTATCCAATGGTTCTGTACATTGGGCCAAGCACATTGAGCTCTAAACTGGACTGTCTCCTGAGAGGAGGAATAACAATGAAGCAGATACTGGAGAAGCCCAAGGTTTTGGACTACAGCACACAGAACATTATGGGGCGACTAGAGGAGCTGAAGAGAGTGGGATATGACTTCCAGAAGAATGGCATCAACATCCTGGACTCTAGCAAAAAGCGGTTTCTTGCAAAGATAGAAAAACTTCGTGCCTCACCAGATGAATGAATGTAGTTGCTTGTAATGTCAGACAAAGTTGGGGGCTGCTTTTACTTTAGCTTCAGCTTCAGGATGATCATGTCTTCTGGTTTCAACATTTATTAATTTGTCTTGTCACTAAAGTATCATTTCTGACTGCTTTTTTGGAATTCTTTAATACACTCTATCTTGTTGGACTGGAACTAAATTCATTATCCATTAATCTGCTAAAGGATTTTCTTGATTAATTGTTTGGTTTCTAAAATGTCAGAAAATAGTGAACATGGCAATCACACGTTTTCTACGGCCCATGGTGACAAATTGCTGGTTTTGTCCAATTAGCCATCCAGAATCCAAAGATATTCATTTTAAAATCACATAGGATAAAGAAAATAGCAAATCCTCACCATTTGGATGGAAGTTGTGAATGTTTGGCATTTTAGAAAAATTACTTCAACAAATAGAGTATCAAAACAAGTGTCACTTGACTTTATGTTGACTGATTGATCAATTAATAGACTGTTAACTGTTTTAGCTCTACTATCGAGTAGTTAATTGACAACAATGTTCTCTTTGAAACAATGACAGCTGCTAAAAAATCCCTCCCACTCAATATGCGTATGCATTGCTGTAAGAATATTTTTTTTTCTCGTTCAAATGTTTGTAAATGACTGTACATGTTGGAAAGCTGAATTCATGTGTAGATGCAATCTTGAAATAAAAGTGATGTCCAAACAAAGACATAACATCTGACTACATGTTTCACCCATACTTCCTGTTCTTTTGATGTACTTATATAAACGTGAGGTATTGTTTGCAATATAGAAGATGATTGTGTACCATTTTGAAAATTAAATATATATATTATACATATCCAAATAATAGGGGTAATTTTATCCGTTTCCATCCATTGACTACAGTCGTCCATTAAAATGATTTAATATTTTAATCTATTATTCAATAGTTTAGTCTGAAGGCTGGGGAATATGTACTGTACTCTGCGGAACCAATATTCGCCGGCCAGTTCACCACGGACCTCGCCCAACAGTTGCACAACCTTTTCCTCACGCTGCTGGATTGTTGCTGTGCGTCTCAGGGTGAGAAACAGAAGTGCAGTGAAACTTAACTTTATTTATGTCCACTTTATTTTTTTTGACAAGTTACCTTTAAACAGCATAAAGTTACATCTGTTGTTGTCCAGGGTGTCGCAAGCGTCAGCTGCCCCCCGTTAGCTGTTAGCTTGTTAGCAGAGTCTGGATTAGTCCGTTTATTTCACCGTTGCAGCTAAATATGCCACAGTAGCAGTTTTTCCCTGACAACCCTATGAGTAAAAGGTAAGTACCTCTGCTAATATGGATTGTTGCATTTGACCATACAGCCAATTTATGTGGAAGTTAAATGGAGCATAGATAAAGTTAATTCAGATCACAGATTACAGTTAAATCTACCAGAACCGAGTAAGAGACATGATGCAGCAGGATTACACAATTGTCAAATGTTTATGTTCATATAATTATACATATATTTATTTTTTTCAAATCTATATGCTTATTTAGCTTTGTTCAGTTTTGTTGTATGTCCATGTACATCTTAATGATATTATTTGTACTGTGTTCAAGTACATTGAGAGCCAGATTCCTTATATGCACAACATACTTGGCCTAAAATAGCTGATTCTGATTATGAGGATATGCTGGTTAAATGTGAACGAGACATACTCACAGCTCAGGATCAGGAGATGATTATTACTGTCGTGCTGCATTTTGATCCACAGTGATCAGCTGATGTATCCGTGTGTGTTTCAGAGCAAGGACTGTGGGGAAGGTGTGATGGAAAAATCAGCGGAGGACAAGGAAAAGGGGACAGATGTGGCTGTGAAGGGTCAAGCTGCCATTAGACCACAGTAAGCAGCTTGCCATGTGTGGCACCTATGAGAATCGCATGAGTTGCACTTGAAACTGGTGGAAATCACTTCAAACATGAGAAACACTACTACTACTTATCATGACTTCGACACGAATGCCCATTATAGCGCTAGTATCACCACACCAGTCTCTTGCTCTTGTCCTCACTGGTAAACAATACTCAGATACTTGTTGGGGCAGCAACTAGCTCTCAATCTGAATAGAGCAGTCCACCTTTATTCCCAGTAGCACAGACTCAAACTTGGAGGTGATGCCCCCTCCCCTAACCCTTTCACACTGCCTGCTGCTTTGTCTGATGAAGCAAAGACAACTACACTGTCAGCAAAAAGGCTGAACAGTCTTTACTGAAAGCACTTAACTTATTGCACACAGTATGGATTTATATCTTGCAGAAGTTTTACAAGGACAGGCTGGTTTGTATCAGTAACAGTTTAAGTAATTTTACCATTAACAGAGTAATTTGTAATGATAGATAGAAGTGGGCAAATTTGACTAAATACGATGTGAATTCATTCTTACTCCTCCCTGAACTCTTTTCCGGTGTGAGCACCCTTCACACTAAAAATTGCTTAGAATTACCGTGTATAACAAAACTGGGACAGAACTACTTTCTTCAGGTATGTTGCATATCATACTATGAAACAGAAGGATGATTTCATTTCTTCTTCTTTTTCTTCATTGCAGATTCCTGACAACCAAAGAAAAATTTCATGGGTTTATTGACTCTGAGTGGCAGGGCTCAAAAGGAGAAAAGGCCAGTGATAATGACACAACTGAGGAGGCAAAGGAGATCTGTGTGGAGGAACCAGAGGCTAAAAAGCTCAAACTAGACACTGAAGAAAGGACTAAGGCGGGGAAGCAAGATGGTAAACGCCTTCGAGGACAAAATAAGTCAAGACCGCACACTAAGCCTACTGCATATGATGAAAAGCGACTGTGTCTCTCAGTCATTCAGGTATGCAGCTTTAATTGACCATTCACAAATGCCATATACGGTACATGCTCTCCGATCACTATGTCAGCTGACAGCTCATGTCATAACTTCTCCCGTCCATGTAGGCCAATAGGGAATGTCCCTTTGGAGACAAATGCCACTTTCATCATGACGTCGCTGAGTACATGGCCTCTAAGCCTGCTGACATCGGGCAAAGCTGCTACCTCTACGGCACGTTTGGAAAGTGTGCTTATGGTCTCTCCTGCCGCTTCGCCAAGGCGCACACGACACCTGACTTCAAAACCATGGAGAACACAGATCTAGTTAAGGCTCGTGAAGGCAGGAACCCGGTGAAGAACAGCTTGAGTAAAGACCTCCAGAATCGTCTGAGGAAGCGCTCGGTGGCCTTCAAAAAGTCAGAAGAGTACCTGAAAACACTTTCAAACAACAGAGACAAGAAAGAGCAGCAAGGGAACGGTAAGAGGGCTCAAGTGGTTTTAGATAGATTTACTTGAATATATCACACATCAGCATGATCTATTGGAGACACTACTACCCCCCAGGAATATTAGTATTCTGCCAGGGTTTTTGCTCCTTCTTAAGCATGAATCTGTCAGTCATATTCTTTTGTCTTATAAGGAGTCTGTTAAGTGGTTTAGATGTACACTGGCACAAGTGCAGCAATCAGCAGTGCATATGAAGTGTCTCTGCAGTGAGTCTTTCATTTAATCAGTTCACTTAATTGTAGTTGAGCAACAAGCATGGCATTTCTACTGCTTTTGAGTTGAGCAGGTGTTGAATGGCATGTATGAGTCCTACTTAGTCACCCAGTGTTGCTGCTCATTGAAACGTGCTTTCTGTTTACTTTCTAAATACCCTATATTTCCAAACACAGACCTATTTAATGAATGCAGCCATGTGTGAAATGTGAAATTTGAATGAATTTGGTTTTATAATTCAGTTCTTTGACACCCACACACATACACACACACAGGTAAAGCTTGTGTAGCTGAAGTATCTCCAAATCCAACAGTCGGGGAGCAGCTATTGTCTACTGAAGCAGAGACACAGGTACAAGCATCTACTCGGAGCACTACCTCTTATTCCCAGTCTGTCAGTCAGCTAATGAAGGTAAATGTAGAGTGTCGCATGGGGGTTTGCAATTATTTTTTACATGTTTTTTTTGTGACAAGCTGCAGTCCAGCCCTGACAAACAGCCTCCAGTGAAGACTGTTGGCCCACTGACTGATGCAGATGTCATCAAGTTGCGCCCATGTGAAAAGAAACAGGTACATCTTCAACCAACTGTCTCCCCTCCAAAATTACATTTTTTATAAGTAGTTTGGTGACTAATTTTAAATATGACAAGGGATATTGTGTAATCATTTTTCTTGCTAAATAAATGAATTTCAAATTGGTAAAAGCCAGCTGATACTGATGAATATTTAAGAGAGATAAAATCGGTGCACTAGTGTGGGTTCATGGATAAGGAGTATGTTTTTGTGTTTCTGTGTTCAAGGTGGACTTTCAAGACAAGCTCTACCTTGCTCCTCTAACAACTGTAAGTACTGCCAGACTGAATTGTCTGTGTTAATAGGTTAAATGATTCAAAACTGTGTCAACTTACAATCATTTTATTATTTTTAATATATTAATTTTATTATTTTTAAGTGAAGTGCAGGGCATTTGATTTGATGTATAATTAAAAACAAACAGGTTAGATAGACTACTAAGAGAACAAGTTATATTAAATGAGCTTTTGGACTGACTAAAAGCTTCCCGCTCTTTCCTCAGTGTGGAAATCTGCCTTTCCGTCGCGTGTGCAAGCGTTTTGGTGCAGACATCACCTGTGGGGAGATGGCCATGTGCACAAACCTGCTGCAGGGGCAGCAGTCAGAGTGGGCCCTCCTCAAGAGGCATGAAAGTGAAGATCTTTTTGGCGTCCAGGTGAGGTCATCATAAAAGATGTTGTTGAACGACTCTGCTCATGTTGTGGTTATAAACACGGCTTGTGGTATTTGGCAGTGTGTTTCTCTGAGAGTGAAGATTGTCTCAGATCTGAAATCCATATTGTGTCTCCAGGTGGAGGGCTGCTTCCCCGACACCATGACAAGGTGTGCAGAGCTTATCAACAACAACACTGATGTTGACTTTGTGGACATCAACTCTGGATGCCCCATTGATCTTGTCTACAAGAAGGTAAGCTCTTATCTAATCAGGTTGCCCCAATCACATTTATGGACACTTCCAGTTTGGTTTTCATGTTTTCCTCCCTGCAGTGTAAATTTTTTTTAAAAACTTTACACACATGGACCACAGTGTGGGAGATATTCTAATCGATATTGCCAAACCTTCCTGGTTTATTTAGTTTCATCTATATCTAAACCACAGAGACTTCTACTTTGGTTTGATTATCAATCACCATGGGCAAGAGGATGACAATCATTCTCTGTAAAGTTGTATCAAACACTACTGTCAGCCTATCAACTTTTATATTTAGAAGGAATTTCTTTTAGCATAGTAATGCTAAATTTTTAATCAATAACTAGTGTCATCTGTGGTCACATAAGGGCCCACCTTAAAGCTTAAAATCAGAACCACTTTTATAATCCAAAGGATAAGCTTCAAATGTGAAAATGAAGTGAAAAGAGGTTGGTAGTCCCTGCAATAAACAGACATAAAAAACATAGCCATTGTAAACCCACTGTTACCTTTACTGAGTAAATAAGGTTGGTGAACAAACACGGTACCATGATGGTACCTCTGAGCTCAGATGAATTTTTGTGTGTTATGATACAGTGTGCAAAGCAAAGACATTTGACAACATCGATATAACACTCATTGACAGATGGTGTTTGTTTGCTCTTTCTCATCAGGGCGGAGGCTGCGGCTTGATGACACGCACCAGAAAGTTTGAACAGATAGTCAAAGGAATGAACTGTGTAAGTCTCTGATTTATTGTTGGACATACTAGTATTTATTCAAAACAATTGGACAATATATAGCAGCTGTACCTTGAAAACAGTGCTTCTTTGTCTTGGATTACAAAGCCTGAGTGAAAACACAAGTGTCTCTTCCTGAAGGTCCTTGATGTCCCTTTAACAGTCAAGATCCGCACTGGTGTTCAGGAGAAGAGCAACATAGCACACAAACTCATCCCAGAGATGAAAAAATGGGGTGTCTCCATGATCACCGTAAGTGTTTTAGTAGCAGAAACATTAATAAATGTGAAGCATTATTGCAGCTGTAAAAGGAGAGATGGGTTTGAGCGGCGTGAAACCGTATCTACTAACTTCATGCGTTGAAAATCATATTTAATACAGTCACAGCAGAAGTGTGGAAAAACATGAAAGAGTCTCATTTCGAGTAGTGTCTTGTAAGCCCGTGTGGACGGGGGCACCCCTGGGTGTATAAAATATTGAATCATTTTATTCATTGACAGTGACCTGTATATTGAAGCACACTGTCAATTTCACTCACATCGATCAACAAATTAGAGCACAATTTAAAATGTAATGTTAAAGAACACTTGATATGATTGTTTATCTAAGATGACTTTCCATTTCTCATTTTTTTTGTCACTCTTATTAAACGAGCGTCCTTGTCAAACTGATTCCACCGTGAGGTCTGTTTCCAAGCACCTTGTCTGTTGTCAGTCATGCATAATTTTTTTTGTTTCTCGTCCCTCCTCTGTTATTTTCATATCTTCAAATGAATAAAACATGGTGCCAGCATCAGATTGTGATGATATAGAGCTGATGCTGTGGTTTTCTTGCAGTTGCATGGCCGATCCAGAGAGCAGCGCTACACCAAATTAGCTGACTGGGATTATATCACCACCTGCTCCGAGCTGGCTAGTCCTGTCCCACTTTTTGGTATGTGGATTTGTAAAGAGTTTGTAAAAAGAGCTGATGAAGGGGGGAAAATGTTTTTAAGGAGACGAATACTAGAAAAACAACCCCCTCTAATATGGGGGAAAAAAATCCAGTTATACAGTTACACAATCTCACAGTTGTAATATCTTTGACAGGCTATTGAAGAATAACTTATCGCGGGTGATGAGGTGAATTAAGGTGACCTGTTTTTATTGTTCCAGGAAATGGAGACATTCTGTCCTATGAAGATGCCATGAAAGCGAGAGAGACCGGAGTTTCTGGTATAATGATTGCAAGGTACACAGAAAATAATACACAAAATCATATAAATATATTATAAATAATAAATCGTAATAAAATAATACATTGTCAGACCCTTGAAGGCTTACATGTCGCTGCCTTCCATCCATCTTATTTTTTATTTTTTCCTCTCCCTATTTATTTGCTATTATTGTTATTTGCTATTTGCTGTGCATCATTATCAATGCGATTCTTGTGCTTTCTTACTTTAAATCCGAATCGAATCCCGACAAGAGGATTTACTCCATATTACAGATCCCAATTGTCTTTGTGGTGAACTTGAACTTTAATTTGAAAATCAAATAAAAGGTTCAGCCAGTTATGCATGTTCTTACATTCGTCTCCTCAGGGGTGCTCTCATTAAGCCTTGGATCTTCACTGAGATAAAGGAGAGCAGACACTGGGACATCTCGTCCAGTGAGCGACTGGACATCCTCAGGGATTTCACCAACTTCGGTCTGGAGCACTGGGGCTCCGACACTCGAGGCGTGGAGAAGACCCGCACCTTCATGCTGGAGTGGCTGTCCTTCATGTGCAGGTGGGCACCACCGTGCACTTCAATACATTGTATTTTCTTCTAGTATAAACGAGCAATATTCATTACTGTTTCTCATATGCTGTGGTAATACAGCATTTACATAGCAGGTTTTAAATGTTGGTATTTCTTTTTCTTAATTGCATTATGTTGCTATGGATACGTTCGCAATGAGAGAAGGACAGAAGTTTGTACTCAAAACAAATGATATTCATGAATGAAGGGGATAATGGGTCAAGAGGGCATAAATTCAGTTTTTCCTAAGAATTAAAAGCTACACAAAGTGACTACATATGCATGTGACAGCAAGATTTGACTGAAAATATAAAAACTACTATACCGTAAACCGATTACAAACTCGGTGAGATTGAAATAGAATATAATGGAAATAGCATTTATCTCACAAGTTTCACTTTGTCAGTTTTTGTGGTGGAAAAGTGTTCATCAGAAGTAGAAGATGGGATGATCTTCTGTCACAGCTCCATTTTAGTGAATTAGGTCAAAAAGCGTGTATTTTTCAGTGCATCTTAAATTCTAAACTGTAACAACAAAACCATCAAATATAATCTGGTGATTCACACTGAATACCTACTGAAAAGTGGATTGGAGAGAAATTGAGGATGATGTTTCTCTCTCCTCCACCATCTCTCTCTCTCTCTCTGTTCGTCAGATATATTCCTGTGGGCTTGTTGGAGCGAGTGCCTCAGAAAATCAATGAGCGACCTCCGTACTACATGGGCAGAAACTACCTGGAGTCACTGATGGCGAGTCAAAACGTTGGGGACTGGGTCAGGATTAGGTGAGCAGAAAACAAAGAAAAGAACACTATTCAGTATCAAGCTGCATTAAGATTAAAGAGTTAAATAATGTGTTTTATGATTATAACTTTTTACCCTTTCCTTTCTCCAGTGAAATGCTTCTGGGTCCTGTACCGAAGAATTTCAACTTTTTGCCCAAACATAAAGCAAATGCCTACAAGTGATTTTCTCTTTGTCAGGTTTTTGATTATATTGTTTCTTTTTTTTCTTGGCTCTGGAGAATAAGACTTAAAGAAAGAAAAACCTAATGTGTTTCAAACGATGAAGACTGTTTAATAGTCTGTTTATTTGACCTGTGGTGCAGTTGTAGAATACATGGCTGTTTGTGTACTTGAAATATATGCAATAAAGTCTTTGGCCACACCAACATATTTCTACGTCTTTTAAAAATATATTTTTCAAGGGGGTAAAATGAGAAAGGGTTTGATTTATGGCTTTATTATCAAATAACTTTATAATTGACACAAAAACCCAGTAATAATCCTGTGATGTTCTGTAAAATCTCTACAGATATTGTTTGTTGTTTTTAATCAGTGGGGAAAAGGTGGCTGCCTTTACTCATTTTGTTGTGATATGAAATTGAGTCACGGGAAATAATCCATAGACACCATATACACTGACTGACCAGTCTGAGGTAGTGCAAGACAACATCTGTGTGATAAACCCTATCTGTATAAAGCTTGTAATATTATGCTTTTAACACAACCACAAGAGGCACTGATTCTACTTTTGGAGATCTTTTGAAGAATATGAATATGTGATGTTGTGACTTTACATCTTGAAATCCTGAATTATTCAGAAGTAATATCTGAAAAACAGACTCAGTGGCCACTTTATTAGGTCCACCTGTAAAATCTAATGCAGTCCAGTGTCGGCTCAGTCAGTTGACAATAATGTTCAGTTTTTAATGACACTGTCAGAGAGGTATTGATGTAGCCGTTTGTTTTATTATTGAAGTTGTAGTTTGCAGTGGTGTTGAACCGGACTGCAATATGTTGAAGTTTTTACCGTCTTGCCCAGGAAGGACATTTAGGAAGAATATTGGAAACCCATTTCAATATGATGCAGCCTCGTACAACACTACCACTAACTATAACCTTAATAATAAACATATAGTTGAATTAACACCCCTAGGAAAGGTTTTAACCAAAACTGACCATTATAAGCCTAAGAGCTGATTGCATTAGATCCTATGGGTGTATCAAAGTGTCCAAAAATATATTTGCAAACTAAACTGAGTCTAATTTGTATTTTATGCATTTAGGCCACAAAATTGTTGTACATCTAATTAATGGCATACACTTGAACCATAAAATTTTAAAAAGTTTTCTAAGAAGCATGACACCGAGCTTATCTTTTTTTCCCCAGCCCTCTCCCTCACCACACGTGGGCGGTTTGCATGTACGTAAGTGAGACGTTAATAAGCGCCTCAATTGGCTGCTTGCAGGTGCAACTAATTAACAAACCACTATTTCTACGGGGTCACGGGCGGCGTCTTTATCCGGTGTACAGCAGCTGCCGAAGGGCTTTCGCTTGGATCCATGGCTGGGATCAGGGTCGAGTTTCTGGTGGTCCTGTCCGGGACTCTGCTGTTGGCTTCAGGCCGGGGCTGGTATCCGATCAACGACACTCAGCTCTTCAGTTTCTACGAAACGGGGCAGTGGGGCGAAGCTGTTAGCTTTACGCCGCCAGGTAAAAAGCTGTCATTGCTGTCCTTTACCCAGTCTGTTCACTGACTTTGTCTCTTTACTTGTGCTGCTCATACACTATATTATAACATTTACCCTTACGTAGTCAGAACTAAACCAGCCCAACTGCCTTTTTTATCTCGGATCTTTAATTAGCATTGACTTCTGAGCAGGGCACTGATTGTGTGGTCAGTTTTCACCATTTTATTTAATCATATGCTTAAAACAACTGGATGCATTTAACAGCTACAATAAACTCTCATTTAGAGTGTAATGTAACATGCTTTTAAAAAGAAAAATACTCAAATGAGTTTCCATAAAACAATTAAAACATGTAGGACCACAGATTTTTACATTAATCATAAAGTTTTAGTTTCATAATGGCTGTTTCAGGTCCAGATATAAGTGTGTATATGTGTGTATATATATGTATGTATATATATATATATATATATATATATTTATTTATTTATTTATTTATTTATTTGTATTAGTAAGGCCTCCATGGGGAGGTCTTTTGACTCAAGTAATCTTTGACATTGCCTACACTCTCTCCCGCTCCTCTCCAGATAACCGCAATGAGTTTGACAGTGAAGAAGAAATTCCTGAAGATGCACTTCCTGAAGTTGAAGGTGCTGCCACTAGTGACAAATTTGACCCTTTTGCTGACCATGGATTCCAGGTGGAGAGTGGCGATTTTGGACCCAGACATTGGGCCAGTGGAGCAGATGGTGGATTCCAGATGGAATTTGTAGATGCCCCTCCAAGGAGCTGGACTAGCAGTGCCAGTCCAAGTTCTTCTGGGCTAGCTATTGTTTGCAGTGAGGCTGGCTTCCAGATTACTCTGCCAACAGATTATTTAAGTGAAGTTAAAGTTTTGGGTATGTGCTTTGACTTTTCTGCTTACTTGAGGTCAAGTCTTTAATTTTGCTGAATTTATGTTCTCTACTTACTATGCTTTATTTGCCTCCTTCAGGCACAAAGGATGTGCTGTCTGTCATTGATGCTCCTGAGTCTTGTGGTTATGAAGTGAACCCTCTCAAGAACACTTTGACTGTACCCTTCACTGGGTGCCATGTGAAACATGTAAGTTACTGAAAAGTAATTGCCTTAATTTACTTTTTTTTTTTTTTTTTAAATCCTAAAATGACAAGAACATGTAATTGTACTCAATGTAGTTTTGTTTGCTTACCTGGAATTCAGTTCATCTTATGCAAAAGCTGTTTGAAATGATTTCAGACTGACAGCTACAGCCTGCAGTTGTTGTACATCGATGAGCTCGGTCAGACACAAGTTACTACTGCATCTTGTGAGGAAAGTCTGAATATGGACCCTGGCCTGTTCCCTCGCTCCAGTGACAATCCCCAACACAAGCAAAAGTGCACTAACCCAGCCACTGGACCATCAAAGGCACAAAGTGAGTGTGAACACGGCAAATGAGCTGACTACAAACTGTATCTACATCATGTTTAATAAGATCAAGGCATTTTCTTTGTATCTCTATCTTTTGAGAAGGGCTGAACTGTGTTGGTTGGACAGGCACTTTTTCTAATTAGATGATTGTTTTTAAAAGGAATTCACTTATTTATTTATATTGTACTTGTTTCTTTTTTCAGATTGCGCTGTCCAGACAGGGGAGCGCTTGACTTGTGGCCAGTCAGGAATATCTTCCTCAGATTGTCAAAAGATGGGGTGCTGTGTGGATTCTTCTACATCTGCCTGCTATTATCCAATGGATGGTAAGGTTTCTGTTCAAGAACTTTCCTTAGTTGATCCTCTAATAAGAACTTTTGTATTCAAGAAACTGGGTAACTGATAGTTCTGGTATTCATAACTTTTCTCTTTCTTACTTCAGAGTGCACAGGGGATCAACACTTTGTTTTTGCCATTCGCTATGACGCTGCATCCATCCCTGTAGACCCCGCCAAGCTTGTTATTCCCGGTACAAACTGTAAACCAGTCATTGTTAATGACAAGGTTGCCATCTATAAATTCAAAGTTACAGAATGTGGAGCTCGTGCTTATGTAAGTTGTCCTCCCTGCTTGACTTTTTTGCAATGCAGCGTTTCAGCTAAAATGACACTTTTCCTGCTCAAGTGATGTCGGGTTGTAGCTGGACTGCTTCATATCTTCACCTTCACCTTGTTCATGTCCAAAACTGGGTTAAGGGTAGTGACTGTCAGACTTGCAGGCTCTCAGTTGACTTGGGTTTAATTGCTATTGCTTGTTTTAAAGAAGGGAAATGTCACAAAATGTGATGCTGCAGCCCCTTTTTTTTAAAGCGTGTGTGTATTTTGAACTTGTCAGCAGAGATGTGTTGACTTTTATTGTATGACATTTTTGACACAGGACTTCTCACTGTGACCTGCAATTGTGACAAAACTGTCACAAGTTAATCAATTCATGTTGTGTCTAGATTTATTTTTAATCATGTGCCAAGAGGCACTTACATGGCACTTGTAGTATTACAAGACTTTTTGAAGAAGTCTTGTACTTAAAAACAGTAACAGTTCTCTTTGAAAAGTCTTGTAATACTGTATAAAACATATCTACACATACTGGCTGTTTTGGTGACTGCCTCAGGCAGTACTTCATACATGCTGTGTAACATAGACTGAGGTCACCACCTGATGAGATAAGTGACTTTTCTCTGCAGGAGGTTGGCAATACAAAGATTTACCTGGCTGAGGTGCAGACTATTGTCCAAGCTCTGAACCTCAAGTATGGTGCAATTACAAGAACTGATCCACTCAGGTTAGTGGGATAAAACAGTACATTTAACTCTGATGCTTTTTAAAGCCTTTTTTATATAAATACACATTAGTACAATGCTCTTAACCCATGTCTTTTTTGTAGGCTCATGGTTGAGTGCCGCTACAGCAAAGGGGGCACTCCTCACCAGTCGCTGGCCAGCATTGGCTATATGGTCAAGATCCCAAGTTCTGCCTTGCCATCATCAGTCATCGCCAATGGCTTATATGGTGTTCAACTGAGAATTGCTAAAGGTCTGGTATTCATGCATTATTTTGAAACCAAATGCAGTAAGTGTAATATTTGGCTGAAGTGGGATTGTACACATGTAGCTCTCAAATAGCTACATTTTGATCAATTTTAAATGAATGTTTGTATGCTTGTCTGTATAATCCCAACAGATCAGACATATTCAAGTTACTTGCCCACTTATCATCAGCCCTTGCGACTGCTCCTTGGCAAGCCGGTGTATCTTGAACTACGCCTGAAGTCTCCCAAACCAGATGCTGTAATTCTCGTCAATTACTGTCTAGCTTACCCTCGCTCTGCAAAGAATGCACTGGTGCTTGTTTATGAAGGGTAAGCATGAATATGTGAACCTGCTGCATGTGTATTTAAAAACATATTCCTGCCCTGTAGACTTATCAGTAAGTTATGTTTGCCTCTGTAGGTGTGCCAACCCTTATGACCCAAATGTGTCCATCCTTAAAGTCAGTGACCTTCCCAAAAATCGCCACCAGAGGCGCTTCATGGTCAACGCTTTCCAGTTTATGGATCAAAAGACAAACAAGTACCTCGATGAAGAAGTGAGTCAGCGTACACTGAGCTGATATGTCGTCTTGCAACAACAGTGCAGGTTGACTTCAACAAGGGCAAAATTGTTATGGCCAGGCAGCTGCATCACAGCATCTTTTGAATGGCGACGGTTTATGGGGTGCTCTGCTGAGCAGTAGTGAGGTGATCCTGAGGGTGGGGTAGTGTGTGCTTAAATGTAAAGGATCTGTTGCTAACTTCATGGCACTAGATACCACAAGGTGCCTTGAAGGACCAACTTGCATGTTGGGCAGGAGAGATCATAATGTTTTGGCTCAGTGCATTTGAGAAAGCCATTGTGGCTTTCTCAAATGAGCATGAGTAAAGGGGCCCTGACACAGAAGTGAGGTGACTTCATCAGATGTGTTTACATTCATACAGTTGGAGGAAGCTTACTTTTCACTGAAATTATTTTAAAGGTAAAATGAGTCTCAAAATATGGTAATATGTACTACTTGCCTAGAAATGTTTGTCTGTGCTCTAGTTTTAAATATCCTTTTCTAAGATTCTGACAATTTTTCAAACCATTTTCCTCATGGTGAATGACTTTCCCCCTGCAGATCTATTTCATGTGCTCTGCAGAAGTTTGTAGGCCAGCAGAAAAGACGTGTAAAGAGCGATGTTTTGATGGAAAGGTGAGTCTCTAAACTTTGCTAATGTGAACTTTTTTGTTGTAAATGTCTAATCAAATTATTTTTCTTTCTAGGGATAAGGAATTGCTGTAAAGACTTAAGACTGATGAACTGAGATAAATGCAACATTTTATGATACAGTGTTGGTGTTTTCTTTCTTAAAATATAGATGTGAGAGATTACTAGTGGTGTACAACCTTGTCATCTTAAAACACTTTTTGTATGTGGTGCTGAAATTAAAGTTTTAAGTATATCTTGGTAACATTCTGATATGGCAAACCTGACTACAAAGTTCTCACAATTGTTCAGGTCTTTGGGAAAACTCTTTGCAGCATGAAATGCAAAACAGACAATTTTGAGGAAAGTGCTGGTACTATGCACATGAGTCAGAATAAAAGGGCATGTTTATAAAAGCAGAAAATGGCAACATGAAGAGAGGGGAAAATATGCAAAATGCTAAGACTCATCAGTTTCATGGAAAAATTCTTTATAAAATGTCAAACCCCCACTAAAACATTGTATAAATAAAGACTTATATTGGTCTATCAATATATTGTATACCTCTCTGAAACCTATGGGTTCATCTTCATAAATTGTCTCATTCAGGCATTGCTTCTGTAATTAAATAACTTTCTTATTTTACTGGGGAGGATGAAGGTGGTAAGTAAACACAATGCCATGTAATCCTCAGAATCAATGTTCATTTTGTGAGGACATTAAACACCCACTGTAAGCCAGTTTGTACAAGGTTGCCTATTTTAATGTGGCATCAAAGGAAATGTCTGTAATTTTGAGTTGCATAAATGGGCATTATGGCCTGGAAAAACTGTCAATAGAAAGGGTTAAAATTTTGGAGAACATGAATCCACACAATCATCCACCATATTGCAAGATGAGTTTGGCCTAAGGTTAGTGTTGAAGGAAAAACTCATGACAGCATGGAAACACAGGAAAGGTTGTGGGCACAAAATAATGCATTTCATCCTACTGGGATTATTAATACATCAAATTTGATAGTAATCTAGATAGCAATGGATGTCTTGCTCTTCACTAAAGCAGACAGGTAGACCAAATCTCTCTGGTCACTCCGTTCTGGGTCACATACATGTGGAACGTGATCATGCTTAATTTTCTCTATAGGGATACCAGAAGGCTACAGATACATGTTGCATGTCCAGTGGCTTTAATGCATATTTCAGTTAGCAAAAAATGTCTTGAATGGAGTGTTGGAAGTGTACCTGTAGCATATTAGTAGTTGATTTTTAAATTGATAACTTAGAAGACAATTGATAAATTGCTTAAGTCAAATGCCAAAAGTAAACTGATACAAGAAAATAAAGCCATATACTCAGAAAATTAGTTTCAAAAAGACCTGACATCAGTGGTGGGAAAACCAGATATTTTACGTGTAAAAATAGTTACAATTTCTGCATTCAAAATCTTCTTGAATGAATCATTGAAATCATTAGCAGCAATATATACTTACAGTCCCAAAAGTAAAAGTACTAATTTTTCAGATTGGCCCATTTCAAATTAATATGAAATGTAGATTTTATTGTTTTACAATTTTTGATGCAATAACGTGTTCGTCGCTTTAATGTTGTTAAAGTTAATTATATATTCTGCTTGTGCATTTCCCTTGTGGATCAATCAAATATTTTCTCATCTACAATGATACAAATTCATGTGTGAATTGTCAAATAAATGTAGTGGAGTAAGAATGACAGTAATTGGAAATACTTAATATAATATATGAAAAAACTCAAAGTAGGCTACAAGTATGTGAATATTTTACTTAGTACAGTGTTTGGTTACTTTTCATTACTGCCTGACGGAACAGCTTCCTCCTCATCGGTAAATGTAGGGTAATTTTCCAGAGACGACAGCTCTCCTCCGTAAAACGTCTCTGAACCACATAATATGGATCAACGTGACGAGGCAGTTACCGCTGACCCACAATTCTTTGCGCCTAAGCATCCACTGTGTATGCGCTGGCTAGGTGAGTCGTCGGTTCAATAACAGTTTCAATAAAGGATTGTGTCAAAGTTTAAGAAACAGCGCTGTCCGTCGGTAACAAACACAGGAGCCGTGTGTCAGGTGAGTGGAGTCACATGTGGTCAGCTGTGCGGGGACAATTAGGAAGTGAGTCCTGACAACTGAACATGCAGTTTCAATGATTGTTCATGCGTTTCAGAATATAGCCGGAAAGGCCAGTTCTCACTTAATGAAATCTTAAGTTACACAGCTTCTGTTATACAGTTGCCTGCCAGCTAATATCACATGTCTGCTTTCTGCTTTGCCTTCTCAGTTAGGTCGAGATTTGTTGATCTAGGCCTGTTTTTTAAAGCTTTGTGTTAGTACGGTATGTACGGTATGTACCAGCAAACAGAAACTACTTATGTGTTATGATGTGAAGGTTTACAAACAAATGACTCTCACAGTTAAAATGCAACTTTCATTTCATCTAACCTGAAACTACTTCAATTTAAGTTTAAAATTGTTGTGATCCATGCTTGCCTCATTAAATAAGGAGCTCCACACCCTAGAAAACGTCAGCTGTATGTCCACATCTGTGATTTTATGTGCTTTTTACTGATTGATTAATTACGGGGGAAGTTTGCCTTAAGGTCTCTCTGACAGAGAGCCTTGCTGGCTGCAAGACTGTTCGGCTTTCACAACTTTAACCAGTGCAAAGACTTTCAAGTTTCTTCAATGTGTGGTCATGCAAACTCCAGTATTTCAAGGCATGATATACATTAAATATGTAAATGAGTAATGGTCTCTTAACAGAAGTATGAATAATATCAAAGGTGTGCACAAATTTGTAGGCTATATTTATGTTCTAAATATATATATATGTTGTAAATATACAGTATTATTCTTATTCTATTGAACCTGACATTTACACTTTCTGGTGTTCATTTAAAAAACCTACAATATCGAAATTGCAAGATGCACAAAGTAGCTAGGGCCAGTCAGCTGTGTTTATAGTGTTGCAAAATTACATCAGCACAACTTCCTGATCTGAATCTCTCTCTTCTGTCACCCGCATAGCTCATGTGCATGAGAGAAGAGCTGTGCATACAGCAGCAGTCAGCAGTTAGCAGGAGGGTGTGCTCTTTGTCCTTCCATAAAATAGCAGAGAGTTTGAAGTAGACTCTCACACCATTCTGCCTGTTAAACCCTCAGCTCCTCCTGTCACTGGCAAAGATGGCTCATCTCACAGCGCTTTTCAAGTATGTGGACGAACACCAGGATCTGTATGTGGAGGTAAGATCATTCTGGCAGAGGATTTGACATAATAATTCAATGTAGGATAACTCCCTGTAAGACTTCTTGCTGTTTTGATCAGCTAATCATTGCAGTGATTAGACTGCAGCCAAATACCTCTCTTGACTTGATCAAATGGTGTTCTGTTGTCTTTAATACTGATGAGTAACTCATTCATTTGAGTTACAGTGTGTGCCAAATGTCATAAATGCTGAGCCAGTGGACGTCATGAAATCACAGCAGATTCAGTGGCATGTTAACTGTAGCTATAGTTTAACGTAATGGAAACCCTAAGAAACACTCACTCTGGCTCCATTTTACTGGTTTGAATGAAACCTGGACAATATTAAAAATGAATGTGAATTTTTCTTGTTTCTTAGCGTCTCGCTGAATGGGTGGGAGTCCAGAGTGTTTCTGCTTGGCCAGAGAAGCGTGGGGAGATCAAGAAGATGATGGAGATGGCAGCCAAGGACATTGAGAGGCTGGGGGGCACAGTAGAGATGGTGGACATTGGCAACCAGACGGTAAGACCGCGTGAGGGGGTGCTGTTGAGCTGTTAGTTTCAGTAATTTGTTACTTGCTGTGCCAGTTAGCTCGTATGTCAAAGTGAGTAATGGATAACTTTTATGTTGATTTTATCATATAATCTGTGTTTAGGGGATCATGCTGCTTTTGAATAAGTCACTTTTTTTTTAGAAACCTGGACCTTTCCTCAGATCTACACCATTTCTCTACAGCTATTGCATTTTATAGTCATTATATTGAACATTTTGTTCATACAGCTTCCCTCCGGAGAGGAGATCCCCCTGCCTCCTATCGTCCTGGGGCGTCTGGGGTCAGATCCGGGTAAGAAGACTGTGTGCATCTACGGCCACCTTGATGTCCAGCCAGCCAATATTGATGACGGCTGGGATACAGAGCCTTTCACTCTGGTGGAGAAAGATGGTAAGAGCCGAACATATGCAGCAACATTTGGTATAAAATTACCATTAAGCTGTTTTGTTAGTGTCTGTAAAGTTTGAAAAATTAAACCACTTAAATGGAAGTTATTGGAGGAGACTTGAATGCAAGTTGAAACATGATCATAGTCTCTGTTCCCAGTCTGCTATGTCATGATTACACCACTTTCGTTTTTGGCTTTGCAAACTTATGACATCAAAACTGAATTACATGACTAACATTTCCTTTTGACAAGTGAAGTGGAGAGTAGAATTAATAAAATGTGGTAAAAAAGGTAGTTTGGCATCAGAACCATTTATCATAAGCTGCGTAATGTCATTTACACCCCAGCATCACATAATAATATCATCAAATTCCTTCTTTGGTGAGCAGAGAAGTTCTTTTCATCATAATAACTTAAAAGTAACTTTGTTCTTTGAGCTTTTATCAGCTTTGTACTTGTGAGCGTATCACCGCTGGCTACATATTTCCAAAGTCCATCCTAGCTACGATAGAGCCGTGTTCTTAATCAAACCTTATCTGCAAACCTCACTTGTCAAATTGAACCAGTGCTGTTGTTTTTATGAAGAATCAGTGATAACCTCAGCTTTTCAAAGGGCTCAAGTGAAACATTTATATAGTAAATACAGTATATTGTTCAATGATAGATGTTGGTATTTGGTACTTTTTGTGTATACTTATTTTCCATATTTATTATTTAAGCACCTTCTACTTCACTTGACACAGTCTGGAGTGTGACTTAACAAATCCCTTGTTTTGTTTTTGCATGACTAACACTGTGAGACACATGAATGCAAATGCTGTAGTGGAATGTCTTGCCGTTTATCACGTGTTCAGCAACGCCCACTGA